AAATGTAATTTTAGAAACAGTCGAACGATGTTCATAATCTTTAAATGGCCATACACCGATAACTTCAGTGCGTGCACCTAAAAGTTCGTGCACCAGAAAGTTCCGCGCGCTAGAAAAGTCAGTGGACTGAAGCGTCTGTGCACCGGAACGTCCGTGTACCGAAACGCTCGCAACAAAACGTCCTCGGACCCCTAAACATGCTATGAAACAATACTTTTCGACGGCGGTGTATGATGATGATTCGCCTGTGCCACATAAAAAAAGTGGTCAAATACAAGTACTTTTTTGGGGCCGGCACTGATTATTTGCACTAGAAACACGCTTCTGGCTAGATGTAGCGGCCACCCCATCAGCGGATCATGGTACTTTAAGCTGAGTTTTCAGTAAAACAAGCTTGTCAACAAGAAAGAAAACATTATTCCCTTTCTTGTTGGTAATGGTTTTTTTACTGATATAAATCCCACAAGCGTTGAAAATATCATATCTTGTTTTGACGATATTAGGCCTAGGTAAACGTCGGCTCATAAAAAAAAAAAAAAAAAAAAATAGCTTGTATTAATTACATTTTATTCCGCGCACCGTCGTATTCTCAAACTTTCACGTTCTATCCCAACAGCTTCACATTTTCACGGAGTTCGAGCTTTCTGCGATGCATACGTAGTTTATTTATGTGGGCCAAAAAACACGTTTCTCTATCCTCGGGAACTCGCTGTACAGCATTGAATGTTTTGTGGGAGCAAATTACCCTCTAAGAAAAAAGGTTGCCAATAGGGGGAAAATTGTTCTGTGCGCCAAGAAAGAACTGATTCTCACAAAAGATCGCTATATTCCCTACTATCTCGCCAAAAATGTTTTCCCTAGAAAAAATAACGTTTTTTGGGCAAAGAAAGCTACATAAAACGTACAAGCCAGAACAAAGTAAAAACCTCACAATAAATAATGTGTGCGCGCTTTTTTTTTTTTTTCCATTTATTTTAGAGTTTTTAAGGTATCGCTAAGTGTGCGGTTCGGAGCACACAGTCGCGGGTTCGTGTTTCAAACTGAAATCAATAAACATTTCGCCATTATTGAATATTGTGATATTTTCCCAGTGGTGCACCGCTGCGGTGAGAGACTGTTTTTCTATTCCCACTTTTTTATTGTTTGGCCTATATCAAATGACAAAATATTATTAGTTTGCCCTTTATTAATATTTATGGTGAGAAAACACGCGTCTGCGTAAAATGGGGGTTACAAAGCAAAAAAAAAAAAAAAAAGAGTTAAAATTTTTTTTTTTTAGAGTGCATCTTTTTGGCGGAGTGTCGCAATCTGCCAGCACGATCTCCATAACACGCAAACATCTTTCCAGCGACGCCACGTGTTGAAAGGATGATCGCTTGTAACATAAATTCGATAAAACAGATTACGATAAAATGACTTTAACCGTGTATTCCGAAGGCCCGTTTACACACTTGCGTTTGCTTACGACCGAGTTCTTGTTATTTCTTCCGACCAAAGAAGACACTGGCACGCTGGTGCTAATTACGAGGTGACTCCGGAACTGCATTTCATTAGACAGAAGGTTTCGCGATATTTGCGAGATCATATGTACGTATACTCCACGAGAAAAGGTCATTTATAAGATATAACATGATCAAAAGCTTTTCAAGCCAAGGAAGTAGGAATGATGCGCGACATAAATAGGAAATATACGGAAACGCCAGTGTTCCAAGGCTATATGGCGCCAGTCCCAAGTGTGCAACCCAGCCTTGACTCGAAGAGTTCTTTGTGTAAAAAAAAAAAAAAAAAAGCAAACGGCCTGACGCTTTTTTTTTTTTTTTAAATTAAATTACGCTCGGTTTTTTGGTGTAACATGAATGCATGGATTGCGTGTCGGATGCGGTTCGGATGCGTATACACAAAGTCTGCGGGTGTGGATCGGATGCGGGTGATCAAACAAACTATTATCCGCGCAAGGTTCTAACCATTTAGAAGCTTGGCAATCGAGACTACATTTCCTCCTCGCGAAGAAGGACATCAAATGAATGTTAAGCAGTCAATATATATATATATATATATATATATATATATATATATATATATATATATATATAGAGAGAGAGAGAGAGAGAGAGAAAGAGAGAGAGAGAGAGGGATGTGTTTTTCTTCACAGCGTGCTGAACTTGTACCAAATTTGAAAACCTGTAATTTTTCATAGTTTTTTTTTTTTTTCAATATATAAATTATACTTCGCTTGGAAGACAATGACACGTGCTTCATATGGCATCAATTTGAAATTTGAATCCGATGTACTCCAAAAACTTTACTCGAGAGAAAAATAATGGAAGATTGGGGCTGCAGAGGCATGTTCGGGAATGTTTACAAAATTCTTGACGATAACTACTACAATAAACATTCGTTTATATTTTGACTGGTTATGTTATACATCGGTTACCCAAAAAAGTATCGACGACCTGTCGCTAAAGGTTCGAGGTTGATCGCGAATCGAACATGACAGTCGTCAAAACTCCGCCTTCCTTTCCATTTCCTTTAGGATTTATTTGCCTGACGGTCATTCGTGAGGGTTCTCGAAAAAAATCGAAGAGCAATCGCCAGTACATTTTCCGTCATTGAGGATTTTTCTGAAAAACACAAAATTTTGAAATCATAACGACAGAAAAAAAGACAAAAAAGAAAGAAAGAAAGAAAGACGGTGTTTTACAAATAAACTTTATATAAGCACAGTGTCACTGGTCCTGAGGGCATGCCTCTTCAGTTTCCTTTGAAATATATAGAACCACTCACAAAAATAGGTTTGCCCTTTGAGGTTCCTTCAGGACAGTGGGTCACGGTACCTGGACTTTATTATTTTTTTTATTATTATTATAAATACACAGGAAAATTAAATCCGAATTTAAAATATGCGGAATTAGACAAAAATAAACTCTGACAAACCCACAATTATCAGCGAAAATAAAACCCCCCAAAACACCCTCCAAATTCACGAGAAGTAAACTCCGAAAACACGCGGAATCCTAGCCGCATTTGTGACAAGATATAAGACATTGAAAAGAAAATACGGATGCATCTCACTGCCTACATTCAAATGATTTACTGATCAACCTTTGAGAAACTTAATTGTTCATATGGCACATTTAGGGTGACCATATTCCTCAAGGTAGACGACGGGACATCCCAGTGGGGGGCGGGGGCTAAAAATTGAGACTGGGGGAAAATTTTAATGAAATAACTGCTCTCATTTCAAAACGTTACCATATTGCGCTAAGCCCTAGTCTAGGAAACAGTCACACTGCTTCGCGTCCTTCGTTGGTGTGGGTGTATTTTGCCGACGACTGAAGTTTCCTAAGCAGGACTTTTTCTTATAAGGCTCGGTTGTAAAAGTCTGCGCAATTATATAGACAAAAAAAAAAAAAAAGAATTATGTCTCGAAAACGGGACATAATTCTTTATTAGGACAAAAAGACGGGACAGCAGAGGCGGATCTCAAAAACGGGACTGTCCCGGCCAAAACGGGACGTCTGGTCACCCTGGCCACATTATCATTACAAATACTTCTGATCTCATCAACTCGTAATTGAAAAAAACCAAAAAGTTTGTTATTATCCCCGGGCCATACATCGCTCCAAAATTGATTTTAATGATTTGTTCAGTCGACTGTTTAAGATGTTTTCCCCCTCTTACTTCGTTTGTTAATTAGAGAAACGTATTGCGATCGGTCAATTGTTTCTTCAATCCTTTTCCAAATATATTTTTCCCTCCCGGTTGGGGTTAGCGTTTTACTATTCTAAAAAAAAAAAAAAAAAAAAAAAAAATCTTTATAGTGTTTTTTTTTTTTTTTTTTTTTTTCGTTTTTAAAGATTTTAGCTATAATTATTTTGTTTAGTAAGACTCATTTATTCTTGATACCCACGCTCTAAACAGCTGGTTCGCTTTTTCTGACAAGCACTTCTCCCGCATTTCAACTAGGGTACTGAATACGGACTATTAAAAGTATTTTTTCGTTTTAAATTAGTTAAAATCTTGTGTATCACGCCATGGTTCTCGTTGTCGCCATACGCGGCTGCAGATTGGGAAATAGTTAGATTTTTGGTTTGCGATTACACGGCGGAATCGCGGTATTCCGGGAAAAAGTGACGTGTTTTTTTTTTTTTTTTTTTTTTTACTTCTGATAAGAGAAACGAATATGCTGCAGTCTTACAGCATTACAACAAAAATCTCAAGCTGTGCTGCGTAGCACGTAGCGTAGCACGTGGTGGTTCCAATTTTTAGTATCGCCGCTTCAGTGGCGATAGTGCTCCACTACAAAAGCGCAATCCGTGTCTTACTTTTTTGCACAAAGCACCCCCTAAGTGGGAGGGGAAGCTTTAGTGCCTTCGCACAAATCGTACGCCAAAACAGCTCGGTCGGGAAAAACAAAAAATAAAAAGAGAAGACGACGACGGAGGGGGGCACCGTTTTGGCGGGCGGTTTTTGCGTGTGTTGTGTGTGTTTGGAGGGGAGGATACGCCATGTGTGGCGAGTACCGCGCCATCTGTTGCGAGTGCCGCGCCAACACGGTACTTAGTTTGCCTTTCTTCCGCAACGCGCCGCGTCGTTAGCGTCGTCGCGATGGTAGGAGGAAACTGGAAACTGCCCTTCCCTAGCTTCTGAGGCGTGCATCTCCGCAGTAAATAAGAAAAATGAAAAGTAAACGGGTAGACCCTAAATAATAAAAAGTTACTAACAAAATAAATTCAGCGACATTTTATATTCAGTTATAAAGGAAATTGCTCTAAATAAATAGGTAATATCTGGAAATATCAGGAAAAAGCTTCAATGTATTTACTGCAGAATTATTCTAGCCAATGGCGCCTTTTTCGGCCCGCCGGTACCGCCGCCGCCGCTGTCTCCGCTGTTATCCTGCTACCGCGCTCGCTTTCTCTTTTCGCGAGTGTTATTATCACTTTTAAAATATAAAGATCAAAAACGAGCGGACACGAATGAGCCGCTCTCAGGCCTGTGCGAGCAAGCAAGTGCGAGTCTCGATTTAGGACCGGTGATTGACAGCCTCCGTCTCGCCACTGTTCTCCATTTCATCGAGCACGGCTACAAGGGAATCGGAAGGTGAGTGACCTTTTAGAAGTTAGGCGTTGGGCTGTTCTCAGGGACAGTGAACAATTATGTTTTTGACGCCTGAGAACGTGAGGGCGGTGAAGCTGCTGCGTCGTCGGTGTGGACCTGACGCCGCGCCGTCCAGCCCGGGTACGGTGTCAGAGGGCTGCTTGGCCTCTCGGGTGCAAACGAGTTCGGCTAGAACTCCAGCTATGTTTGGGGCCGTGTGTGTTTTTCCCCTTATATGTGTTCCTCAGTCTCAGGCTTATTTAATCATAAAGTAGACCAAGGGATTTGCTCTCCAAAGTTCAATCGTAATTTTTTTTTTTTGCGTGTTTTGTTTACACATGAATGGCTTTTATCGAAGCTACTAATGTTTGTTTCACTTCGTGTGCAAACGAAGCCGAAGCTACTAGCAAAAGCATGTTCCCCTGAGCCTTTGCTTGCACTGCACGCTCGCGCGTGCTTGGCGGGGGCGCTGAAAGCCTCGCGTTTAGAATGAAGTGGATCATGGTGGGTCAATGTGTGCTTTCATGGGGTGTAGTTTGGTGCTGGACTCGATTCTGCAGAAGCAAAATGCGAAAGAGCGCCTATACAGTATTTGCATTCCTACAGTGGATTTTAAGCAGCTGCATAGTGCGCAGTGTTTAGCACAGTAAAATTAAAGATTCTCATTTAATCAGATATGTGTTGTTAATACCATACATAAACTCTGATGTTCATTATATACTATCTCCACACACATGAAGGCACACCATCATGTCTGCACTTTTCTTTGGCAGTTTCGTGATTCACATCGCTATATGAAAAATGCATGCACGTCTTCCCTGTTGCAGAGCACATTCTAGTCCACTCACTGCAAAGTGCACCCAGATGATTACGGGGCTTACAGTATGATGCAATTTAAGAACGTAATTTCAACATGGAGATGTTCAATTTCCTTGCACGGATCACTTTCTTGGTGCCTCGTCGTACACTGGATGCACTCCATAGATGGCAGGAAATGGCCTACTGTGGATTTGTGGGAAAGAAGGTGTGCAAGTACATTTAATGCTCTGCTTTTGTATTTGAGTGGCACTCCACTTTTGATAACAAATTTATTTTTGACTTTTTATTGAACCCATTTTTTTTTTGTATTTTCAGGAAAGGTCAGTGAGCAGGCATTAACGGAGCCATGGACCATAAAAATGCCCCTGGTAATTTCTACTATGGAATGTGCTATCCTTTTTTACTACCAGTCAAGTCGTGTACAAGGCAAGTTTGAACATTGTTATATGTGCCTATTTGTTTCCAGAGCTGTGAAACAACATTTTTTGGTAATTAGCTACAAAACTACAGTTCAAGGGTTTGTATTTTGTGCCATATTTTTTAAGTATGGAACCAGTGTTTTATAGGCATCTTTAATATTCGCCTCAAGATCAAACTGTGTGGCAAATATGGTAAAATTTACTTAATGAAAGTTGTCTGCACTCATCTTTTCAAAAGGTCTTGTTAGGGTCACGAGATGTAGGAATGAGCTCCCCACGGCAAAGACTACACTCTGTTACAACCAAAAAAAGTGCAAAAATGAGACGAAGGACGAGTGAGAGGAATGTTCACGACAGGCGCTGACTTACAACTGAATTTTTTTTTAGGAAAAAACATGAAACCCTCGAACCACCAAAACACGAAACACTGCCAATCTTATTAATGTGATTACAATATTGCTTCATAAGGACACCGTTATGAAGCAATATTGTCACGATTGAAGGTGACGAAAAGCCGAACAGTGAACTGAAAATAAAGATTTAATGGGCGAACTTGTGCCAACCAAAAAGAAATAACGAAAGAGCGTCGAGGTAGCAGAAAAGCGGGCGGCGGTTCGGCGGCACTACAGAGCGCTAGCGAAACTGGGACTGACTCGACAAGGTCGCGGGAGCCGCTTATCTACCCTGCGTCACTATCTCGAAAGTTCGGCAAAGAAGGTTCGAGCGTCGCGCGCTCGGGGCGAGGATGAACTGGCACTTTCGAGAATAACAAAGCAGAAGGAAAGTTACGTCTGCTGCGAGAATGACCGGGAATCTTCTAGAAGACCGTGACCGAGCGTTGCCTTCTCGGCTCTGCGGGTGGCATTATCCCCCCCCCCTTTAAAAGTGCATCGCCCCGATGCAAAACGAAAGGAAAACGGAAATGGCTAAAACAATTACGGCGAAACAAAACAAACATGCAGTGTCACAATCCTAACGCGCGTAGAACGGCTTGAGTCGAACTACGTGGACGACCTCGGGTCGTGGCTGGCGGCGTCCTGATGGGCGAGTTCCGTCGGGGAGCACCTCGTAGTTCAAGTCCCCAAGGCGGCGAATAACCTTGTAGGGTCCAAAGCAGCGTTTTAACAGTTTCTCACTAAGGCCGCGGTGACGAATGGGCATCCACACCCACACCCTGTCTCCGGGCTGGAACTCCCCGTCTCGGCAACGGAAGTTGTACCGGCCAGCTTTGACACGTTGCTGGTCTTTTATGCGAAGGCGGGCTAGCTGGCGTACTTCTGCTCGTTGGGTGACCAACTAAGCATCGTCGGTGCCATCATTTGTCGGTGCCGTCGTTCGTCGGTGCCGTCGTTCGTCGGTGCCGTCGTTCGTCGGTGCCGTCGTTCGTCGGTGCCGTCGTTCGTCGGTGCCGTCGTTCGTCGGTGCCGTCGTTCGTCGGTGCCGTCGTTCGTCGGTGCCGTCGTTCGTCGGTGCCGTCGTTCGTCGGTGCCGTCGTTCGTCGGTGCCGTCGTTCGTTGGTGACGTCGTTCGTCGGTGACGTCGTTCGTCGGTGACGTCGTTCGTCGGTGACGTCGTTCGTCGGGTCGTGAGGCATCACGGCATCGAGCATCGTCGTCACCTTTCAGCCGTGCACCAACTGAAAAGGTGTAATCCCAGTGGTTCCTTGAACCGCCGTGTTGTACGCAAACGTGATGTAGGGCACCACCTCATCCCACGTCTTGTGTTCCACGTCCACATACATCGAGATCATGTCGGCGATGGTCTTGTTTAGTCTCCGTCAGCCCGTCAATCTGCAGGTGGTATGCCGTGGTCCGGCGGTGGTCGAGGTCTGCGACGACTGGGGGTCCATCGTTGACCTCGTTGGTTGCTTGATCTTGGTTGGCAGAAATCCGAGTTCCGGGTTAGCTCTTGGTTGCGGCTACTTTATCGGGTCTTGCTTGTGTCTTCGTTGGGTCTTCGTGGGCTTGGTGTTGGACTTGCACTGCGGGCCCTCGGAGGAGTACGGTGCAGGGACATGCGTTACCCCGCACCTCCACCAGAATTGTCAGGAATGAAGGTGACGAAAAGCCGAACAGTGAACTGAAAATAAAGATTTAATGGGCGAACTTGTGCCAACCAAAAAGAAATAACGAAAGAGCGTCGAGGTAGCAGAAAAGCGGGCGGCGGTTCGGCGGCACTACAGAGCGCTAGCGAAACTGGGACTGACTCGACAAGGTCGCGGGCAGTTGCTTATCTACCGTGCGTCACTATCTCGAAAGTTCGGCAAGGAAGGTTCGAGCGTCGCGCTCTCGGGGCGAGGATGAACTGGCACTTTCGAGAATAACAAAGCAGAGGGAAAGTTACGTCTGCTGCGAGAATGACCGGGAATCTTCTAGAAAACCGTGACCGAGCGTTGCCTTCTCGGCTCTGCGGGTGGCAATATTGTAATCACATTGATAAGATTGGCGGTGTTTCATGTTTTGGTGGTTCGAGGGTTTCATGTTTTTCCCTAATTAAAAATTTAGTTGCAAGTCGGCGCCTGTCGCTTATATTCCTCTCACTCGTCCTTCATCCAATTTTTGCACTTTTTTTGGTTGTAATGCATCACCAACTCTCCCAAGTTGCCACTCTTAAGGCACATTTCCACTGGCGATGTAAGCAGTCGCGTGATGCGACTAGATCGCATCGCAAAAAAATTAGATGGTCACACCGGCGTGCGCGATGAGCGAGTCCAACGCCTTCGTTGGCAAGTCGCTTCTCGAAAACTCTCCCTCCGAACGCCGTTGATTGGCTCAGCCGCTCCGCGACTAGATCGCATCGCAAAAAAGTCGGGTCGAGTCGCGACTGCTCGAATCGCGTCGCTTTTTGCCCGCAATGGTCGCTTTTGCGATGAAAGTTATCGCACGACTAGATCGCATCGCCGGTGGGAACGCGCCTTTATAGTACACTCCACTTCACTATAACTTGGCTAAGGGTGAAAGCTATATGGCCCCCGTGAGCCAATTAAAGTGACAGAGCAAAGTACATGACAGCACTCCACGGGAGGAATGCACGACGGCTACATTGTGATGCAACTCGCTCTGACTGTCTCGCGGGGCTGCAGCGTTTGTTCTTTGCCATGTTATGGAAAAATGTTAGTACCTCACACTATGCTATTCGGCTACCAAAAGGTTTTAAAAGTGTAGTGAAATTTGTCTGCGCTCATTATTTCTTCAACTTGATTTTTTAGGTCCATGCGGCGGTGTAGCAAGGGCTGCCCAGCACACCAGAGAGTAGCACCTTAGACCATGCCACTCAGCTACAGGTATGTTCCGATTCTGGTGTGAAAGTTGCATGCATTCATCTCTTCTTCACCTTGGTGCAGAAATGACCTTGCCATGCCAGGGACGAACACCTTACACTACACTACTCAGCAACAGGTAACTTCCAAGTGTTGCAAAATTTACCTTCACTCATACCGATACAGTCTCCAACTTGTTTTCTTAGGGCCATACGGTGCAGAGAGGACCTGCCGACGCCGGGGATTGTCACCTTACAGTATGCCACACAATTACAGGTACTTTCTGGATGTACTATGAAATTTCCCGCACTGATACCTTCTTTGGTTCTTTGTTAGAGCCATGAAAAGACAGCTGCAAGATGACACAAAGCAAGATGGTTTCCCAATGCGTAAAGATTGAACACCAACCTCCGAGATGAATCAGAAGAAGCGCCTGTATGGATAGGACACGAGTGTAGTAATAAAACCATATTGCCAATATAAATTGGCTCAGGGTCGTTCTTTGACTGGTTACAACATATCCAGGCAAGAATAGAACGGATTTAGGCATGCGGCATCTGAATATCCAAAACTGGTCTGCAGAACAAAATTGCACGTACGTCGGACATCCGCAATGGGATCCCCATTGCGGATGTCCGACGGACGTGCAATTTTGTTCGCTTGGGCGCTCTGTCGGATGTCCTGGGGATGTTCATCGGACGTACACGGATGTTCGGTAGATCTGAATTGGATCTCTATCGGATGTTCCCGGGATATCCGAAATTGGCCTGCAGAGGGATCCCGTTTCGGATGTCCAACGGATGTGCAATTTTGTTCGCTTTGGCGCTCTGTCGGATGTCCTGGGGATGTTCGTTGGACGTATACGGACGTCCCACGGATGTTCGATATATCTGAATCGGATCTCTATCGGATGTTCACGGGATATCCGAAGAAATTCTACCCTGTAGAAATTGGCTCAGGTTAGTGTTTTGACTGGTTTACAACATATCTGGGCTAAAGTAGAATGAAGTCAGGCAAGCCATCCGAATATCCAAAATTGGCCTGCAGAAGGATCCCATTTCGGATGTCCGACGGACATGCAAATTTGTTACCTTTGGCACTCTGACGGATATCCTGGGGACGTCCGTCGGACGGCTACGGATCTCCTGGGGACATCCGAATATCTTGAGCGGATATCTATCGGATGTCCAATGGACATCCAGTGGTTTGTTGGGCAGTAGGTGATAGAGCTCTTTCGCAATCGTTGCTCGATTCTGTATAAATCTGTCATAAAAAGCTAACAGTCCCAGAAAGGACTGCAGCTCTGTCTTGTTCCTTGGCTCGGGCGCCTGTACTACGGCCTGAATCTTGTCCTGCGTGGGATGTATGCCGTCCGCATTGATGAGGTGGCCAAGAAATTTTAATTCACTCACCCCGAAGCGGCACTTGGTTTCCTTTAGTCTTAGTCCTGCACCTTCTAGTCTCGTCAATACTTGATCTAGTCGATAGTTATGTTCTTCCGTAGTCTCCCCGCTGATGATGATGTCGTCTAGGTACGCATTGACTCCTGAGATGCCTGCTAATGTTGTGTCCATGACTTTCTGGAAGATTGCAGGAGCTGCCGCCACTCCGAAGGGAAGTCTCTTCACTCGATACAGGCCCTTGATGGTGTTGATTGTCAGTACCTCGGCCGTGTCGTCTGTCACGCGTAGCTGTTGATAAGCCTGCGCAAGGTCCAGCGTCGAGAAGACTGTGCCACCCCGGAGGTTAGATAAGGCTTCAGTGGGTGTCGGCAGCGGATAAGCCACCAGTTTTGCTGTCTTGTTCACCGTGCTGCGGTAGTCTCCGCAGAGCCTCACCGAACCATCCGTCTTTCTAACCACCACTACGGGCGTGGCCCATGTTGAATGTTGGACCTGCTCCAGGATGCCCTGCTTTTGCAGTGTCATCAGTTCGCATTCCACGACAGCACGCAGGGCGAAAGGTACCTGGCGTGCCTTGAGGAATCTTGGCGTTGCTGACTCCTTCATTTCCAACTGGACAGGTGGGCCGTTGTATCCTGTGATGTCGGACTTAAACACCGCTTTGTGTGCACTGAGAACCTTCTGGACTTCTTTGTCTGGCGAAAGATGGTGTATCCCGCTGACCTGGATCTTTAGCGCTGGGAACCAATTTCTGCCCATCAAGTTGCAGCCGGTTCCACTTGTTACCACCAGCGGTAGAACGTAGTCCTTGGACTTATGTCTCACGCGCACTTCAGCTGAGCCAAGGACACTCAAGCCTTCGCCGGTCCATGTCCGAAGGGTGACGTTCTCTTTCCGTAGGCACGGAGGTCTGGTCGGCCACACCCTCCGGTATGTGGCCTCACTGATTACCGTAAATGCTGCTCCTGAGTCTACCTCGAATTCTAGTAACTTTCCCTCGACCTTGAGGGTCACCAGGTACTTGGGAACGAAACTGGTTGCACGTTGTGCGTTAAGCTCTTGCATGTCCATCCCGTAGCTTTTAACAGAAGCTCCACTTTGTGATTCTAGGGCGTCCTCTTCTGCGCCGCAGTCCATCTGATAGGTTGAGTGACGTGTGCCAGTCCTCATCTTGTTTCGACAAGCTTTTTCGATGTGTCCTATTTTCTTACAGAAACGGCACGCTACCCTGCTGAATGGGCAACTGTCTTGCCTGTGCCGTCCATGGCAGCGGTAACATCGTAGATCCGGTTGCGTTTGATCTCGATGCGAGGTCTGCTTCGTAGCCTGTGGTTGTGTAACCCTATGCAGTTCCGTCTTGGGAGTTTTAAGTTCCTGCTGCTGTTTTACCGCACTTTCCAGTCTTGTTGCCATGTCGTATGCTTGCTTGAACGTGAGCGTTTGCTCTGCGAAAAGCCGTTGCTGCAGACGCTCATCTTGCACACCGCACACCAAACGGTCTCTCAGCATTACATCCTGCGGCAGCATGGTTGGATTCAATGTCAAAGGGGCGGCGGCCGCTCGTCCTTCAGCGCTAGTTGAAGCGGTCGATGCTCCGGCGCTAGTTGTGGCCACCGAGAGAGGTGTCAGCACGCCGAAATTGCAGTTGGCGGCTAATTTCTTTAGTTCCGCCACATAGGTAGCGATGGACTCACCCGGCTGTTGGTCGCGGCGTTGAAATTGGCTTCGGCTGAATAGTTCCGAAGGCCGTGGATCGTAATGTTGTTGGAGCATGGACATGATGCTTTCAAAGGCAACTTCGCCGGGCTTTCTCGGGACCGTCAGCGCTTGCACAGTCTCGTAGGTTTCAGCGCCACAAAGGGTCAGCAGCAGGGCTCTCTTTTTCGCGTGGTCCGTTATGTCGTTTGCCTGGAAGAAGAATTCCAATCGCTCCGCCCAGGCCGACCATCCTGTCCCTTGGAATTCTTCGAGCTTGCCTTGTGTCACAGACATACTTGAACCGCTGCTGGAGTCCTCTTCCGCCCTCGTCGCCAATGTTAAATACGAGATGTAGACCTTCGAAGGTTGTCTAATCGATTTATTCTGATGGAGCCTCCGATTGAGCCTGGCGCAACGTTCCTAGCCTGGCGTTGTCTGCCCGTGCACCGCGGCTCTCGAGCGGTCGGTGCGAGTGCAGCCGATGGTCACGAGCCGATGGGCGCCAGCTTGCCAGCCGCTACATAACAATAACGAAGTGCAAAAGGGAATGGGAAATTGTGATCGCTTCGCTGTAGCCGCTATTCCGTTATAACCGACTTCGGTTATAACGAAGTGCAAGAGGGAATGGGAAATCGTGATATCGCTTCGCTGTAGCCGCTATTTCGTCATAACCTACTTCGGTTATAACTAAGTGCAAAAGGGAATGGGGAATGGTAATCGTTTCGCTGTAGCCGCTATTTCGTTATAACCGACTTCGGTTATAATGAAGTGCAAAATGGAATGGGAAATTGTGATCGCTTCACTGTAGCCGCTATTTTTGTTATAACCGACTTCGGTTATAACGAAGTGCAAAAGGGAATGGGAAATTGTGATCGCTTCGCTGTAGCCGCTATTTCGTTATAACCGACTACGGTTATAACGACATGCAAAAGGGAATGGGAAATCGTGATCGCTTCGCTGTAACCGCTATTTCGTTATAACCGACTTCGGTTATAACGAAGTGGGAAAGGGAATGGGAAATCGTAATCGCTTCGCTGTAGCCACTACTTTGTTACAACCGACTTCGGTTATAACGAAGTGCAAAAGGGAATGGGAAATCGTGATCGCTTCACTGTAGCCGCTGTTTCGTCATAACAAACTTCGGTTATGACGAAGTGCAAAAGGAAATGGGAAATCGTAATCGCTACGCTGTAGCCACTATTTCGTTATAACCGACTTTGGTATAACGAAGTGCAAAAGGGAATGCAAAATCGTGATCGCTTCGCTGTAGCCGCTATTTCGTTATAACCGAAGTCGATTATAACGAAGTGCAAAAGGGAATGGGAAATCGTAATCGCTTCGCTGTAGCCGCTATTTCGTCATAACCGACTTCGGTTATAACGAACTGCAAAAGGGAATGGGAAATCGTGATCGCTTCGCTGTAGCCGCCATTTCGTCATAACCGACTTCGCTATAACCGGTTTCGACACACACGAGATGAACACATCGCGGGAGGCAAAATGGTGACCACAGCCGAAAAGACGGCATCGCGTCTAATCACTATAATCCTTCCAACCAGTGCTCAGCGTTGTGACCTCCTCTACTCCAGTTTCTACCCGCATATTTCCTCCTCTCTTTCTATTGTTTCTCATTCCTTCGTTAAACAACTCCTTCGTGCAGAAGAACTGCTCTGTGCCGATAGGATCGCAGCCGAGGAGACCAGCAAATTCCTGGAAGATCAGTGCCGCTGCTACCGGCCCTGCTTGTGAGCGAGGCTGTTTTATACACTCACCGCCACTATCATCGTGAACAGTTTCAGAACATGACATTACCTGCATCAAAATATAAAAGAGGAAGTTCAGTGATGTGATTGCTGTGCCAAAGACCCCCCCCCCCCCTCCTCCCCTCCCTTTCCCACACCTCCGAATCGTTACGGCAGGCTTCTGAAAACTTTCAAAACTTTCGATTATCGCCGCAAATAATGTACTATTCGAATTTATCTCTCTGTCAAACACTGACAGTACTCGGAATTTTCGGAATATCAAGTCATGTTCTTCAGTCCGCCCTGGCGGGTAAGTTAGCTTTGTTGAGTGCGCTTCTCCCCGCTCTCTAGTGTACTGCAGTGAAATAACCACGAAATACGAATCTTGGCTTTGCTCATCTTGCTTCGCCCTGGTGCCCTCGCCTGCTAAGAGGAAAGCAATCCCCCAGAGTGGGATATGTTAAACACGCAAACGTCGGGTTTATTAAAAAAATATAAAAAATGAGGGAACTTGGTGAGTGCTACTGTAACAACTTTACTTTTCAGTTAACATTTCTGAATATAACTAGTGCTATTATTTATGATAGACTGCGATGTTCTGGCGATATCCTTTCCGAATTTTATAGTTAGCGAGGGTACTTGCAAGAAAGGCTGAATGAACTGATTTATAGGTTTATTCTTAATTTGAACTATCTTGTTTAGCTCCAATATTTATATAGGTATCACGTGTTCGAGGCACAGTAAAAACGAAATTAGATGAAGCAGTGGAAGAAGGCTTGGGAGTAAGCTTAAGCAGTTTAGGTAGTTTTTAAGCAGTATATCGTTCACGTGTCGATTTTTGTTATCATTGAGTTTTAATTATAAAACGCCATTTATATTCATAATCCAATGACAAAGTTTTTTCTTAATTAATAAGTTCAATTTTATGAAAACCTTTAGAACCCTAATTAAACATCTTAACTGTTGAATATTACTTTATTCTAACATTATTTTGACGGAATATACTATTTGGTTTACATTTTATTATACCTACAATAAGTATTCACCGCAGTCTATTTGTTTGTTTGTTTGTTTTTATCAACCAGCCTCCTGTTGCCACGCGTATATAGTGCTTCTGCATGCAATCAGAGCTATTTTTTTCTCTTTTTTTTTGCGTTTGAGGGAATTAAATTTGCCGCTCAGTTGACGCTAACAAAGGGTTGCACAGAAGTGAGAAGGTATACGTATGTATTTGAGTTGAATAGGCCAAAACCAGAATCTTAACATATAATATTCGCTGTGGAACGAATAAAAATGAAGAGCGCGCATGTGCTCCAAAAGTGCCTTTTGCTGCTCGAGCTCCAACATGACTCGTTCCAATCACATCGTCACTGAAGTCGATGTTTTTCTATTTATTCAGCCAGACCACAATTTCGTAAGAACAAGAAATGGCATTCTGAGCGCCTGTAACATCTATGTGGAAAAGAAAAAACTTGTCAGCAAGAAAGAAAACAATGCATGCCATCCACAACTGGTGTTAGCAAAGTCCGCGTGTTCCTCAACAACATAGTGTTGGTGTTCACCTGCCTCTCCTCTTTCTTTTCTTTACTGCTGCAGCGACGTCAATTACAAGCGCGACGTGACGGTGACGGACATTAGGCAGGCAAGTGCGCGCGAACCGCCTCTCCCACTGCAAAACGTCGGCACACTTTGCCCCGGTGGAGATGTACCGACACGGTTCAAGCTCCGCGTCGTCCTTTGCCAGAAGCTGTCGTCATTTGGGAACCCTGCACGAACCTTGTTTGCTCGTGTTGCTGTTGGTCACACTGGGAAATGCGGGAGTGAATTAGCAACGGAGCGGATCTGTTGGTTTCGTCATAGCGCGCACGACCAATGGCGTGGCGCCGCGCGAAGGAGCGGGGGAGAGAGGTGCGCTAAAACTGCCCTCTCTCTCTCTCGTCTCCCCTACGCAGCGTAGGAACGAGAACTGGGCAGTAGGAACCGCGTATTAGCGGTATCGCTCTTTCGTTGCATTGGGCGTGACAGTCGTATTTTTGTTATCTAACCTCCGCTTCAATTAAACTCGTCGCGAGGTTATCGAAACTCGATGGTGCATATCGTATATATTTATGAATTCGACCAACAAAAAAAAAAAAAAAATCAAACGGGAGATTGTTAACATGGAGGCTTGTACAGGTTTGGTGATGCGTATCTGTTAGAGGACGTAGCACAACGCAGAAGGACGAAGCACGAACACCCAAACACCTCTTCACACAGTCTATACACATCGCAAAATTTCCGGGGGGCGAAAAAAAATTACAATGTTATACCAAAAAGAAAGAGTTCAAAATTTGTGTTAAAAACCTCTTTTTTTTTTTTCTTAGCAGGACGAAAAGGACGAGTCTACAAAGCAAAGTGGGTAAGTTTTTCCTTTTTTTTTTTTGCTTAGTGGTAATTTGGCACGGAACTGGGCTGTAAACCTAATAAAATCATAAATAAAGTAGATAAATAAAAAAAAAGCCGGTACTTTGTTTTTTGCGGTGCTTTGCTGCAGACAATACATTGAAAGGCGATAGTATTGGTCGTCTTCTACGAAGGCACTGCTCGTCTTACGCTAAGCACCAAATGTCCGCCATTTTCATTCAATATAAACGTCGCTTCTCTTCAGCACTCCGCTCCTTCTTCTTGCAAGGCATTAGTAATAATAATAACAAGAGGTACTATTAATAATAATGATAACATTAACAAGGTAATAATAATAATTCTAGTAATAATAATAATTCTAATCCTTTATTTCCTCTCCATGGGAGCGGAGTATTCTAACGGCGCATCCAGTAAGCGCGATCGTCTCGCGACTGACGCATGTGTTAGATAAGGAAAGGACGGCAGATAGTAATTATCGCCATACTCCGCGACAACTTTTCTTGGCAATGTAGTGGAAGGTAGAGGCCCGCGTCCCCTCTCCCATTTTGAGTGTGCGCGGGCTCTCCTCCTCTCCCCGGAAATGGGGGAGGAGGAGAGCCTGCGTACACTCGAAATGGGAGAGGGGACGGGGGCCTCTACCTTCCACTGCATTGCCAAGAAAAAGTTGTCGCGGAGTATAGCGAGTTTCCCCCTTGGCACAATGGTTGAAACTTGGGCTCAAATCATAGAGTCCTGCAGGTTCGATTCTTCGGGGGACGTTCGGAATTTTGTTATTTCTTCTCGTTTTATCCACTTACCGCTCTCTCGCGCAAGCGCGCGCGTTTCGTGTTACATAGGAGAATTTTTCGGGGGAGGCTGTCTAGAGCAATACTGCATTTAATAACAGTTGGGTTGTCAGTTTGCACTCCAATTTGAAAATTATTTTCAATCAAGAAAGCGATTATACTTCACGTTCAATTTACCAATTATAGCAATACACCAGCTTCTACTGTCAATGGAGTTCGTCCGAAAATTGGAATTTGGGGTAGCACAAGATTAAACTGCTATACTGCATAGTTTTAATTCTCATCCAATACGGTGTTACAAGAATCCAAGACGAACTAAATTGGCATCCTCTATCACTCTAACTGACGAACCACTTTTTGTACTCTTTCTGCCGTGGCTTAATCACCCATTTAAAAGTTAAAACTGCAGCGTCTCGCCCCACGTCATAAACGCCTCATTGCTGTCTTTGAAGCCGTCAACTGTTTCCCGTTAAAACTTGTGCTCTTATAGACCAATTCACTCGGTAAATGACGACGTTTCCAACAGGCCTCTGGCTCGCCTGGTGGTCTACTTCAATACCCTGGCATACGAGCACATCAGATCGGTACCCAAGTATGACGTAAGCTTGCGTGGTTTCTCACTACTTCAACACGTGCCATCTGTTGCTTAAAAAAAATTGCAATCCATATTATAAGCGCCAGGGTCATATAAACAAACCTCTTGAGAGAAGAACAGTGGAACATAAGCTTGGGGACCCTTGAAAGAAGAACTAGAACCAGAGTAACTACTAACGAAGTGTCACCAGTAACTTCCGCCGTAACCCCATGGTTCGATTTCAAGTGTCTTCTCCGGTCTGCGCAGACTCAGTTTACAGTCAAGTTTTCTTACTGAAAAATCTGCTGATCACGTGCAAATCTTGATTAAGAATTTGAATTACATCATCTCGGTATTGCAACATTGTTATGGCCAACCACAAATATGGTCGAATCAGATTATTTTTGTTGAAAACATTTCTGTGTGATTTATTATAAAGAACGCCGTTCAGTGCACCGAACTAGCAGCGTTAATTAATTAATATGTTGGTCAAAAATATGATAGGAGTGTAATCTAGCAAAGTACGGTCGCTGGGCTAGTTGGTGCATTTCAAAACAAATAAAATTGCGCGATAGGACGACATGCACGTAAGGCATATAGTACGAGTGCTTGTCCTGTCTTACTCCTATCTGCGTTATTTTATTCGCGTTTTAAAACTGTTCACGCCAACTGTCGGACGCAAAGTTAACAGTGCCGACTTGTTCGTCGCAGGGCACCCGCGTCCTGAGCAACATCGGCGGCATCAACGGCATGTACCTGGGCCTGTCGTTCTTCGTCCTCTTCCAAGTCCTGGACATGGTCGTGATGGGTGCCCTCAAACTCCGCACTATGTGGCAGCGGGACTACAAGCGGCCACGTGCACGAGAGTAGCCCTCGCCGCTCTCGTCCTTGAGCATATCCTCCTTTATTCTACAAAGCCTGTCAGATCGCGAAAGAACGTGGTCGCTGTAGATGGGAAAGAAGATCATTGAAGAGGCAGCTAGCAGGGGCTATCTCCGGCAGCGCCACACAATGCCCCAGAGGGAAAATCGGAAAACACAAACGCGCTTTTTCTGTTCTTTTTTTTAATTTTTTTAAAGAACAACATTTTACGCGCCGGTAGCCTCCTTTTTTTTTTTTTTGTTTTGTCTGTTGCGGTTTGTAGTTGTTTCGCGAAGAGGCCATTGCGCGTATTGTTGGCGCTGGCTGAAGGGTTACCCCAGAAGTGGCTTTGCGCTACCATATTGATAACCGTTCGGCGCTGCTCCTCGCATTTTCCAGGCAGCCGCGCGCTCAATGGCTACGTCGTGGAATTTACGAGCTTTCTGGAATAAGGGAGGCCTTCAGTTGGCAGGCCTTTGATGCCAGTAAAGGAGGCCTTCAGTTGGCAGGCCTTTAACGCCAGTAAAGGAGGTCTTCAGTTGGCAGGCCTTTGACGCCACTAAAGGAGGCCTTCAGTTGGCAGGCCTTTGACGCCAGTAAAGGAGGCCTTCAGTTGGCAGGCCTTTGACGCCAGTAAAGGACGCCTTCAGTTGGCAGGTCTTTTACGCCAGTAAAAGAGGCCTTCAGTTGGCAGGCCTTTGACGCCAGTAAAGGAGGCCTTTAGTTGGCAGGCCTTTGACGCCAGCCAAGAACGCCCACCCAGGGACGTTATGTGCAGCGCTGTACGAGCGCGTGGCTCTAGATGACGTTCTGCACATTTACTTCTCGGTTTTACGGTTGTGTTACCCATAAACGCGCTTTCAAGAGAACGCACTTCATACCAGCGCGGTCAGTGCGACGAGAAGAGCTGAGAGGGAGTGTGACGACATCGAAGGGAACTCTCGGGCTTTCGGCTTCTCCCTTGCAGCTCCGCGCTTCCCATGAGCATTGAACAACGCTCGGGGAAAGTGGTCCGCCCTTAAGGACACTTCCCTTTTCACCCTCCCTCTCCCTTTCTACTCAGGTCGGCGCTGAAAATGTAGCGGTTGTCCTGGAGTGACAATAAAGGTTTACGCTGCCAGCTGAAGAGATGCCTTCTAAGGGACACTTCAACAAGAAGGTCATAAAGAAAACTGCATGGAAAGCGATTCGGGTGAAGCAGAAAGATAAAAAAAAAAAAAAGATTCCTTTAACTCAGCGCCTCTAACTCAATGTGTTTAGGTCAGTTGTGGCTGGGCCGGCGTGTCCCCACCAAAATATATATATATATATTTTTTTTTTCGTCGCAAAAATAAATTATGCACCGCCGAGCACTCATTCTCCGCCCAGATGTAGCGCTAGAGGTTCGAACCCTATGCCAAAGTCTGGGGCCAATTTTTGCGTCTTTCGTAACTGGCGCCATAGAGCGCTGTCGACCGCTATTTTCCCATTGAACATTCTAGAAAAAAAACAAAAAAAACATTTATGACTTTTGAACAAGATGACGTCTATATATTGGTGAAACTTTGGTAACTGGTTCGGACGTCTAGCGATACAACTGGGCGGAGAATGAGCGTTCGGCAAAACGTAATGTGGTTTCGCAAATAAAAAAAAAAAAAAAAAAAAAAAACTGCATTTTTTTTTTTTTGAGAGGAAAAGGTGAAAGGGGGGGGGGGGGGGGGCACCTTGTACAACAACTTGAAAGCGTAAGTGGTCCCCTCAAATTTTGATGCGCTGGTCGCATCCATGCAGAAATGGTGGCACCCAAAAGTGGCCCGTGCGTTGGCAATCCTGCTGCGCGTGACTACAAGAGCTAAATTTTGTTACTGGCGAAAAACAAAAACATCGCTAAAGTATGTTTTACGGGATAGGCCCACGCCCCTATAGTCTCAGCACGTTCAAAATGTTTGTGACAATGCCCCACGATTAGCCCAAATGGTCAATGATTTGCACGTGATGAAGGTCGCCACCCGCTAAGTACTGCGATTGATCACGCCCCCACAAAAAACAGCGTCGAAAGGAATCTGCAACGGAAATGTTGCAGCGCTGCCAAGCCGACTCTGATTATACTTCTTCGATCCCCTTATCACCATATGGATGAGTGTTGGGTGTATACATTGCGACCCCAAGACGAACGAACAATGCAAACAGTGAAGGCACGATGATTCAACACCGCTAAAAAAACAAAAACAAAGGAGGAAGACCGCCATCGGGGAAGGTAATGACCTGTCGCGGTTTCAATAATGTTCTCACGGCTTTTTATTGCCCTTTCGGTGTCAACCTGAGGATGTGAATGTCGTGGCTCGTGAACTCCGGATGGTGCTCCTCTTCAGCAACGTCTGCCACCAGGAAGTTGGCCTGGCACGCCTGTGGACCGAACAAGGCCATCAAATGCAAGACGAAACATCAAGTTATAGCAAATTGCAAGGCAGTTTGTGTTGTATACGTTAAAGGTTCTAGCATCACAAACGTTTACCGATACTCCGAGTTTACAGACGCCGGGCGCCTACGTTCACGGCGCTCTCTTCTTCAGAAAGTCTAACGGGTACACTGTGTACACTTAATAGTTGCTCCTAGAATGAAGCGATACTACCGCTAATCGGGCTGATAAACCTGGCGATCCTCCAGAGCCTTCCATACTCTTGAGCTCCCCTCCCTCAGTGCGCACAGGTGGTCGAGCCCCTCCTCGCCTACCTCATTCCTCCTCGCCCAACCCTCTGGTCACAGACCTCCCCGCTAACCAATCGGCGTCGAGCTCCACTCCTCCGCTCCCACCCGTCAAATAATCAGTGCCGCGGCTGCTCGCGGCCATGTTTTTATCTAGGTTTCACAAATAAATCAACGCGAGTATGTTTGCCACTCAGTGGGACAACACAATTAACACAGGAACTGTCGTCGTCGATTCTGTGTGACCCACTGATCGCTATCCCGGCCAGCTGTAAAATGTTTTGCCAGAAGCCAGTGTTTGCTACTGCTTATAGATTTCGTCCTAATCGAGCACAAAGTCGGGAGGGAGGCTCTGATGATTTCCACGTAAACTTTAGTTGATACCGTGTCCGCAGGGGATGCTAAGAGCAATCGAAGCTATTCTAATGTCGTGCGTGGGACGGCTCGTAACGACCGCTACGGCCCAACATAGGTGATTAAACGTATTATAGGCATTACCGCCGTGCTAGAACTCTCTACATTAGGCCCGCTCACACAGAGGGCGTTTGACTACGTTGCCAGGAAATCCATGCTTTTTGTCAAAGTTCAGGGAGTTGGAGTAGGTTTTAACATGGCATCCGAAGCGCACGCCGCCGCAACGTCGCGAAACGCAACTGCGTGAAGAATGGGTCCTTATTGTTATTTCCATACCCTCGGGGCCCAAGGAGCATTACTGAGGGGACGGGCATAAAACTTCACAGCAAAAGAAACTGTTTGAGGTGAATAGCGTTTATCTTCCTTTTATTTATTTTAGAGCAAAGCTCTTACGCGCCCGTTTCCGGTTTGAGCGGCGTCGCCGTCGGCGTCAGAGTAACCGCGCGTTGAATGCAACACGTTGCATGCAAGCGGCGTAACCGCGCGTTGCATTATGAGTGGTTTCCTATAATGACGTCACGAGGGTTACCCTCGTGGGGGTTACGAAGCTTACTCTCACGAGGGTTACCCTCACGAGGATCACGAAGGTTACCCTCACAAGGGTTGCCCTTACGAGGGTCAGGAGCGTTACCGTCACGAGGGTTGCGAGGGATGGTTACCTTCAAAAGGGTTACCCTCACGAGGGTCACGAGGGTTATGAGAGTTACCCTCACGTAACCTCCCTGAGGTAACATGACCAAGGAGGTTCTATATAAGTTATTTATAACCTCCTTGAACGTGACCCCCTGAGGTCACGTGACCCCTCCATGATGTCACGTGACCCCCCACCCCTCCCCCGAGGTCACGTCACTTCAGAGGGTCACCTATCCCTCAGTACCCTTTTATCCTCCTCCTCAAGAGCTGCGCTCTAATCCGGCGTTACAAGGAGTTATAAACGGCTTTCATTTTCTTTTTATTTCGAATACCACTAGCTCCACTAAAGGAGCATAGTAGGAGTGGCTACAACATAAATTTCACAAAACGCTAGTCAAACCAAACAACAATCTATAAAAAATAGAAGTCAACTGCCGTAACAAACTGATCAAAAGTTGGCAACATCCCAATATTGTTTGTGAGTTCATTCCAATCGTGAACTGCCCCAGGAAAAAAAAGAATATCGACAGCAGTTATTTTTGAGCCTGTACTGTGTCACTGCCCTGGAATGGTTAAGTCTGGACGACTCTGTTGATGAGACTTTTAAGTAGTTTGAACTTTTGATTCGGAGAGAGCCACATAATATTGTAGACACTTTTTAATCTTAATTTTTGATTTAGTGCTATAGTTATTACAAATAAGCCGAACAGCAAGCTTTGAGAGACTTAATCCCACGTAGAAATGCTGCAGGCTGTGTTATGGAACCGGAAATCGACTACGGCTGGAGCTAGAAATCTATTTTACCAGCCGAATTCCAGGCTGTTTCCACCCAGAAATTAACAAATTTCTTGCTGGAAATTAGATCTTTCCTCGTCTAGCTGGGAAAGTTCCAGGTGGATCATGTACTTCCAAGCTGGAATTTCTGATTTCCAGCATGAGCAGCATCCATTTCCAGCTGTAAACAGGATTTCCAGCTGCTGCTGTATAATTTAGCCGAAAATGCGGCTAAATCTTCATTTCTAGCTGGAAACTGCAGCTTATTTTCATGTGGGATGCCATCTTTCGTGAAAGGGCACCACACCGGCGGGCACAGTAAGGAGGCCACTGCAGAATACATTGTGACGGTTTTGTGAATATATAAACGCGTCACAACGTCACACGGGATGTCACAGTCGCCAACTGACACACATGTCACACACGACAACTGACACACATGTCACACACGACAACTAACCAAACTAGGGCCTACCTGCAAAAACTTTTCAAGAGCGGCGGCATTGGCGTCGCTCTCTCGATCTTCGTAGGAAAGCAGCACTTGAGTTTGGGGGCCACAGAGCTCAGTCATGGTCTTGACGAGAGGTTCCACTGACTAATAAAATTAATAAACAAAGAAAATTCAAATTAAAAACAAACTCGGTAGACCAGGTTGTGGTGCGCACGGGGGACATTTACCTTCTCGTAGTAGACGCATTCGCTCATAAGAAGAACATCGGGAGTCTGGAAGTTCTGCACACCGCATTCCCATTTTAAGGTCCGAGCCTCTGCTTTTCCTTTGAGAAGGTCCTTGTTTGCGGAAATGTTCTTGGTGATGAGTGGCAAAAACTCAGGCAAATCTGTCATGATCACATCGTTCCTACACAGACAGAAAGAAAAAATTGGGGGACGCTTAAGGTTCGCCTTTAAGGTGCAACCCCACCGTGAATGCCGTTTTCGTTCTTTTTTTATGTTTATAACTTTTTTCCAATGCAGTCTACAGTCATGAAGTTAATGTCAAATTAAAAAAACTATTCTTTAACTATATTTTAATGTGTCGATATTACGTTATTTTTAGTTCTTAGTTTAATATACAACTTTTAATGAGCCACGTTTTCTGATATTGAAGAATTATTTTTTCAACTTAAAACGTCCTAATTACCACGACAATTTACGTGAACGTTCTGTTGGATATAGTGAATTAAAAGTAAGCAATGAACTGTACAAAGAATGTACATTTTTAAATAAGATATTAAGTTTAAAATAGCGCTATTTTATCGTGCTATAAAAACGCAGTCCCGTCAACTAAAGAAAATAGCGATGCATTAAATTACAAAGCATTTTTTGATATTACATTTCTCAGAAAGTGCATATCGATAGATTTCTCGTCAAGTTCAGTATTCAATCACACACTTTTTCCAGCTACGGCAAGTTGCAGTTTTCTAGTATCAAATACAGATAGCGACAACTGTTCAAGAACAGCTGGATTTGCATTTGTCGTCATGTGCCGCTTGGAACGCCACATGAAAGACGGAAATGGCACCAGATATGTGCGTGTCATATGTCTGGATGCCCGCAGTGAGCGAGCCAGAGATGTAAAAACAGCAAGTGCGAGGCTGTGAGTGGACCAGAGCTGCTTTTGCGCGCGTTTCACGGTATATCGGTATGCCCAAATGAAATTGAGGCTGTGAAATGAATCCCGGCGGTTGCAATTCCAGCATGCTAAGAATTCTTTATTTTTTTATGAATTTCAGAAATTATTTTTGAAATCACACTATGGGGCTTGTTGGAATGGTGTGACTATATACTGTTACATATAACCGCCTCGGTGGCTTTTAACCGGAAGTAATATATATATATGAAAAAGTATCGGTGGCTCTGAGGCAAAGCGCTGGCCTACGGGTCACCATTTGAAGGATTTTAATCCCGTCTGACGTGCCCGGAATCTGACGTAGGCCCATTGCTCAAAAGGCGCCCTGCAATCGAGATTTCGGTTGCACGACGAATCTCCAGTTGGTCAAAAAACTAACACTCTGGTTTTTTTTGGTTTTTTTTTTCTTGCTGGGGCAATAGGCCCTTCGCTAATTTGACCCTAAGATCTGAATTTTGACTTTGTTTTACCTTAGGTATAAGGGCGCAGCTAACACTACGGGCCGATGAAGCAAATCAAGGAGCGTCAAGTTTGCACGGTGATGCAGTCCGTTCTTTTGCGTGAGATCATCGGCTAAACCAAATGTAGTGAATACGCCGTGACATTGCGTCTTTAGCGTGTGTGCTCAAGTTTTTTTTTTTTTTTTTTTTTATCCTTGATTACGCTTTTATGCTGAAACAGGGCATAGTTGTTAAACTTAAGAGAAAATATTTCACATTAAAAAAAAGGTAACACGTTAATGCGAATGAAAAAGAAAACACGTAAATTAGACGACGAAAATTATCACTGGAGAAGGGGTCAAACATAAACACAGAAGGACAAACACAAATCTCCAAACACAGCTAGGTGATTGGTGCGCGACCAAGAAAACCCGCCTGGGGGGGGGGTCCTGATATCGAACCAGGGACTTCTCCATTTCCAGTGGAGCGCTCTACCGACTGAGTTAACCAGGTGTTAGACGTCAGTAGAGCAAACGCGTTTCATCAGCTTCCACCAGCCTAACACAAACAAGGATGAGCGACTTGCATTTTAAGCTTATGATTATAATGCAATTAAATGCAAAGGTGCAAGCGAGCTGGACAAATTAGAGCAGTTGTAACACTTGTAGTAGCGTTGACTCGTAGCGACGCTAATTGTTGCCCTTGATATAAAAAGAAAAACCCCGACCGTTACGAAACGTTTTCTATGTATTTTGTTTTTATTGTTATGTTTTGACTTCGAACGTTTTACTTTTTTTTTATGTTGTCACAAAACAAATTTATCATTGTAGTTCATTTCATTTATTTACCACTGTAGTTTAATTGAGAGCGCAGTCTTGCTGGTGTCTATGATCAAACACTGATCAAATAGTTGCAGGGACCCCGGAACCGGGGAGGCAACGCGGGGCTTGAGCACCCGCTGACATTTTCCAAGGGGTGCTGGGCAATATGCTGAGCCCAGTTGCGTTTGGCTCAAGGCCGACTGAAAAATGCCTGCACCCCTCCCCCCTACCCTCCGTGATCCCGTTGTTGCTCAGCTCCGCCAAGTCACGTATACTTAGCTAAGGACAAGCACGTGGCTCTGTTCTTGTTACGGCTGGTTACCCACCAAATCACGGCTCAACCTTCGCCCTCGCAATTCCAGAAAAAAAAAACGAAGTAAAGCAAAGAGTCAGTAAACTCCGAACAACGGGGCAAATCCCCCCCCCCCCCCCCAAAAAAAAAAAAAAAAAAAAAAAAAAAAACAAAGCCGGCGTTTGCGGTTTGCTTAGCCGCAAGCGCAGGGAGATCTCTCTTCATCTGCTTGGTCGTTTTCCTGGCCGGCTTCTTCGTTTTGCTTTTATTTTGAGCAGCGAGGTTTCCCAAAGAACACGAGGATTTCTTCAAGCTTTTTCTTTTCTTGCAGCTGCGCTTTTTGTTGTTGTTTTGGCGGTCTGAGTAACCACGAGGGTCGGGTAATAGACTTTTCCGGAAATATGTGGTGCCCCCAGCATCTGCTTTACGCGTTGTGACGTTCAAAAGGACGGCACGTGAAATTATCCAAGAAGCGAAAACGAAGTTGAAGTTGGTTTAACCGTTCGTGATTTTAGGACGCAAAGAAGGCAGAAGGAAGGGAAAACAGAGTATGTGATGACTTTCTTTTGCGTTCGCTTTATTTTCTTGTTTGTGCCGAGCTCCTAACGATAAGAAAGAATGAATTGTGCCGCTACCAGGATATACGAAGCGTTCGAGTCGGCACCCCCCCCCCTCCAAGCATACATCCGAATCTCGTGGGATTTTCTGGAAAGGTCTATTGCTCCCGTGGGGAGACCCGAAGCTAAAGGCATGGTTTGTGCGAGAAGAAAGCCCTTCTTGAACGAAAGACTGCCCCACAGATGAAGCAAGTTGAGGGACTGAAGTATCCCAACCCCCAAAGCAAGAGGAGGCCTTAGCAAGCGACACAGTTTGTCAAGGGAGTGATCGCGCTGCAGTCTGTATTGAAGCGCCGCTGTCATAGTGGTCATCGGAGACTTCAAAGAATCGCGGCATTCTCATCTGTATTTCTATGTCTGGTTTTCGAAACACCATTTGTTTCTTGGCGAGTCAGTCTGCTATGTTCAGGCGGGCACCCTATTATACACCCAGACGGTTCAACCCTCTTTTTAAAGACGACCATAAAAACAGGAAACATGCTGAAATAAAAAAAGGCATCGCCAGTGAAGGTTTACCACCGAGGACGACCGCGTCCACCGGTGGTAAACTTTTTTGTTTAATTTTCCAAAAATGCATTGTTATAACTTTTCACAGGAACGGGGCTGCGCCGAGAAATTTTACAGGAATGCGTCCACGATTAAAATACACCTTCGTTTAAAATGTGAGCTTTCTACGTGCAGGCGCCCGATTTTCCAGTGCATTTTACATCGACACAGTAGATACTATTGGATCAGATTGTGCCAACATCTCGTTGTTTCGTGACAGGAACTTTGGACGAATGTACGGACACACGGTATAGGGAGTGATAATAAACCTTCTATAAGCAGTAAAATCTTGGTAATGTTTATTTTTTTTTTTCAATTTTAATTTGTTTACTCCCCCCCCCCCCCCCTGGTTAATTCGACCCCTCCCCCCCCCCCCCCACACACACACACACACACACAAACGAAAAATAAGTTTTAGGGGTCGCTGGTTGAGCTTCGGAGCACATGTCTAGGAGGCGCTGCAGTCGGGAGATAGTCAGCGCCTCCACCGGCAAAGAAGCGCAACGATGGGAAGTCGCCGGCGCGTCGTCCGCTTCTCCTGCCCCCTTCCTCGTTGCTAACTTCCAAGCCCGGCGCTGGCTTCTCTGACTGCGTACGTCCCCGCATGTATTGGAAACGTAGTGATTGGTCTGTCTGAGGTAGAACTGAGCGGTTCTTTTGGTATTGTGAACATAATGCCCCGGGTATACCTTGGGTAATCAATTGAATGCACTGACGCAGATAGCAATCGTGCAACAAGGTATCGGGATGACTTCCGTCTTGGTATGGTAATCATTGTGATTAGCACTCACTTAATCATGTCTACCCTTAGTTCTTCCGTCTCGATGTGCTAATCATTGTGATTAGCACTCCCTAAATCATGCCTACCCTTAGTTTTTTTTTAGTTGTTTGTTTAATGTATACAGAATGCTTTCTTTTGCGGCAACTCGGAAATGTGTTTGATTGGGTCAAACAACAAATAGCAACTCGGCAAATCTGCGAATAGCACTCTGGAACTCTTCGCCAAATAACAATATGAAGCGCCACAAAACAAATCAATCACAGAAAAACAGTATAATATAAGTGGTCGTTAGAAGTCAGGGATAAGAAGCAGATAGAATAGAGAAAAAAATGCAGCATTTTATCTCCAAACATTATTGTTACCACGTGGCCTCACATGTACGGAAAGCGAGGACCTCGCGCTTGTTGCCTTCGCTGATGACACATGATAAAATTCTAATAGCAGACTGAAAAAAAAAAAAAAAAAACGGTCGTATACAGCATTTTTAACGGCGCAAATGACGAACCGGACTTCCCATCGTTGCGGAAGTTACGCACCAGATGGCGCGACCTGTCAGGGCAAACTCCATTAAATTATCTCCAAGTTCCTTCCCAGTCTCAGGGTTTAAATATTACAGACAAGTTCGCCTGCACTTCGACCATTTGTTTTTCGATTGAAGAAGTGCTGTAGGTGTACACATATGTACGTGGCAACAAGTGTGACGTGTGTACACTGTGCGACACTGTTAGCGAAAACACGACAGTGGCAGTTTTTGGCATTTTAGTTGGAACTTATTTTGGAGGGAATCCAATTTTATCTCTTAGGTTAGTGACGTGAATGAGTACTTTCCGCCCACAAGTATAGTTTTGATTACATACCTTTGATTCTAAGGGAAAAAAATTGATAGACTGGGCCCCCGTTTGTCGCGCTGTAGCTGTACATATCCGTCTTCGTATTTTTTTTAACGTTCTTCGTTAATCTTATGAAATCAAATGAAGTATTCCACACTTATTATCAGATATCCAAAACCAGAAACTAACAAAAAAAAAAAAACATACGGAAGAAAACAAAAAAAAACAAAAAAAGGTCTCCCCGTCGGGGAATCGAACCCCGGTCTCCCGCGTGACAGGCGGGGATACTGACCACTATACTAACGAGGAACGAAATTTCAGAGAATTAAAGTGATATATCAATAGATCGCTCATTTCATAGGTTACTTGCCCGAAATGTGCACAGATGAGGCCGACGACACCCGTACCAGCTCCCAACTCAACCACAGTTCGCTGCGCGTTCCACTCGCCTTTGGAGTTTCTGCAATCGATGTATTTTCCTAAAACTAGCGCGCCGTCCCACACCACGCAACCGACGTCTCCTTCGGTCCACTGGTGTATCTGAAGAGAAGACTCGGTAGAATCTAAGTAGACGTCTCGCACGAATGTAGCCGCTTCACTCTGCATAATTGTCGCGTGTTTAACTCGATCAAGCTAAATTAAAATAGCAGGTACTCTAATTAATATAAATTACGCTGCACCACACCACGGACGAGAACATCTGAGCCCGGGAACTGTTCAAAATGTTAGCTCATTGTCGTGTTCCCATCTCTAATGAAAAATTATAATTAAAATATTGCCTCAGAAGACACAATCACTATTCGTAACGAGCTTTCTTTCAGTTTTTTTTTTTAAATATGTTGTCGATGTTGCGCTCGCCGAAAAACACCTTTATTGTGTTCCTTTTCACAGTATTATTTCACTGTGGAGTCTAAAAGAGTAGCTCTTTATCAATGGAAACAAATCTATGACGTCACGTACGTAGGCTTTAAAAGTAGGTAAGCAAAATCACGTGATTGAAACTCTGAAGCATGGAAGGCTGAATAACCGAAGGCAGTCTAGCAAGCTGACGTGTCATGCGCCAGGTGTCTCTTCGGTCACCAGTCGACGATGAGGCGAGCCGAGCTGCTATGTAAGTTCCACTTCTAACGCCAAATTTTATATATTTCCCTATTAAATCCTGGCGAAACTTAACGGCATTGCTTTCACCGGGAACCATGACAGCTCGCTAAAAGCCGTTTTAAACCGTACGAGTCTTAATTGTATTCTTTTTTAACTGATATTGACACGTGGCGAACGCCGCGGCTTTGGACTTCTCATGGGCCGTAGCGTTTGTGTATTATCTTGCTGCTTCATCACGTAGCTATCAAACGACGATGTTCGTAATGCCATTTTATAGACTGGGAGACATCCCTATTCTCGATCCTACTTGATTAAACTGGCGTTTATGAGCGGCGCGACTGTGCGGTGACGCCGGCACTTTTGCCTGCGATGCCGGTGCTCTGTCTGCGGTGCTGCGATATCTGTAGAAGGCGTTCCGCGTTCCGCGTCCCAGCGAAAGCTGGTCGAAGTAGTAGCGTCCACATTTTATGCAGCCGAACCAATTCGCTGTGTGGTTGCAATAAACATTACACGGCGCGTGCGTTTATTTCTGCGCCTATGTTTAGAGTGTGATGTGCGTTGGCGATGTTTGCGTGGCATAGTGCTACCGAGATCACACGGCCGTACCTGCACAACACAAGCAATATCCACTTCATAACTTTTCCTCGTTGATTTACTGAGATACCTCGCTACTCTGCTCTTTTCAAACGCGTCGCGCAGATTTTCTAGGTTATTTCGAGTGTTGTGCATCCACTTGAAAAAAAAGTGACTTTTGTTAATTGCTAGTTACAGCAATGCAACGCAATTTAATGTGTGCCATCATCCAGAGCTTTGCGTGCAGCTCATCGAGTGCAGTGAAAAGTCAGGAAGTTTCCACAGCATGCAAGGCCTGCGAATTTCAGTTGTGAATTTTCTTTTAGTTAAATTTCCCGGCAGCATATGAACATTGCAAGGTCTGGGTTCAGGCTCGCCTTATTGACAGACATTTGAACTTTAGGTTGCGTGCCCGTGACTTTCATGACCTTGCTCGAGTAAAACAAATGCTCCAACTGTTTTCAAGTTAATCACACCTAAAATAATTTTTTTATGCGATTTTTGAAGTTTTTATGGGTGGCAGCTCACCCATCGCCGATCTAAGATGTCAGGAGAAGTCATCTACAAGATTAGAAAATGACTGCGGCAAGAAAGCCTCAGATTAACGTGGTTCTTGTCGACTTGCCTCTTCTCCGTCCATAACCAGAAACGCGCGCTATCTGGCATACAGGCCCACAATTGCCCACGAAACAAAGTTCACTATTGCTGTTGTGCAGTGAGTGGGCTTTCTTGATCGTAACTATTATATGCCGTGCATCATGCAAAAGATATGCTGTTTGCTGCAGACACGATGGCAGAAGTATCTGCGGACACGTCTGAACCACGTCCAAACATGTAGGCAGACATGGTCTATATGGCCAAAGTGACAGGACCGCCATACAAGGAAAGATTGTGCCTCGTACAGCCTCCGCAGACTCTCTCTTGTACAGTGTACGAGCAAGTGTGACCGCGGCTTAACATGCCTTCTGGCCCATGTAGATATTTGTGGCTCCAGTCACTGTTTGTGCTTTCATGGCCCGACGTTTGTCTTGCAGCTTTACCATGGCTCCTTCTGGTGGCCTTGTATGGGGCCCAGCTGTGCAGCACCCTGACCCTCTCCACATACTTTGGAGCGGAAGATAGGGCCCGCCTCAAGAGCCTCTTTACTTCCAAAAAGGCGCTGGCAGACCTTCAGTCGGCACACTATGCCGCCTTGGGCCTCAGCCTGCTGGGCGAGAAGATCGCCAACCCACAGGTGACAACCCCTTTGTGCTCGGGAACCGCTGGCCGCGATGTGTTCAGTACCAACTACTGCCCGTTACAGAGGGAATAACCGATACCATCCTTCCATCTATCCATTTATTCATGGTCCTAGACACTTCCATGAGGCGTGCGTGGACATGCAAATGGCAGTCATGTATACATGTTTATGTCTTGTATCCAAGATGGGATGGCACCCGTACCATATTCTGGGCCATAGCATGTTCTAGACATGGACATGCACGCATGAACTTCCGTATCTGTGGCCTTCAGTTCCACACATCTCGTGGAAAGTTATCTTGGGGAATAGCTGGTAAGAAAGGGACCCCAAGTTTAGTATTGTTGATTATTTAGTATGCTTTAAGACAGGCACCTGAGACTTGGCGGGGAATCACAATTTAACATTAGCGACATTTTTTTTGTCTCCGCAGGACTACTGCAATGTCTTGAAGACTGTCGACCAGAAGAACTTGGAGGCCTTGTTCCATGCCACTTCCGGCAGCAAGGCCCTTGGCAACTGTCAGGTGTGTCCTTTTGGTCGTTTGCTTCCTTCTTCCTGCTGTTGACTCATGTGCTGTGCTAACATCTATTTGAGAGTTTGGTTGTTCAGTTACTACTGAATTACAAAACGTGTGTAGAATTAGCCTTTAAAACTATGAATACTGCATTCTTTTAAACCTTTCAATGGATTGAGGAAAGACAGCATGCATGTTGACAAGTCGTCCTCGGCTTAACTGTTCTGTGACCTTCATTTTATCTGTAGCACTGCATAAATCTATGACATCACTCAGCAATTTGTGATTTTCCACAGGTGCAGCTGAGTGGTGAAAGTAAGCCTCTAAATTTGTGTGTACAAGTGAGAAATCTGAATACACCAACCAAAACAGATGACCAGCGACTGCTATGTTAATTATCTTAACGCAAAAAAAAAAGGTAACAGAGAAAAGTAACAATCTGAATTTCCCATCTAATGGTCTTTTTGGACAACTAATGCCTCAAAACCTAATGAAACGGCTGTTTAGTTTCCTGAAAAACTGGCTTGGTAAGGCATGCAGTAATAGGAAGATTATATTTCTTATTTATCATTCTTGACCAATGGGATTGTACATCCTGAAGTTTAAATTTAGAAAACATGTCCATCATAATGAAAGTCCTGTAAAAAACCAACTTTCAGCTTGGAAAAAAATTGTGATATGTAGCTTACTAAATGTCTGCGCAGTTTGGCACAACTTTCCTCATACGACTTGGGCGGCAGAAATTTCCTATGCATGTCCACAGGACATCCGTGTCGTGTTGAGACATCTTGAGGACATCCTCAGAACCATGCGTGATGCCAGGGTGCTTCAGTGCACCAAACAACTGGTCTAACACTCCTTGCACTTTTCTCCATAGTTGGCACTCATCGAGGGCAAGTCTACTTTGGAGGGAGCGCTCAAGGATGACTCTACTGTGCCCCAACTGTACCACGCTGTGCTGAGTCTCAAGGCTCTTGGCAGTGCCGGTGAGAAGGGCTTTTGAGACGCGGCTCTGGTGAGCTCTCTGTGCTCTTGGCAGTGTCTGATTCTGAATTTTCTTTTGGGACGTGATCCAGTGGACGCTGCCAAAGTGAGCCAGCTGCTTCTGGCTGCATTGAAGAAAGACGACAGCATGATCAAGTGAGGCGCCACTTTTATCTGGGCTTTGTCCATTCATCCTCCGCGGAGATACGTGAAATTCCAATAGTTTGGGGTTATGCCGGTATGGCCGTACACCAGTACAAATTCGTACTGGCACACTGTTGTGTAATCACTAATCTCTACCGTGTCAGGCACATCAAGAATCCCAGGTTAGCGTTGTACTGCTCTATAAAAATTGCTCTTCCTTAGCACAGAAACACCAGAATTTATTATAGGGTAGACTTCTTACTGTCTAAATACTAGGGTTGTGCAAATATTAAAATTTTCTGATAGTAATTACGAATAATATGTAATTTGATATTCGCTTCAAGATGAACTGTGATATTCATATTTTTCTAAGTGTTGATCTCACCGGGTTAGCTTTGTTGAGCATGTTTCTCATCGAGCACCGCTGCACTGCGGAGAAGCAACACCGCAGGAGCTTGCTTTCGCGGGTATTGCTTCACCTCAGTGCACCGGTGCTCGGTAAGAAGCTCACTCAACGGGGCTAGCCCACCACAGTCAACACTTAGAAAAGTACAAATATTGCAGCCGAGTGCTTAGGGGGGAAGCACACTTTCAAAGCAGGATGGTGCACGCGCGCGCCTGGCGTATGCATTACTCGGAGATGTCCTGACAATGTGCGTCCATCATTCGTGATTGTCTTTTTTGCTTTTCTGGAATTCAAGATGTAAGGAAGGATATTTGCATATAACACGGAGATTAATAAAGCTTCTCGATTAGGTATAGCTGGGCATCTCTTGGAGGTTTTATTTTATGCCCAATGCATCATTTACATGTCATCCCAATGTAGGCATTGGACTTTCTGAGGTCACAGTTTGTTACTATAGTAGTTTAAAATTAACTGGTGGCTTATAAACGGGCAAGTGAAAGCTTGGGAACAACATTTAGGAGTTAAACTGGGTTTTCGCTTGCGTGATGTATGAAAGGCCTCGAGGAACTATTCAATATTCAAGTAGAAAATATTAGACCAAAACGACTATTCGCATTGAATTTGTTTCGCACTCAAAAGCCACTATACGTGCATGCCTAACACCCATACAACATTAATTTTTAGCTGTATCTTGATGTAGATTGAACCATCATATGCAGAATTGCATTTTATGAAAAACACAGCTGACACATTTTTTCAAAGTGTCGCCTCATTGTGCTCTCCCACCACTTACTTGTGGTGGCACGAAGTATGCTCAGACTGAGGGGAAAGAGCGTCGTGTAGGGTGATGCGTAGCGTGTGGGCATGCTATGCGTGCAAACACACACAATTGGTCAGTGCAACTGTCTGGCAGGTGGCATTGTGTCACTGCAAGCTTTGTTTCCCACAACCGCAAAGCCTAATTTAGCTTTTGTTAGAATGCAGTTCTGCATTATAATATAGCTTTGTTACTGCGTTATGGCCACCTGTCATGAACAGATGTTTCCCATAGCATTGTACAAAAAGAGAAATCAATAGACACACTTTCAGTGCACCTTGATTGAAAGATGGTTCGGCAGAAATCCATTTCGTCGTTGCTCTGCAGCTGCATGCCTTTTGCCCCATATACTGCTGTCACGTGATTGCAATTTTTGTTTCACAAGATCACGTTAAATTTTTGGCTGGAGCACCCCCAGAGGTTGGCTCCCCTGACTGCATGCACTGAAGTTTAGAATCTCTGCCTTAGAGCCCCGCTGTGGCCTCCACAAAAGTATCTTTGGTTTTAGTTGCTGCCAATGAAAGTGTAAAAACACTTATCACGTTCACCACAGCAACACGGAGCCGACCCCTTCCCCTGTGTTTGCAAGACCAGAACCCTTTTAACTTTGACGAGGTGTTGGTGCAAATACAGTCGACTAACCTCTCTCGTTTTGTCCTCGCAGCCTCGGCTACGCCTTCCACGTTGCGTCGGTCCTCGGCGGAAACGTCACACCTTTCACAGATCGGATTGAAGATGCTGTCGTTCAAGCGGATGAGGTTGGCGGAGATCTGCTACAGGTATGGCAGAGTTTACATGTCCTACATGATGTGCTACGTGATGCTGAACAGCGTTAATTATTAGCATTGATTCCTAAACTAGTAGGTTCTTGTACAAATAGTGATTCAAATTGAATAGCACTGCATCATTAATACACTTTCTTTATAGTTCAAGGAAAGGCCTAGGCATACCGACTTTCTCTGTAGTGTGGAAGCTAAGAACGAAGCTGCTCTGTTTGTTTCGAAGATCCATTCATACACCTTTGAGAAAAGTCTTAGTGGGTTTTCTCACGCATCTACATTTCTACGCCTCTGTGTTGTTCGTTTCTTTTACTCGTCCGTTGTTTTTAGCGCTTTTACCCTCACAAACAAAGATCTAGACCAGCCTTTTGCTAGGATTGAATTTTAGACGTAGCATTGTTTTATGCAAAGTTAGTTGCAGCCGTTCATTCCGAACACGAAGAGAACAAACGAGAGCCAAGTTTTACAGCAGCCACGGTAATTGGCTCGGTTTACCGAAGGTATCCTCGACTCTTGGCTCATTCAGTTTGTTTGGCGCGTTTCAGTTCGAAGGCGGTCTCAGCGTGACGGCCACCATCCTGAGCGGTGTCTACCGTCTGGCCGAGGCGGCCAACAAGGCACCGGCCGTCAGCAAGGTGGGTCAAGCGTCCTCCTCTTGTTTTAGACTTTTCTTGAGTGTTGTCTATAATCGGTGACACACTACGAATCCGATAAAAGCTCTGCTTCCAGCATGTGCTCGTTTCGTAGCGCCAAGCTCTGGCTGCGCGTGCAACGAAGTGTTGTCAAATGCAGAAAGCTCATGCTGGAGGCAGAGCATGTACTGCATTCCCAAAAAGACCAGGAAATGATTTTTCAATTTCTTGATTCTTAGCTTTCCTGCTCAACTCACAAATCGCACATCAAATCGCAAATCGACGATTACGTCGGACTGGCTTCGTTCAGCGTCCAATCAAAGTTTATGATCTCGTCGGCATTTGCTGTAGTGAATGCTTGCTGGCGTTTGCACTTGTTGAAAGCGTCGATGCAAGTTACGAATTGGGGAAGCCTTGCGATTTGTTTTCTGGGCTTACCTGTGTGGCACCGTACGTGACACTGTAAACAACTTTATTTTTGCGAGCTCGGTATTTTGCGAAGTTTGCAGCACGTGCGTGTCGGGAATGTTTCACGGGCACAAATTTTTGCAATTTGAAGTGATATGCTATGTGGCCGTCACCAAGGTCTGTCGTATATTCGCAAGATCGAGTTTACGTAATATCTTTTGAGTCACGAAATTCGCGAGAAATGAGGTCTTCACAAAAAATAAGTTGTTTACACTATGTGATGGACAGGTAGCGTTGGTGTAGCTTGCTGCGACCTGTTGCGAACAAGTGCGCGGAGATTGACACTTAGGGAATCCTTTGCTTTTAGGAGCAAGTACTCAAGTTTGCCAACTACCTCCTGTCACGCAAGAATGTGCAGACGGTCAAGGGAGCTGCCATTCTTTATGACGTGCTGAGGCTACTCTCTGTCAGCAGCAAGGTAAGCACTCCGTTAGGACACGGGTTGGGTTGGTCTCACATAGAAAGGTATCCTGCCTACAACACGATCCCAGGGTTTAGCCATGTGCAACAGAAGTGTGAAAAGTCGCAAAGCAACGTTTTATTGGATTAATGGTTAGTATAGTGCCCAAGTATTTTCTGATGTTTCGTACACCTAGCCGGCATCTTGGAATCAAAATAAACTTTTTTTTCACAATGTTAGCTGAAATGTGGTATTTGTAACACTGCAAAAGTGACGACATATGTTGTATTTGGGCAGTTACAAGAAGTTTGATGGTGTGAAATGAATGCAGTAAAAACACACTCCAGCTGAACAGGAAAAAAAAATGCTCAAAATATTTTGCTTTTTAAACTGCCTCCTAACCCGCAACTTTTACAACACACGACGTGGGGAAATTAGAATGTTGGTTTTGACTTTGACTTCATTTGTTATTTTCTCAATTGCTATTCTGAATCTAGTGCTTGTAAATAGCATGCTGAGAAGAGAAAAGCCTGGGTATTTCGAAAGTTTAGTAAGTTTGGATAGCTGGATAAACTCCAGAAGCTCCCCTTGAACCAGCAACAGACTATAGTGGCCGAACTTCTAGATAGCCATGTCTCACGCAACCGACATGTGCGCCTTGCAGGCATTATTTTGCTTTTTCTCTCGGTCTAATCTTTTTTTCACCGGAACGGTACCTCCCGCCCCGACAGCACCACGTGCCCGTGGCGGTGACTGTGTCTGGTTCGTCGGCCCTGAGTGCCAGGTCTCCCACGGTGGTCGTGCGGCTGACCGACGTGTTGGGCGCACCCCTGGCCCCGGTGTCCCTCCTGCTGAACAGCGCAGTGCGACTCAGCGACGGCCAAACGGTGCTGGAGAGGAAGCCTTTCGCACCTTCCAAGGAAGACAAGTGGGTCTCGTCTTTACCGCTGTCTGTGGTGTCTTAAGGCCTGTTCACACATGCAGCGGAGCGTTACAAGCATACCGCTTAGCTTGCGCTGAGCGCATGCTGACGGGAGCGTCCACCAGCTTTGTATCGCACCGTCAACAGTGTTGCTCATGTCAGACGAAAAGAAGCTGACGACACGTGAGTAGCGCTACATCAGCGCTTCGCTGCATGTGAGAACCGGCCTTAATGCACACGTTTAGGAAGAGGAAACCTAACCGACGAGGTTGCCAGTTGGGAATTGTGTCCGTCCGTCCGTCCATTTGTTCTCTCGCTAAATGAGTGTATTGTAACTTGCGTCTGCTTGCGATTTCTTACGACGAGAGAAGACGCCGGCACTATCTATGAGGCGATGCTGAAACTGTGTTTCACTAGAGTGAAGGTTTTGTGGGGTTTGCGAGATTGAATGGATTTACTGTGCATGAGAAACGGTTGTTTTTTGATGTTGTAAAAACGTTTTTCGAAGTCACAAAAGAAGGAACAGTGTACTAAAAAAAAAATTAGCAAATACTATACGGAAATTTCTGGTGTTCCACAGCCACCCGACAGATGGCGTCAGTGTGTGCTCTCGTCGTAAGAGATCCTAAGTGGCCTTAGGCGGTCCTAAGCGGTTACAAATGTGCGAACCGGCTTCAACCCGCTTTTTGTTAAAGACCAAAAGGCGTTTGGACGACACGATACAGTGCTGGTGTTTTCTGTGGCTTACCGACTTCTGAAGTGTGCAGACTTGCTGTGCTAATTGTCACCTCAGAAAAAAAAAATGTGGGTGTTGTCCACGGTCTTTGCACTGCACGAACCGGTTCTCTCGATATCTAATTGTCGGAGAAAGAAACAACGCTTTCTGGGTGTTTGAAACGTGTGTGTTTTAAACAATGAATGACTGATCTGAAGTGCAGATATAGGTACTATCTTAATTCACCACAAATGGGGGAAATTAGCAACGCTCAGCTAGGAGCCAAACTTGTTTTATGTGAAAATGACTATCGTTGGGATCAAAAATGAAAGCCGTTTACAACTCCCTGTAACGCCGAATTAGAGCGCAGCTCTTGAGGAGGAGGGAAGGTTACTGGGGGGTGGGTCAAGTGACCGCGGGGGGTCACGTGACCTTGTGGGAGTCACGTGACCTTGTGGGAGTCACGTGACCTTGGGGCGTCACGTGACGTCGGGGGGTCACGTGACCTGGGGCCACGTGACGATGCCGATGACGTCGTCAGTGACGTCACTGATGACGCCATCAGTGATGATGATGATGACGATGCGGATGCCGGTGACGTCACCAGTGACGTCACTGATGACGTCATCAGTGATGATGACGATGCGGATGCCGGTGACGTCATCAGTGACGTCACTGATGACGTCATCAGTGGCTATGACGTCAACGGGGGGTCACGTGACCTCGGGGGGGTAACCCTAGTAACCCTTGTGAGGGCAACTCTCGTGACCCTCGTGAGGGTAACTCTCGTGACCCTCGTGAGGGTAACTCTCATAACCCTCGTGACCATCGTGAAGGTAACCATTTTGAGGGTAACTAACCCTCGTTACCCTCGTAAGGGTTACGAGGGTAAGTAACCCTCACGAGGGTTACTTACCCTTGTGAGGGTTACCCTTTTGAGGGTAACTAACCCTCGTAACCCTCGTGAGGGTTACGAGGGTAAGTAACCCTCGTGAGGGTAACCCTCGTGAAGGTAACCCTTTTGAGGGTAACTAACCCTCGTAACCCTCGTGAGGGTTACGAGAGCAAGTAACCCTCGTGGCCCTCGTGATCCTCGTGAGGGTAACCCTCATGAGATTAACCCTCGTAACCCTCGTAACCCTCACGAGGGTTACGAGGGTTGCGGTTACGCCGACGCCGACGGCAATGCCGACGGCGACGCCGCTCAAGCCGGGAACGGGCCCCTAAGAGCTGCGCTCTAAAAGCTCCTGGCTTGTCAACACCTTTCAGCTTCACCGATCACTACCGGCACCTGCTCGACAATCATTACTAAGTTAAGGGAAATACTGTGTATGCACAGGCTGATTTGATTTGGATCGTTATTTTAAATACTTGGTTGGGATGGGTATGTGTGCATCAACTCCACTCCTGAGCTGAGAACTTGATATGTTCACACTTCTGTACAGTCGTCTTAATTTGCCAACATTGAATGATTGTAACGGTTTACAGACCAACTTTAATTGGATGGTTCCATAAATGACGTTAGCCTTTCGCTGTTATTAAGACAGAGAATCTCTCTTGTGTTTTTTTTTTTTAAGATGGGGCTGGTTTATTTGCTCACTTGGGTCGTAAAAAATCTTTTTTTTTAGCAAAGGGGTTGCCTCTCTGTGACTTCAAGGGGGGTCCTTTTTAAGTTGGTGACCATATAATGAATCTACTTTACACTACCAACAGTAGTGTAAAGTAGTGCCGTAATCCCTGTGAGTTCAGAATGTGCGTAAGGTTCCGTTCTCTGTTGCAGAACCCTGTACGTGTACAACTTCATGTCTGGCAAGCCTCGCCGTGGGTTCTACAAGCTCAGCCTGAACGCCGTGCCTGTCCAGGCCGATGCCCGTCTGCTCGGAAATACAAATGCCGAGGTGAGGCCGCCTTTTAGTTCCACCTCGCTGGTCGAGATGGACATGGTATCAGCTCAGGTCGGCTCACTACTGATGTGACAAGAGGGCGGGTTTCTTATTCGAGTGACCGTCCACCAACATGCCGTCTGCTAATAGGTCGTCACTAGGTCTAAAGAGTGGCTGGACAAACCCCTCCCACAAATCTTTCTTCTTGCCATAATCGGTAGTTTTTACCTCTCCACTCTCCTCCTCCTCCTGCTTTTGCTCTGCCAAGTTGGGAAGAGTGGAGGGCTTTTTGGGAGGGGCTCGTCTTTGTTCCGTGTGTCTTAGCAGACCATGGCAGACGTCTGTTAGCTTGTCGTCTGCTAGCGGGGTGGCGTGTGACTGTCAATCGAGGCAGATGGGCCTCACAATGCCAACAAAATTGATTTGCGAGGTCTTCACAAAAAATCCTTACAGGTGCTAAAGAGATTGGTCGGGCCGAGAGGTCCAGGAAACAGTTGGAAAGCCTGGCACTATGCGTACTAAAAGTGCATGCATAGAAAATGGCTGAAATCATTTAGTCCTGAACGTAGTTGTGGGCTCTGGTTTAGGCCCCTCATGTGGTACTTGGGTGCTGTGTACCTTCTCACTTCAATACTTCTCGCTCTCAATCATTACAGATCCAAGTCAAAGTCCTGACCGAAGTGGAGGTGGTTAACCTTGAGGTCGGCACGGCCGATCGTGACCAGACGGCGGCTCCCAAAATGGACGTGTGAGTGCCTCAGATTTGTCTCCCGTAGTGAGGCTGCCCACGCTGGCCAAAGTTCTAGGAATCCAAGCACAGTCGGCATGTTTGGTACCTGAGGTTTCCAAAGCTTCATTGGCTGCCAGTTTTTTTACGTAGAGTTATGTTTTTTTTTACGCTTGGAAGGGGGTGCAAAGTTGGGAGGTCGATGTCACGGAAACTTGGTCACGGAAGTGACGTCACACTGATGCTGCCGAGAACCGCGCAATGCGCAGAGGAGTCTTTCCTTATCTGCTGGCTTGCTCGCCTCAACGCAATGCGCTCCTGTCAAATTGCAACGGCAATAGACGCCGCTCCGGCAGCCGTGATTCCACAATCGTCGCTCTGAACAGCAGCCGAGCTCGCGTGCTCTGCGGCACGGGCATTTCACGCGACTCGGCGAAACGTTGAAAGCAATCGCACATAGTTTCTCATGTGTGCCTTGGAAATGGTGGCGCAGGGGGCTGCACATCTGCCTCTGCCGAACTCCGAGCCTCGGGTGTTCGCTTCTTACATGCTCGACATCGTCATGCGGAAGGAGCCCGTGGATGTTTATACAGCTGCGGCCGTAGTTCTGCGGAGTAAACCTATGCGCTGACCAATTTTTTTTCGTGGGTCAAAGTGATCGTTTTTGCACGTACTCTGTAGGGAAGTGGATTCTCGGGCTGATTTCGATTCATATTTAGGCGTCGTCAGAGAAAGGTGGTGCCTAATAGCCACGAATAAATGGTGCACGTTAATAAATGCCAAATTAACTGTAGAGCGTGTTGGTAAAGTTGAATTGACTCTGAAAGAATAAACAACAAACTCGAGACATGGACGTTTGTTTTATTTTTAGATTTTTTTTTCTTTCTTTGTCAAGTTAAGTTAATAAATGGCATGCAGCATTTCTAGAGCTCATTTTTTGACTTGATGGCAAGTTCACCTTCGGGTGTGAAGGAGGTAGGGAGCAGAGCAAGGTCAGAAAAGGACTTCATTGGAGTCAACTTGGATAGTTTTTGAATTGTGCGGTACAAGACTCCGTCTAGTTTGGGATCTTGGGTCAGTGTTGTTTCTAACTTCCTTAGTCAATTTTAAAACTTCCATAAATCCTCCAAGATGAGCACTAACAATATACATTTTACCGCTTGGTGCGTTTTCTCACGCAAAAGATATTTTGAGATATCTGACTTTAAGCTAACCAGTGATTACCGTAAGCGTCTAAGCCTGCTTCAGGAGATTCTCGCTTTTTTTTTCTTTTTTTTTCTCACAGGGTGCAATAGCATGTGCTTGCAAACTGAGCAAAGACTTTGTGAAACCGAACCTGCGGCCTTCTGAAAACTTCCATTTCATTAAATCGAGGCTAGAAGGTATGGGGTATGGGATGGTAGCGGGGTAGAAATGTGAAAAAGAATTTCCTTAGATTGCTAATTCTTTTTAATCTATGTTCGTGGTCCCAGGGTTTTGCGTCACCCTCCCAAATATGTCCCCTTCTTTATCGTCAAGCGTCGTGCATGCTTGCCTTGCAGGGTTGCGTTCAAGGGCAAGCTGGCTCAGACACTGGAGGCGGACCACCACCAAAAACTGGTGATGAAGTTCTCGCTGAAGGACAAGTCCAACGCGGACATCATGACGGCCCAGCAGGCCTTTGTCCACCTCCAGCACCAGGAGACCAAGCGGGAGATAGTGTTCCTTGCCGAGCCCGACAGCTCCCTCATCTACCGCTTCGACCTGGTGAGGGGAACCCTGGCAGACCTTTCTCAAGTGACTGGCGCCGTCTGGGGTTTGTTTGTGAACTGCAAATGGAGGGCAGCCCCAATGTGTTTCCGCCCATCGGAACACGTTGGCATCGTGACGTTGTATTGGTTTTTTCACACCTTTTTGTGCCCTAGATTTTCGATGCTCTACAAAGAATTGTCAATAAAGACGATATACGCACGAAGGTAGGTGCTGACGACGCTGGTCGTGCGGAACGGCGCTCCGAAAATGGCAACGGCAGGAAGCAAGGCCGGGGGGAAGGGTGTATGAACGATCAGAGGCTTACTGGAAAAGGTCCATTGCAACTTAACGCCATATTTGCTCGAGTAATATTAAGTCGTAATAATAATAGTGATGATCTTTGTTTAAGGTGCTCTCAAACGCTCACGGCTATTTGATCAGTGCTCCTCCACAAGAATGCATGCAATAAGTAAGAAAAGACACTCGAGACACACTTGTAAAAATTAGTTCAAAACACGAAAAGGAAGGTTAGTAGAACATGCAAATCGCTTGACAGATTGTAGAACATGGAGGCGTCTATTTTAAGATCTGCCGTTGCACTACTGTTGTAAAGCATGTATCTGAAAAAGAGGCAAAATACCTAGTAGAGTGGAAGTTGACATGAAGATTACCTTTGTGTAGGAGCTGAACCCAGTTGATAACACCATTTGCTACCTTATGTACAACAACTAAGTCACAAACCTTGGACGAAGTTCTCTTCGACAAAAGTGAAAGAAAATTTTAGTGGTAAATATTCACTCGTAATAAAAACGGGCACACTGTTTATGAACAAAGCCTGCCTGTCCACTTTCCTGCACAGCATGTGGATAGCCAATCATCGCGATCAACAGTAGGAGCCTTGTAACCTGGTGGGCAGAGATGACGTTCTCGTGTGAAAATGCTATCTGCACAGATGACAGTTGTGCTGTGCTTTTTACCTTGAACATGACGATTGGCAGTGTCTGTGCTCTGTGGGATAGTAGGAAAAAAAAGTGTGCTCATTACTTGAGTTAACACTAAATTGCAAGTGGGAATGGGGGACAGACAGGCACGCTCTTTTGGAGTTTGCATTTAGAGTTGGCAGTTCTTCCACTGCTGAAAAGTCTAAATTGCCATTGCAAGTGATTCACTAGCCTGACCAAAAACCCCAGTTTGTGCCCAGATAAGTCTGGTATGGAAGTCTGTTTTCATGCATGTTTGTTTTTCTTTCTTGTCAGGATTTGCACCTCAAGGCCAAGGAAATGGGTTACCTGTCTGGAAAGTATGACCTGTCCCTCATCATTGGGGATGCTGTAATTGCCAACCCCCTCAAGTGGACTTTGGTAAGCGCTGGTTTTTTTGGGGGGCTTTTTGTTAGTAGATTACACTGCTCCCAGCATTTACTGAAACACACTTCGAACTATGATGGACTCATTGCTCTAGTATAAACAACCGTATCGGTCTCCATAGAATCATATTTGTTGTATTTGTTTTTCCCAAGAAAAGATGGGGGATCAATCTGTTCCAACAGCTTGTGTTCTCTTCCCCCAGTTTTTGCATCATAATGAAAAGTAAAGTTATTGTTATTAAACATTTGTGCAGTATTTTGAATATAAATATACTGTGGCTCTAGTTGCTGTTTGATTGAAGGTTGTTGCAGCAAAAAGATGCTTTGATGTTGAGTGAATGTGTTTGTTCCCAACAGGCCTCACTCGCACTCAGCTTCCCCCCAAACCCAAGTCCTCCGAAGGACACCGTCGACATTCACGCCCCAAGGCCGGAAATCAAGGTGCCAAGTCCGAGTTGCTTTTTTTTTTTCTCGCGCGTATGTGAAGTTAAGCTTGTAGATCTTAGCATGGCAGTGATGTGATGTGGAATTTGTGACCTAGCCATAAGGTAGCAGCCTGCTAGAACAGCTAACTTTGGTTGGCAACTCTGTGCCACTCCTTGAATGTAGTCTCCAGTACAAACACATGCTTAAACTTGACACAAACTAGATCTGAACTAGAAACAGCTACCCTTTACTTTAGTTTGTTTAAATTGGTGTGCATTCTATTACTACTGACCCCGGGCAGACAGTAGCTTCGTTCGATTTACCTGCACCGGTGCAGAGAAGTGTAGGGGGGTGTATTTCCGATCGTATCTCAATTCACGCACCAGAAGTACACTGGCCAACACTTTCCTGCACCGGTGTAGGAGGTGCAAGTAAATCACTCGAAGCTAGTGTTTACAAGGTGAGTCTCACTAGCGAGTGCCCGATGAACTCGTCTTGCAGCCATGCAGGGGTGGAACGGCTGCGCCATTTGCGCCATTTTGCGCCAGACGCATTTGTCTGCGCCATCCTGCGCCATTTTGCGGAAACTGCGCCACTGCCAATAGCTTGCGCCATTATGCGCCAAATCGCACAACGTGCGCCCAAGAAAATTGTATTTTTTCTTGGTTTCGGTTTCTATCGACTCGACTGGCAACAATGAGCACGTTTAGCTTGGTCGGCCCTGCAATCCTTTGTTCTGTTTATTCTCCCTATGTATCTCGAGTCGGAAGCGCGCCTAAAAACTCGGGGATCGGATTCCAAGCGCTACACCACCTGCATGCGACTGGATTGTTATTCTTCAACCATCAGTGATTAAGCAAGTCGGCCGAGGTGAGGTCGAGTCGGTAAGCGTCAGATTGCCTGAGGCTCTGCGGCCCGGGATCCAGAAGTCAACCAGTGGAAAAAAAATGAGCAAAAGATTCCGTTTACTACTTAATCGTTATAAGTTGGAACCGCATTCCCGCAAGATAAATTGTGATTTGATAGAACTGGAAACGCTGTCCGATCCGAAATTTTGCCGTCCAGCAGCTCTCACGCGAGCGGTAGATCTGCTCGGCGTACTTTAACCTTGCTCTTGTTAATCGCTTTGAATACAATAACTCTGTTAATCGTAGTCTGCTGCTTCGATATTGAGTTGCACGATAGGATGAACTCGAAATTTGTTGCCCTGTTCCTCCACGCAGCGGCACGTCCGTTGCTTACGCACGTCACGTGGTTCGCACATATAATTACTATGTCGAGCATGTGTGGGTTGATCGATAAGCAGTGCTGGTTTGCATCTTGAGCAGCTGAAAGCCACTCAGAAAATATCAAGTACATTATCTTCAGAAACGTATGGTACTTGCGTTTTGGCTCTCATTAAGGCTCACAAAGTTCCAAGTTTTCGCATCTGTTACACTGTTATGTGTTATCCCATCTACCTAGGTTCCTAACCTCTCATGTTCATCTGTGCTGCTAAGCACTATTGAAATTGCTCCCGTGCTCGTCTAAGACACGAGCTGAAGTGCAATGAAAACTGATCTGAGCTGCTCCTAGCCTGCTCCAGAATGTAGTTTTAGCTGCTCCCAACCTGCTCCAAAACAGCGGTTTCAGCTGCTCCCGTGACTGCTCCCAAATACATTTGATGAGTTCCACCCCTGCCATGTCAAAAACAAATTTCTGGTGAGCCAGCCTTGCTTGAGCGGTAGCACCTGTTGGCAGGCATGTTTATTGCCTGCTGGTGAGGCAGAAGCACGCAAGGCAGGGGTTTCAAACTCATTCGGCTGTGGGAGCCAGATAACCCATTCCCGAAAAATGGAGGGCCGACGTAGAGAAAAACACAAAGAAAAGATTATTCAAGATTTTCTATACACGGGACCTCTTGCTCTCTGCCTTCCATAAACTCGCTGTTTTAGTGGTGACATCTTTCACCAAGAGGAACATACACTTTGTGTGTCTTTTGCTAACCTCAGTGGTCCCGGGTTTGTGTTATGTCTAAACTTCAGCTCGTTTGCGCCCTGACTTTCTGTTTAACATGCTTGCATTTTTTAAGCACACTGTTGTTGCCGTGTTGCTGATCTATCGCTATGCTAGAAACTAGAGCTCATAGATTAATCTTTGGAATTAGCTCCTACTGAGCAAACGTTCGTGCAGCTGAGATGAGACCTCGTGCTTGTAGGATGGTAGTGGGATTGGCATATAGGTGATTTACATTAAAGAAAGCTGAGAAGCAAAAGTTGGAATGAAACAATACCCGGTTGCAAAGAAAACGAAATAGAGAAAAATATCTGGGCACATTACAAGAGCAGAGCTACATTTCGAGCATAAATGAATAGACGACAGGAGGACATTATTTATGATGCATATAGCGCTTGAGACATGGGAACGAGGTTTTGTATCTTGATACTTAAGGGCCGCTTCCCAGCGAGTTTCTGGTCGCGTGTTTGAGACTTATGATATAAGGTTACAAAAATGTTTCTGTTATGAATGCCAGCACGGTTGATTAAATGTTTGACTAGTCTATCTCTTCCCGGAGAGAGGACTACACTCGGTTGCCACGGCTGATTTTAGGACAGAAAGACGAAAAATAATATGTCACCAGTGCAGTAGCCAACACAAGATAACCGTCGTGTGTCGCTTACAACGTGTCCACTTTCCCCTGATGGCCCCCTCTCTTGCGTCACAGCATCTGTTCAGGGAGCAAGAGAAACGTCCGCCAGCGTTCCTGTCCAACGCCTTCTGCGGCCTTGTCCTTGCTCCCCTGCTGCTGCTGTTTGTTCTGGTAAGTGCCGCACGCAGACGCGGTCGCCATCATCGTTATCAGCGTCTCGCCAACCTCGGGTTTCTGGACGACCGATGCCAGTTTTTGTTGCGACAACTGTACCGGCAGCTATGTAGACAAAGGAAACGACCTGCACGTACAGTTGGCCCGCCTTGTTGAGGATAGATAATTGCAAGCATGGCACCTCACTAGTGCCCCATGCGTGCAAGCATGTGCGGCGTGCGCGTGAACGTGGTTTTGCCAAGCTTGTAATTGGACGCAGTTGCTTGCACAAGTAGTGACATGGTGGCGGCCAGATGCCTTGCTTGCTATTGTCTATGCTCGGAAAAAAACTTTCTTGCGCGTTTTGAAAGAAGGGAAGAGCGCGGTTTCACAGCTTTGATCGGCGCTTGTGCGCCCATGGCTTTGAGCGCATAGCTACAGAAAACTGTCCCCAGTTAGAGTAGTTCTTTTAATTAAGGTGTGGTTTCGAGGAAGAAAGATAGCTATACATTTGCTTGCCTGGACCTGTAGTTTTATTAAGACGATTGACTCAATAAATGCTTTACTTGATGTTTCTTTTCACAATCAAACTGTCATTTCTTGTAATGTTTGGTGCTTAGTAATTGACTTAGTAGGTGTTCCATATGGTTATCAGCTTCATTAATTCCGTTTTCCCTCGCGTTGTTTCGACAGTGGGGCCGCATCGGAGTGAACCTGTCCAACTTCCCGTTTAGCCTGAGCACCGTCCTGTTCCACTTGGGACTTGCAGGTGAGCCCACTTCGGAGGTTGCTCTTGCCAACATCGCCCGTGACCTCTACAACCCCTGGAATCAAAGCTTCCCTTCCCACGAAAAAAAAAGATGTGTTTGTTGCGAGGATTTCGAAATATAGCTCAACTACCCGTGGTATTCAAAATCGGGGAAAAAATTCCCGGTTCCTTGCTGCGTCCTGCAGAGGAACCGCGGCAACGGCCGAGGCGGCGCGCACGTTCCTGTGCACGCAGTCGCACTAAATGCTAACCATGACTTCTTGTGAGGACACAGTGTCATCATGGTATCATGCGACACCATGGGTCGTGGTGTTACACGATACCATGACGTCGGAACGCCTAAAGTCTCGCAATGTCGGGTCAGATGACCTTAAATTCTCCGCCAGATCAATATGTTCCAATACGACCGTTTGACGTCTCCTGAAGAAATTCAAACAATCCTTCCTTAAATACTGCATTCCCTGCTTTGTGCATAGGGTTAATATAATAATAATCTAGACCAGTAGTTTTCAACCGTTGATGTTTTGCGGACCCTTTGTGGATTGGTGGAAATGATGGAGGGTCCCGTTCGTGGTTAGGAGAAGGGAAAGGTATAGGTTAATTAGGATTAGGATTTAATGCATGGATATTACTAAGGGGTAGTGTGAAGTAGACGAAAAAAACTCTCCCGAAAATTGGAACATTCTGAAAAGAGAGAACTTTTATTGCTGGGCAGGGCTTTGCAGACCCCCATTTGAAAACTGCTGATTGACACCGGTGATTCTCAGTCACTGATGTTTTGGGGACCTCTTCTAGATCGGCAGAAGTGATGGGGGACCCCATCCACCGAAGGGAGGGGGGTATTGGACTATTAGAACGACAAAAGTATAAATGTAGATGCATGCAAACCAACTTCAAGGTTCTGAAACGGAAACTAATCAATCCTATTCATTCAGTGCACAGGGTTTGATCTACTATGTAACTTTCTAAAACATAAAAAAAAAAAATAGAAACGATTTGCTTGGCTTGATTGACGGCTGAGGGCTTTGGGGACACTAGAAAGACCTTCAGGGACCTCAAAGGGTCTGCGGACCCACATATGAGAACCACCGATCTAGACTCTAGAGGGAAAGGTCTCATGCATTTAGGCCGCTTCGAAACAGCAGGCCATAGACGCCAACATTGGTGGTCTTGATGAGACCACATTGCTGATGATGCTTTTCTGTAGCAGGAAGACAACACTTCCAAGGCCTGTCTCTAGACTTTTTTCTAGATTTAATTTGCATGTGAACACCGGCGTCGCCCATTGTATAGAGTAAAATAGAAGTTGACAAGCATTCCTGCAACCTCAACCTGTCGCGCAAAATGTTAACCGAGTTAAGGTTCGCGGCAACACTGTTAACAGAGAGAGAGAGTTAGGCCGGGTGTTTTGTTGTTTGACGGCATTGGCTGACTAGAGGGCTTTGTCTTTGACACAAGTGCCCATCCACCGCCAGAGGCGGCCTTGGGCCTGTTTGCTGCCCCTGGCCGTAAGAAAGCGGTGGTAGATTAATTTGAGGGCATTTCGGAGCGAGTGGACAGCAGCGTATGCCTTGCTTTTGTCCCTGACTGCTCTCAAATGTGCCCACAATTGGAAAAAAAAAAAAAAAAAAGCCTGTGGACAATTTTTTGAGGCAATGCTGTCAAAGCCATGCACATACGTTGTTTCGTTTTTCTCGGTTCACAGACTATTTTCAAAATTTATGAGACTGTTACTTTATAATGTTCTGGAAATATTGCTAGTTTCATTGGCACGTTTTTGTGGGTGTCAAAACATGTTTCAACACTAAAGTTGCAAAAAGAGGCGTTTCTGCGCATGCGACACATTTACAGTAGATTCGCTCGGATCACAGAGTCGCCTTCGAAAGAAATGTGGACTTGTTTCACCGCATTTTAAGAGCACACATGTTTTTTTTTTTAGAAACTACTGGCTAACGAGGTATGCAAAACGCGATCGCTACGAACAATTCTGATATGATTTCAAATGCTGTCTAATGTGCGGCATTTTTGAAAAGTTCTACAACTGGAGTGATTCACTAGTAATATTGCTCTGGACCGAGGCCTAAATTCCAAAACCACTTGCGCGTGTGAAGTGCGATAAATAACACAAACAAGCGATCGCCTTCTTTTTTTTGTTTTGTTTAAACTTTAATGCTATTATTAATACTAGTAGTATTACGGTAGTTTGTGCAACGTTTGCATGTGGGACACCATATGTTAGATACTAAAGTTTTGTATTCAAAACACTTTGATAACACTTCGCTGCACGTACAGCCAAAGCCTAGCAGAAGGCACTGAATACGTGTCGGAGCTGGAGCACTGACTGGTTTCTAACCCGTCACTGACTGTGGCTCATAGCATTCATTAGCACTATGCCGTACCAAGTGTTTCTGCGAATGTCTTTCAAAAATTTCTAAGACCAGGGTGTTTTAGAAAAAGAAAATCTTTTCGGAAGCAGACTGCCAGCCACTGCAGACATCAAGGATTGCAAAAGGAATACTGATTGGCTTAATTAATAGTGACCTAAGATTGACTCGTATACTGCGACATCCCGGGAAATTGACCACCTCAAACCGAAAGCAAGTCAAGTGAAAATCAGGAATGGGATAACGTTTGGTAGGAGATTGTGCCAAAAATGGGGTGTGGGTTATCTTTTGGGCATGGGGCATCTCTCGGGACATTACGGTAGGGGTTTTCGACGACGCTCGGCAAGTTTTTAGTTTGAATCATACTAAGTTTATTTTTGCTGACTAAAAAGTGAATTATTTGATTTTAGGTTATTATTTAGCTAGTTGCTATGTTTGTTTTCAATCCCCGACGTCCGCCGTGGCTGGCGGTCTGTTTTTGGGTTTCTTGCGTTTCTCAATCACCCTAGTTTTAGGAACTCTTAAAGGCCTTCGCAGAAGCACCTGGAATATGTGTGAACAAACGTTTACTGGCCAGGATCAGTGTATGTGCGTTTGGTCGCTGATCGTCCTCCTGCGATCTCATGGCGTCTGTGCAGCCATCTTCGGGCTGTTCACCTGCTTCTGGCTGAGGCTGACCATGTTCACCACCCTCAAGTACCTGGCTGCCCTGGGGGCAGTCACCTTCATCTCTGGACACGGCATGCTCACCCGACTCACCCAGATGAAGTGAGCACCGACAGCCAGCCGCGGGCCCGGGGGGTCTACCCTCACGTTGAGAGCAGAGGGCGCGAAGGAACAGACCCTTTTCGAGCAGACCCGTCAAGCAACACTGGCGGTCGTCGTTTCTTGCGCACGAAGCTTCCGATTAGACTTGAGTCCTTGCCCAGAACACGCGGCATGTGTTCTCAATATGGGCCGAGCCGTATTCACGCCAAACGCTGACTCTGCCCTTGTGTCCAATACATGCTCCGAGTGCATGACCAAGCAATGGTGGACTTGGATAGTTGGCGCAGCATCTCCCAGGCGGTGCACTCCTTTGAAAAGGGTCTATTGTGACACACAGAGTGCAGTTCCAAAAGTGGAGAGAGTCTGTGGGGATAGAGCACCTGCTGAAGTAATAGGGGCTTTATCTTCAAAATGCGTCGCTCGTTGGGGGAAATCCCGGAAAGGCCGGTTTACGGTCTGGCATAGGGATCGGTTAAAAATGCAGCGGAACTTCTTGCATTTTTTTAGGGCATCGCAAGGAAAAAATTTATGTTGGTAATCTGTAACGCCCAATAATGCATTTGGGAGTCGGTAGAGGAAGCTGAAGTCGATCAGGGAATTTCAGTTTTTAAACACCGTATTTTCGAGGCTACAGTCCGCGCGCAGTGTAGACGGTAATTACACGGTAACTTAATTGGAAATGATTGACGTAAGTTTATACAAATTTTGTATGATAGGCACATTGGCCGTCGTCGCTTTTATCGCGACAATAATCTACTGGTAGACCCCTGTCTGTTGCCGTTGCACGGTCGAAGGACTGAAAGTGGTGTGTGTTTTCTGTGCCAAGTTGTACGCGGCAGTATTGACTCGCAGAGTTGTTGATGGCGCTGAAATTTTCTGTACTGTTGGGGCGAAGTTCCAGGTGCCGAGACACCTTTTATCCTGATGTGCAATCCCCATGACGTGTTTGCAACAGAGGCACAATACATTGTCCGTTCAAGTGGACATTTTTTTGTAACTTGCCTGTTTTATTACTCCCTCTTCTTTTTTTTTCTTTTTTTATTATGACAGGACAGTGCACTGCTGCCCAGGCCACATGATTGTTGGCAGTCACTTATATAGAAGACATCTATCTATCTATCTATCTATCTATCTATCTAGTCTGCAAGGGCAGATTTGGGTCAAAAAGAAAAGTTTTTGCTTAGATAGTCCGCACCTGTTGCATAGTTCGCTCCTGGTCTTTAGTCGACACGAAAATCATCTCACACATGGCATACCTTCACAAATGTCTACTTTCTTAGCTCACAAAGAAGCTCAATCCGTCACATCTCGTTGTAATGTATGATCTTGAAAAACAAAATTCCTGTATAGTCCGTACGCATAGATAGTCTGCAGACTATAGCCCAGAAAACATGGTACCTACTTTTGTTATCTTTGTGGATTTCTTAAAGAGAGCATATTAATGAAAGCAAGATATGGTCATGCAAGTGCTTTTAGTTTGGAACTGTCAGTGCTATTTTGGCGTGTCCCTTGGACAGAAAAAGGAAAAGAAATCTTGGTAATTTTTTTGTTTGAAGCATAAATCAAACTTTTAATGTGTTTAATCAAAAATAAATTTGCCCCGAGAGTTTTTACTGCTTTATGTCACAATGTAAGGTAGTAACGATACATTCCCAACTTGATTTTGCCTTTAGGTTTGCGCAAAGAAATGAATAGTATCTCACTCTTGTTCAATCCACCCCTTTCTGTGGAAGTGCTGCCCCCTGTCGGAGACTTAGTTCGAGGATTTCTTGGTTGGAAACTCGAGGGAAGATATGAAACTACTTAGTCTACTAGGTAACTTTGGGGCAAGAGATAATCCACAATAGGCACAAAAGCAATGTTTCGGGAGCTTAATCTAGGTCGACGTAGTTCAGTGGAGTCAACAGGATCTAGCGTCGTGACTCGAAGGATAGTTCGCACTCCCTCGTACTACACCCACGCTGCTTCACATGGAAAGACTCTCAAACCGGGAGTTTGGGAGAGGGTTAATTCTGATGTTTTGCCCTTTGCTTTCTTCACAGAGCTTAGGCAAATGTTCCTCAAGCCCCACCAGGAGCAGAAGGAAGGACGAGCATCATCCAGTCAATTTTTTTGTCTTTTCCTTTTTTGTTTTGTTTTTCAATTTGCATGTGGGAAACGAAAGAGGGGCAAGAGGTGCGTGCATGAATGTTCACACTTTTCATCGCCACCGCGTGTCATCATCCAAGTCGTCATCAAAGTGAAGTTCTGGAAGTCTGTGTTTTTTTGTTTGTCTTTATTTGGGTAAAGATTTTTTTTTTTTTTCGTCTTGTCACTTGTTGGCTACATTCCTTTGTCCAGAATTAAAGATATTGCCACTTTCCCTTTTTTTTCTTTACCATCAAGAACTTTTTGATAAGGTACAGCACTGTTCTTTTGTTACTTTAGACCATGTGAATAAAGCTGTTCTCACCCGTGGACTTGGCAACCTGTCTCACTTAGTGTTGTCACACAAGTTATTTGGTGACGGGCCCAGATTTTTCATTTAACAGTTGGACGTCAAAATTAACTTTATTTCTGGGTAACCGTCGAAATTTCGTGTCGCTTGAAAGCCGTTAGCAAATGCACATTCATGCTGTCGGCAGTGAATGTCATCATGATGACGATAACACCTCGTCGCGTGAGCTCCGAGTGTGCGCCTTCTGCCAAAGCGCAGTAGAGGGCCGCAAGTGCATGCTGAGTGGCGGCCATCTGAAGGAGACCACTCTTGTGTTGGCGACTTTTGTGTTGCTCCAAGTGTGCACCTGGATTTTGCCATTGGGAGGCAACAAGCAAATTGCAAAGTACATGGACAAGGTGGTAGTTGCTGGCTCAACTGGCATTTCCATTTTTTTTAATTAGAAATTAGTAGAATTGAAAAGACGTAAAAGAAATTGTGGTGGCTTAGCTCGGCTATGCCAGGGTATACGTAGCGTGAGCTTATGCGCATAAAATGAGAGGATCTATCAAGCTGCTTCGGTGCAGCGTCAGACTTGGCTACTGCGCAACGAAGGCGCACAGCTGGGCACGCGGCGGCGCCAATGCGTCTGCCGCGACTATGACGTCACTCTTCTGGAATGCGCAGACCGGCGAGGCGCGCGCGGCGGCGGCTCCGGCGCGCCAGCTGTGCGCCATGTGACCTCACTACTCCTCGCACTTGCGCAGCATGGCTCTTTGACAGCCACGCGAAACTGCTCAACCTCGGCCAGTGTAGCGCTACAAAATAGGTGCCCTACAAAAGTCACGTGCCGATTGAAAAAAAAATAATAAAAAAGGAAATTGATCCACTGCATGCACAGTGGTGGAACAACTGACACAGCCGAACTTGAGATAGCGCGAGCGGGGAAGCTTGGACGTGCGCTCCCGCTGTGCGAGGGCTCGTGCAACCAGGCGCAATCAATCGCAAGGAGCTCGCACTTGTGTCCACCATTGATCTTTTTGTGAGGCCACAAACATATGTTACTGGACTGAGACCTATTCGTTTGACCCCCAAAAATTGGGACAACATTATAACTGTTGACGTGCGCTGTGATTCCTCTATCTCTAGAATGAGCACAGAGTCTTGTTGACGGCATTATAATGTAATGCTTTGCTAGTGTGTTTCTCAAATGTATCTGTTGAAGCCTTTATGCTGCAATCTGGAGGAAGCGATGCGCAATTGTAAAAATTGCGGTATGTGCAAACTGTTGCACTACATCTTTTGCTGAATTGTCTATTCAGAGGCTTATTTCAAAGTTCTCTACTGAATGCCAAAACACAGAACGAATTGAATGTAGACGGGCAAGAGTATCGCTCCAACCATCCTTGAGCAAATAAATGTTTTTCTGTTTTCTTTTTTTACATTGTTTGAACACGATGTTTGTCTTGCTCCAGCTACAGCCATTTGAAGCGAGCACCCTACCCGCGAACAAAAGCATCAAAAACAAAACCGAAACTTCCATTGTTGGCCGCATAAAAGCGCAAGGTCATTCCTAAATGCACTGTATGACGTCATAATCAAGTAGCAGAGAAGTTACTGGCAAACTGGCCCCCGCTCAAAAGTTGTGACCATGGTAAGCTTAGGACCATCAAAACTTCAGCTTGATGACCCCTCCGTCGCGAGAAACGCAAAAAGAAAAGGGTTTAAACAAGTGGGAAAAATAATAAGAAAAGAATCCGGTCCTGCTACATCATGGCTGCCGCCCGTTGCTTTTTCTTTTTTTTCCTCACTTGCCCATAATTATTCTTATTTTTGGCTGGTATTTGTTTTATTCCAAAGCGTTATTCCAATAAATATCTCGAAAATTTATTTCACGCATAAAAGTGAGTCAACCGGGCACGAAAGCAATCACACATATCCGACGTTCTGTCCCGCCCAGCCAATCAGAAGGCGGCGAAATACCGCCATTGCGCCTCGTGGTGTCCGTTTTTCTCGACCACGGAAGCGGTCTTTTGTGGTCCCTGCGTCTTCACTGTAAGCAGCCCTCCCACTCTCTCTTCGTTGTGTTCGCAGTTAACGAAATTTATCACGTCTTATGCTCGAACTTCGTGATCTCTGCAGCCTCAGATTACCCTCTTGACTCACAGAACTCATTCAACAAAGACAGCCCTAACTTGACGCGGTAAAAAAACAAAAAGAGTTCGTTCCGTCCAGGGGTACGTCGCCACCGTTTGGACTGAGGCCTTTTAAATTTCCTAGAGGCATTTAATTCTTGTTCGTATCCATGCCCAGAGTCGGTTTCTTAAGTAGCTACTGATTTTTTTCAATTTCTTCCTTCGTAGCGGTGTGCACCGGCGCTTTGTTAACCCTGCTCAGGGGAAAAAGAAAAATGGAATGTCTTATTGCGCTGTTTTTCGTGTTCCCAGTCCTAGTTTTCGAGCAAATTTTGCGTTTAAATTGACGTTTCGGTGAGATTTTGGGCGCGTACTTGCCTTGTTTGCCCGCGAATCCAACAAAACTTTGCGAACACTAGAAAAACGTTGGGATAAATTGGCGTTTGAACGACGTTCACCACGTGGGGATAGTAGCCCAGACAGATGAACTTGTCGAGCTCATCTTCGAAGATTCATGTTTTGGCGACATTTGAAGTCGTGGTTTCTTAGTTGTAGTCCTTTTTGTGTTTGTTCTTTGTGCATAACCCCCGCTGCTCGTCGTGTGAGCTCTGTTGGCCAGCCGGTATTTTTTTGTTTGATTTTTTAAGTACATTTTTCTGTCATAACGATTACCTTGCGTGGCACCACTCCAAGTATTGTGACACCATATCTGGCGTTTGGCGCCTTCGAGAAATCCCGAGTCGTAGTTCATTTGTTCGCACTTTTTTTTTTTTTTCTTCGCAGAATTTATTCTACAATGACCGAGCCGTCGAGGTGAGTCCAGTCTTCTCTAATATTACGCTTAAGTCAGTCGTCTTAAGAATGTGTTGATTGCTCACGAAATTGTTTTTACCTGCCTGTTTCTTTGTTCTTTATGTATTTTGGCAGATAACGTTATTTTTACAGTTTCCCAGCGAAATTTTTTTTCTTATGAATCTATTTGGTCTTGCAAAGGGGAAAAAACCCACCTGCGAATAGCTATACTTGTGAGGAGTATAACACAGAATAAAACATTTAACCCGGACGATGTTTAAATTTGTTAAAAGAAAAAGCTGACGTTTTGAGGCCGTTGGCCTCTTTTTCAGTTTCCTCGAAAGGATGAGCAAGGCGAGTTGCTCATCTCCTTCGAGCATGCTGAAAAAGCCACCGCCGGCTTCGAAGCTGCTTTCCTCTGTCTTTTAATTTAAGTCTGAACTTAAAGCACCATCTTAATTAAGAGGTTTTACTTTGTGTTGCACGGAGAGCAAGTCATCTGCTTCTTGCACAGGAGGTGAGGTGACGTCTGAACTACTCAGTGTTTCGATTGGCTTTGATTGAAAGGATAGTGGGGTAGACCTTAATGAAGGGTTTGGGAGTTCTGACATCATCGCAACCTCTGAAGAATCAGAGAAAGCTCTGCATTACTTCCCAAAGAGTTAAACTGGTGCAAAGTGTATGCTGCAGAGCCCCACAATGGTGATAGATGTGAAGCCTATGCATTCCACGTATGGATGGCCTAACCACCAAAACTGTGCACATTATATTTTCTAACTTTCTTTCCTTTTTTTTTTTTCTTTTAGGGACTTGGAAGCCGGTGAGGGCAATGAAGCAGACATTGAGGATGTGGAGGACACAGAAGACACCCGGAAAGGTGGTGATGCACCAAATGCTCTATATCTACTATATAAGCTGCGCTTGGACTGTTGGCACTCTATTCATTGATTTTCTTATGGGTGCTGCCATTTGGTGCCTAGTGTGGTTCGGGTGCAATAAACCTGTCACGAAAATCCCAATATGCCTTTGCAAGGTCCTGTACACTCCTTGTTGCCACCCTCCCGCGACACTGAAAAGAGCGGGAGGGCGGCGCAGTTGCTTGTCGATGCCTCTAAAATCTTCTCGGGTCTACTACAATTGAAAGAATGGCCATTTCTTCAAAACATGTCTTAGAAAATAGCCATTTGATCAAAGATTAGTTTTAGTTATGTGAAACCTCAGCATGGGCATTGCCAGTCTTCTAGGCTATGGGCACCCCCAGCCTTCAGCCCTGTGAGCCCCCATCCCGACCACACCCCTGGTTCTTTGGCTAAGCAACAGTATTTTTCCTAACACAATCGCTGTCTGGGTAATTGCTGCTGCAAAGAGTGCCGTTGCCTGTAATAAGTGAGGAGCATGCCTTTTATTTGGGAGCTTTAAACATTTGCTTCCGACAGCTTAATTTCCAGTATTATTAGTCAGGCCTAAAAGGATGTGCTTTAACTAGTAAGGTTAGGCAAAGTGCTGGCAACAGTGTGCCGCTTTGTTTGCTGGGCATAAAACTTTTGAGTATGCAGAAAGGGCTTTCATATGTTCAGGAGGTCCATAAATGTGTATGCCAATTTGTTTTACTTCAGCGCATCTGCATGCGCTCAAGGAATGGTAATTCTGTACTCGTTTGTTTACTGATCAGGCAAGTGCTTCGTCATTTGATTGTGCAACTTCTGTGTGGATGCTTTTGGAAGACCTTTTTTCTTTCCTGGGGTTTAATACAAGTTGGGCAGCATTGATCAGTTCCCGTGCCGAAAGATTGAAAGTTTGTTACACGCTCGGATGGTGCTTTTGGAAAGAGAGCGTTGCTGGAAAGCGAGTAGTGTTGAGGAATGTGACAGTGTGCATCAAGTGTTCTTGCAACCGTAGCTTTACCCCCTCCCTCTGCACTTGCAGCCAAGTTGACGGCAGACCTGATGAAAGACCCCAAGGTGCTGGCGGCCCTTCAGTCCAAGCTGGGGATCATGGTGGGGGCCAGCTCGGGCTACATCGAAAAGTGAGCTTGCACTCTCTGGATCGGTTCCCCTCTCTCTCTCTCACAGACACAGGGTGGAGCGGTAAAAAGTGCCACGTTTAGAACCCCCGGGTCGGTCGAGAGCCGCTCGCAGTGCAGCGGTAGATTCCACGGCCCAGCATCTGGAGGCACCCGCACGGTGTTCAATCTCTTTGGCCAGCATTTCGCAGTCTTGGCTCGTATGCCGGCGACCATGCGGTGCCGGACAAAGACAACAAAGTTATGGGGCCGTGTGGCTTCGGATTAGGTGCACGCATTATGCTAGCGGCGAGGGAAACAACTGTACAGTGTTCCGGGTGGTTGCAAGGTTAAGGGGCTGTCGACTTCTGGCTTTCTGACCCGGCTGTTTTTGACAGTGGTCTGCTGCCGTACTGACAGTCATTTGTGACGGGCCACGCTCTATGCAGTCGCAGCATTCGGTCGGCCCTTGGCACACCCTTCGAAGGGTGGCTGCCTGTCGTTTTGTCGGAGGTCTCGTACACCCGCGGTTTCATCGGTTTTGTCTGGTGTCATACTGTCCGATGGTTTGAAAGTTGTCTCTGTGTTGGGGCTACAGTGTTTTCGAACCTGGAGCGTACAACCGAAGTGGCGTTCGGCACCATAGCTTCGCCTAGCCTCGTTCGTGTCTTTCCGGCAAAAAGGTGGTTGCGTTAAAGCTTTTTTTTTTTTTGTGAAGGATGGTAGTTTTTTCAAAGTGCACGCATTGCTGTTGTGGGCAAAATTGTTTACTCTATGGGATATCGTGCGGTCGCAAGTGTGGAAACAATGGTGCCGCAACGGTGGGGCCTTTGGTTGGTGAATCTGCAAACTTGTGGATGTACTTGCATATCCACAACAGGCACACGTCGTCTGTATTGTGGCAGCATGTACCGTCCCAGGCGATATTGACGTTGGTTAGTGACTGGAGACTTAGGCTTAAGGGGAGACACTGCCCAGAAAAAAATATTTCTGCAAAGAAAGTTGATTTTGAAAAATATTTACATCCACCAACATCTAGAGAGTATTCCAAAAAGTTTAATTAATTTTCACTGCATAATTAAGTTTTTATAAATTATTTTTTGTCCACCAAAGCTAAAGAAAAGGTAGGGTTGGAGCACTTTGAACACATTTTTCTCCGTTCCACTTTTTGGTATAAATTCCATTTTAGTCAATCTATCGTTTGATAATGGCAAAACATGGAAGGCTCATTCTTCCCTTTTCCTGACTGAAATTCAATAAGGAATGCGGCTATGGAACTTTTTTGTCACTTTACGGAGGTCTTTTATAAAGAATGTTGACATTTTGTCGAAGACACAGAAGACCAAAAAGTTGACCAATTTTGCAGAAGAGAAAATTTATAGAAATAAATTACTTCTTAGAAAAAACATTCCATAGCCGAACCCTTTAGGCATTCTGCTACATACTTAGCAAATAAAAATCTTGAATATTGTGATAGTTTTTCGAGGATAGATTAACTAAACAATGTAGGTGTGTCGCTTATACAAGCTACTTTAATTTCCTTCTTGTTTAACCGTCAGATCTGAAATTTTTTTATACACCCTCTAGCATGACCACTAGCATACCCTGTAAGTTCCATTATTTTTAAGACAAGGGTTCAAAAGTTGACCCCCTAAGGGGTGTGTCCCCTTAAGGCACTAAAAGGCTCTTGTACCTGCAGCCTCCCTGCCTGCGTGAAGCGTCGCATCAAGGCCCTGAAAAAGCTGCACGTGGAGTGCTCTAAGGTGGAGGCGAAGTTCCATGCCGAGGTGTACGCCCTCGAGTGCAAGTATGCCAAGCTCTACCAGCCCTTCTACGACAAGGTAGGTGAAAGCGGAATGTGGGGAGCCCCCAAGCTTGTTCCCGCAAGTTTCCCCAATGGCTGGACCGTACAGACGTTTGAAGGAGCACTCCTCTACCTTGTTGTGTTGCACTGCCATGGCCATCTTTTCTTTGTTTTGTTGCCCCCCCAATTTGTTGGTTTGAGCTTTGCAGATGTGCTTGGGAACACTTTTGGTTCTGAAATTGTCCAACTTCTTCGTTTACTGTTAATAACCGTTCAGGGTGGGCACTGGCTCTTTTATTAACTAGCAAGGACGTAGGGTAGTGAACAAGTTCCTTTTGCACCTTCCTGGATGTTTAAGGAGAAACTGCATTTAAGTGATTTAGCAAGCGACGGAAATTTTTCACAGTCACTCGTCACATCACTTGGTTTTTGGTTTTCTAGGAAACGTCGCTCATTGCATTGGTCGCTTGCTCCAGTCGCCTTCATGCGACTTGCCTCGTCGTGCAACTGACCTCGTTGCTCGCCATATAGCTTACATGCGATTTATACTTCAAAAGTAAGCATGCATTGAAGCAGCCGATTAGTGCTTGTACGGGCTGGCAACAACTGGCACCAGCTGTCCTTGGTTGAGTCTGCACTGACCCCACTTCATGTGTCGGGTTGGTAACTATTAAACGTAAACCACCGGCCCGTGTTCCATTTATGTCTCAATCGTGGCGCTCTGCTGAGCTCTCCTTCCACTTGCGCCTTTGCTTTCTGAAATCACACAAGAACTGAGACTCTGCAATTTTCTCATCATCCTTCTCCACAGTTTTTGTATGCATGACAAGCAAGTTGGGATATATGTTAGATAGACTGGTGCGTACGGCTGAACTTTTTAATCGGGTGGTGGCCCGTGCGACCTAGCCGGTGTTTCTATTGGTAACTCCTGCATGCCCTAGCTAGTGAGTGGGTCCATCCTGCGGACACTTGGTGGTCGGACCTGCAATTGCTGTCCGATTTTCAAAGAAAACGCAGGTAAAGAAAGAGCAGCCTTCCTTTCCTCTCTCCCAGAGGCAGGGGGTTTCTCGGAACACAGCTCCGTACTGGAGGTCCAAAACATTATATGGTCCAACCAGCCCTGTTTGTGTTCCACAATGCTACTCTTTTTTTTTTTTTTTTTTTATAAGTTAGTGTGGGCATGTTTGAGGTTTCTCAAAAAAGAAATGTCCCAAAGAAGTGTAACAAAAATGAGCAACACTCAATTTCCCCGCTAAATTTAGCAGAAAAACTTGTATTGGTGCATTATTATGCATTATGCACCAATTCAATTTCCCCGCTAAATTTAATAAAGAAACGTGTTTGAGAGCAGATAGTGCAGAAGGGGCACGTTGTGAGTAGGGCTTAACCGATTTGCGTCGGTGCACGTGCATCAAGCTTCACTGCTTTGCACTGGTGTCCACGTGCGTCTGGTCTCTTTGCCATGCACCGGCGTACTCGAGGCTGCTGAAGGGGGGAGCATCCCCAGTAAATCACTTAATGTGGGCTTGGAGGTGTGGGGTGGTCACTTGACGTGTCCTTTGCATATTTTTGCAAACATGCCGAGAGTAGCAGGTGGGCTGTTATTGTAACATGGACACTTTCAGAATATTTTACGGTGGTTAGACACATCGTGGCATTTATGTGCGCCGTTTCATGCAGAGGCACCAAATCACGGTGGGCAAGGTGGAACCGACAGACGAGGAGTGCGATTTCACCACAGACTCGGACAAAGAAGAGGACGAGATTTCGGTAAGTCGCTTAATCCAGGGGGCTTGTGCCGATTTGGCTCCCTCTAGCAGTTGCCCGTTAATGTCGAGCCTTTGAGTGAGAAAAGTAACCTTGCTAGACCAACTTCGTTGTGCAACATATGCGGAGGGGGGTACCCTCTTCTCAAGTTCACAACCGGTCGTTTGAAGTGCCATTTTAGAGGCCACATTCTACTAGTCCAAATATAAACAATTGTTATTTTCGTAAAAAAATAGTTCTTTTTCTTGTTTTTATTTAGGCAGCGGTAGGTTAAGGGCCGATGAATTTGAAACGGTTTCCCGAATTGTAGAAACTGGACGCTTTACTACGAGGTAGAATCTCGTTTGGGCTTCATCTAGATAGACAATGATCGTTTAGTAAGGTACGTTGTTGGGCTAGTTGGTTCATCTTAGTAAAACATATAAAATAGCGCAACAGAAAGACAAGGACAAGTATACAGGAACGCGGCACTATCTCGCAAGAGATTGCAAGAGCTCGTAATGCAATCGGTCGTAGTGCCTGTCCTGTATACTTCTTGTCCTTGTCTTTCTGTTGCGCTATTTTATATGTTTTACTAAGACAATTATAGCCTTTGGCTTTTACGTGCTTAGGGGTTTGACGGGTTAGGTTTGGTGCGCGTGTGCTCGTTCACCCGGTGAGATATGCCGTCCCTTTCTTCCAAGGAGGGGATCAAGAAGGCGGCCATCAACGAGAAGGGGGACGAAAAGAAAGACGGTGAGTTTGGCGCTCCGTCGCCGTCGGAGTCCACGCGGGGTTCGTTGGTCTCGTAACGTTGCGCTTCTTTTCCACCGATCCTTGCAGAGAACGTGGCCGGCATCCCAGAGTTCTGGTTGACTGCACTGAAGAACCTCGACCTGATGGTGGACATGATCCAGGTTAGAACCCTTTTGTGAGCAGCTTTCCGGAAACCTGCGGACACTTGGTGGTCGGACCCGTTTTTGTCCGATTTTCAAAGAAATCGCAGGGACAGAAAGGCGCGCGATGCAACTCCGTACTGAGGGGTACCGTGCGGTCCCACCCGGCCCTGTCTGCGTCGCACAAGGCTGTAGACTTACTGGTCGTTGTAGTCGGTTGCAGAGTAAAGGCTGGTTTACACGCTTTCCACTGCTTACGACCGATTGCATTACAAGCTCTTGCAATCTCTTGCGAGATAGTGCCGGCGACATCTATGAGGTGACACTGGAACTGTATTTCGCCAGAGCAATGTTTTGAACGCGACAGCATTAAGGAGCTCGTGTCGCAGAAAAGCCAGTGTCGGTGGTGTCGTGACGGGAAAATCCTAATTGGTCGACGGGGTCACGACGTCGCAGCCACACGACATGGCGCGGGAAATTAAGCAACCCACAATGCTCGCTTGAAACATGATTTCACAATTGGAATGAAAGTGATCAAAACGTAATACGAATTAAAGGTCTCCATGTCTCAAATGATGTCACTTTATAAAGTAATTAATTTGCCTTAAAGAAAGAAATGCAAAGAATTTTAGGTGGGATTCGACCCCACGACACTTCTGTTGCGAGCCAGACTCGCTGCCGACTAGGATGCGCAGACTCTCTTGCACTGCTTGAAACGGAGCGGGGATCTATATGTTTAGCTATTGCATTCCGCTCTTGCTTTTGCACTAGTTGAGAGATCATATGTGCATACTATCTGTGAATAGTTGTAATTTATTACATTGTTAGAAGTTTTTCGAGCAAACAATACAAGCATGATGGGGAAAAAGAAATGTATGGAAATGGCACGTTTTCTATCGTCTTTCAACCAAATGCACTTGGTCATAAGAGTTGCAAGTGTGAGAATGCATGGGAATGCATGAAATGCATGGAGTGCATGGTAATGCATGCAGTGCAGTGCTTAAGAAGAGATTGTTCAGATTTGCTTATCGGACGTTACACGCCAGTATCGGGTGAAGTCCCCAGACAACATTTATGCTTTTGTTCTTTTACAAGTATGTACTGACAACCATTGTTGTGCGGGTCGCGTGCCACGAGTGCTGTGCTCCCATTTTCTTTCAAGGGCAGTACGGGGCACATGCTTTGTGCATTGGCACATTTTGTCACTGTGTGTAAGAGGAGCACTTAGGAGCTTTGATTTCGGAAAGAGGAACGGTATATTGTTTTTTATTTGACGTCGCACAATGTCTGGTTATGTCATGTCTGATTATTGGGCATAATGTCACATAAGGTGAGACGTCGGCAGTAATGCAATTGCTGCACCTAAGGGCTTACCCCGCTACATACATCCTGCTACATTTGACCAAAATGTGGGCGATTTGTGCCAACATTGTGCTGAAACTGTTTCACCTTAATATAACATAATATTCTCTTTGATTGCACTGGCAGTCCTAGGAAGTTTTGCAATAACTTTCACGTTCGTGGTCTTGTTCTTGAGGATTAGTTTGTTTTGTTGAACACGCTTGTCACTGCACACACTATGAATGCAACTGAAGTGTGCTTATGCTCTAAATGTTTTTTTTTTTTTTTTTTTGCTGCTCTTAAGTGAACGTTTGGCCACTCCATAATGACTCGAACCAATCGCATCACTGCATTAGTGTTGTAAGACTTCACACGACTGTTGCACTGATATGCCCTGCCATGAGGTATGCATGAACGGAATGTTTTTGGGAATAGCATGGAAAGCTTTACAATGGAAGATCATCTTCCGTTATAAACCTTTCCGCGCTTTAATCGTGCTTGGCTCAAATGCCCGTCGGGCATTTGGCAAAGCTTTGTGTCTGCAGGCACGGCCCTTTCCTTTTCGTTGCATCGTAAGAATTGCACGCTTGCACCAAGTTGGGCAGTAGCGGCATCGCTTCGAGAATCTGAGGGTGGAAGCTCGCCCGCTTTTCATCTCATGCTTGTCCATTCGTTTTAGGTTTGTTCCCATTTCGAGCCGGAGCGGTACGAGGAAGCATGAAGCACGTCGCAGTGTGGTACTGTATTCGCTGGCTGTGCGAGAACGACCGGGAAGGGCTTCGGTTGTCCGGCCTCCAGCACAAGTTTCCCACCCTCGGCGACGCACCTCGAGTGTGCAGCCAAAGCTGGTGGAAAGGCGCGCAATGTGTGCCGGATGTCGGGCATTCGAAATACGCGGCCCGTCGTTCTCGCTGTCAGCAACTCGGAGTTTTGAGTGACCGTGCTGTGCCATTTCGCGAAAGGAAGACTGAGACTGGTGTGGCTTTCAAATGCTGCCTTCAGCGGCAAAATCTCTTCTCCCGCTCCCCCCACATGTTTCAGGAACACGACGAGGAAATCCTGAAACACCTGATCGACATCAAGGTCCGGAACTTGGAACCCAACTCTATGGTGAGTGCTCCATTGTGCCTCATGTCCTCTTATTCTTTCTTTTTTTTTTTCTATACTCTCGCTTTACTAGTAAATAACACTGCTGAGAGGTGTATTCGGCATGCCCGTTTGCACCGGTTGTTCAGTGTTTGTCCAGTTGGAATTGGGCCAGTGACGATGAGCCTGGCTCGTCTTGTCTGTTGCCTTAGGGCTTCGTGCTGGAGTTCCACTTTGAACCCAATGACTTCTTCAACAACACGGTGCTCACCAAGTCCTATGAGGTGAAGTGCGAAGTGGACGACGCAGAACCCCTGGCCTTTGAGGGACCGGACATTGTCGGTTGCAAAGGGTATGTCTGCTTGTCTCTCCCTGGGTGGGCTGCACCACATCTTTACGGGGGTCGTGGATAGTGGCTCGGTATCTTCCAAGAACAAGCAGTTGCCTGGCTTTCCAGTGTTTTTTAATCGTGTGTGTGTGTTTTTTGTGTTTTTTTTATGTGGCTCATGTACAGTTTTGAAAACTACCATTTAGTGCATCAAGTTGGATGGTAAAAGGTCATGTCCACTCATAAAAAAAAAAAAAAAAAAAAAAAAAAGGTTATTACAATAAACGCTAGAGGTTCAGGTGGCGCTAGTGTGCTGTTGCATTTTCAAGCAGACGGGAAGCAATCTAAATTCGACTTCCGGTAATGCATTCCTCTGGGAAAACGCAAATGCGTTTTCTCTTCGCGCTCGATTATGCGAGCAAATATTGCTTACTGTTGTGACAGAATAAAAAGTTTGGAACGTTTTACAATCGGATGTACAAAAATATGGGTCAGTTTGAGCGTTTTTTCTTCAGAATTCAGGTGTCAAACACTGCGCTAAAATAGCCCAATACAGGTGTATAATATGTGTTGTCGTTGCAGACTGCTATTATAGGGCACGTATTTACTCGTACAGTCAATGCTATGAAGCACGCTGAGTGAATCAGCTTGACAAAACACCAAAAGGATGCTAATATATGCAAAATCAAACATTCATAACAGACAAGAACAAAGCATGGAGTTATGGAACGAAAAGCCCTTACTGGATTATAGTCAGTTACAGGTCAAGAAGGTAGCGGCAAATGCCCCTCAAAGGGAATCAGATATCCCTCCGCCACTTCCGCATCCAATAGCGTCCCACCGTTTCCGTGACGTTGCGGCCAACGCGCGAGGAGGGTCTTGCCTTTCTGTACATATTTGCTTTATTTTTCGAATCTGACTTAGCATTGTGGAAGCCACGAGAGGGAGATTAGAGTTCTGCCCCACCGACGGAAACAAATGCGACTTTCGGGGATTAGCTTCCCCCCCGATGGATACAAAGGCTGCTTTCAGGGGCTCGGTTCCCTCTCCGATGAATACAAAGGTCGCTTTCTTAAAAAGTGGGATCGGAGACAAGTTGGAATCTATTGAAGCGGAACAAGGAGCGTTTCCAGTGAACTCTTCTTTCGACTGCGGAGAGATTTGAAACGGGCGCATCACACTTGTGGGAGGAGCTTCTCCTACCTTCTTGACTTGTAACCGACTATAGTAACAAACTTTCCATGAATAATCAAAATAAAGCAGTAAGCGAGTTTGTTCTGATATTAATATGATTGTTGTTCTTTTTGCTTGGATTCTTGGCTTTTATTGCCATATAATGCTATACACCATAGACCTGGGCCTCAATTTCTGCTAACTTAAACATTGTTCAGTAAAAAGAAGACATTAAATAAATTAAATACACTTTTATAATGTGAATAAAACTGCATAGTACTTGTTACAACTAAAGAAACTATGCTGATTTCTATTAATCCCTGGCAAAGAAAGAATAGCATGCATGTTTTCCCATAGGAATACGCAAGAAGACTGCATGCTGTCTGCTTCAATTCGCAACCGGAAGTCCTGTACACACTAGTGCCAGCTGAGCCTCTAGCATTTATTGTAACAACTCTGTCCACTATTAACTTGTAAAAGTCAAATACGGAAGAGCACAGATGTCACATTGGGGCTAACAGTATACGCAACTCAAATGGCGTGCATTGCATTCCCTTTTCTCCGTTTCATATTTCTGCCGCCAGTCTGCTCCAATTTTAGTTGCGCATTTGGATAGGAGGTACCTCACTGCTCCCATCCTTCACATCTTTCTCTGTGGGAGGCGCTGCCTCCTCTGGAGTGGCGAATTGTACAGCGTACATGATTAGACGGGTCTCAGTTGGCCTTGAGATCGTCGAATTCAGCTGATCCTTGTGCACTCTGGAAAGGTGGAAGTTTGGTGCATTAGTAGTTTAATCGTTGCATTTGAGGTGCCTCAGAGTCCACATTGATGTCCCTGGAAGTGAAGAGTGCATAAAATCACATGCATAAATCTGTGGCTATTGTAGGGCCATGCAATTTTGCACAAATTAACCTACATGGTGGCAGACAGGGCATGCTAGAAGCTCGAAAGGAGGCTTGTCTAAAAGCTAAAGTAGTTATTCTTAGAGGAGCGTTCTGGGGGTGCTCCTGCTTCAGTCTTTTTTCTGTCTTCGCACTACGTCAGGTGACGGGACCTCCCACTATGAAGTCCCGACACCATTTTTTCACGGTGCAACAGTAAACTAGGTGCTGTTTCTCATTTTGCTGCCACATGCACCCAGACTGTGGCAGTAATTACAGCATGCACACAATCTGTCGCAGTTTCGCTGGGGATTTGTTAACATATTCAATTCTTTATATACTGTGAACAACTTAATTTTTGGTGACTTCAATAATATTGTGTAAGGTAGAGCCCACGAATGTTTCCCTATGTTAACAACTACATAGCATACCACCCTCGTTCGCTTAATTTCGTGGCCACAAAATAAAACCAAAAACCACTCTTTGCCAAATTCGTGAAATATTGAGCCCACGAAAATAGTAGTTTCTACAGTATTATTATTAGATGTAGCCAGTTGTTGAACTACCTCTAGCATAGCCCTGTTAATCATGTGTCAATTTATTTGTTTATTTTTGTGTCTATTCTGGTGACCTCACAGCACCTAGGAGGCATGATTGGGAGAAATCACAATCTACGCTCTGTTTTACTTCAAGTGCAAGCATAGCAGAAGCTGCAAAAGTGAGCTGCAGGCTCTCTGCATGACTGCCGAGCATGCTATCACATGCAATACCAGCATCAACCAGTGCAACATGCTCATGCTTAAAGCTTCAGCTTTGCTCCCACTTCAAGTGAAACAGTTGTATAGCTTTGGGCATGACTCGGTGTAGGCATTAGGGTCAACATGCTCAGACTTGCTTCTCTCACACTTCAGTTGAAACAAACTGTAGTTAGTACATAGTTCTGGACATGCGCAATGTGGTCTAAGTGCCCTGGCAGAGTCTTGTTCCCCCCCATCTCCGAGCGACCCCTGTTTTGTCTTTTGTGCAGGTGCGTGATCGAGTGGAAGAAAGGCAAGAATGTGACAGTGAAGACGATGAAGAAGAAGCAGAAGCACAAGAGCCGGGGCACAGTGCGCTTTGTGACAAAGACGATGCAGCGGGACTCGTTCTTCAACTTCTTCAGCCCCCCCGAGCAGCAGGGGGACACGCTGGACGAGGAGGCCCAAGCCCTGCTGGCGGCAGACTTCGAGATCGGCCACGTGCTCAAGGAGCGGGTCGTGCCCCGGGCTGTCCTCTACTTCACGGGGGAGGCCATCCAGGAGGACGACGTGAGTGGTCGACTGGCAGTGCAGAAATAGGGCAGTAGGATGCGGGCTTCCACGTTCATGTTGTAGACATAGATCTGGAGGTCTGCATCTAACCTTCCCAAGACGGCCTTGGTAGTTACAAGGCCCAGAAGACTGCCGTGCTGGTTGAAAGGGGGCGACCATAGATCTCGAAGGTAGTCTTTAATGCAGAATGTGTTCGGTTAAACAGGCTTGCATCGTGCTGAATGTAGTGGGATGCCACTGTAGGTTACATGGTCGCAGGACCGAGAGAGGTGCATCAGGTCGGGTGACGTGGGGTCACGCGATTTGAAGTGCAAGGTTGGTGCCGCAGTGTTAAAAAAGCGTCATTTGATGTAGTAACATAAGGAAGTTCTCTAAAGTTTGTGTGAATCTTTGGTTTCGCCATTTAGTATGATGAAGACGAGGAGGACGAAGAGGACGAGGAAGAGGATGATGACGAACACAATGAGGACTTCGACGAAGACGATGATGCCGATCCAGACTTCGTGCCCAAGGCAGGTGGCTCTTGTTTTCCGTCTGGCGTTTGCAAGGGCAGTTTTGAAATTTAAATCTGAAAGCCACGAGCAAGCTTGCTTAGCTGCACTCAAGTGTGCAGTATCGTGTGTTTGGAAGGAAAGCTTTAGCTTCATTGCTTGCCTAAACGTGAGGAAAACAATTAAAACCCACTATCCGACCGCAGATAACATCATTGCAATGTCGTTCCAACATGTCGGAAGCATCATTGTTGTAAATGTGAATGGTAGCTATTCCGTAATAGTTTTTATAAGACTCTATTAGAATGTTGTGCTTAAGTTTTGGGTACTTCCGTAAGATGCCGCAAAAACAGGATGAGACTTACGGGAACGGAACAGCTAGATGGGTCCCGAGATTTCGAGCACTTTTCACAAAAAATGTTCTACTGTACTCGTTTACCTACTTCAGAAAAAGCATCTTCTGCACATAGTCCTGAACTGTTAACTAGTTTTTACAAGATTTTGTTAAAAGATTTGGTTATGAAAGGAGAAGTACTTTTGCATAAGAATGACAACTGATCTTAAATGCATATACTGTAAAATCCTGTAAGAACGCCCACCCAAAATGTAGGGATAAATGGTGAAAACATGGGGTGGGCTATCTTTGGGGATGCCACAGCAAATCTTTATCAAAAATTAATGACAAGCATCAAGGCACCTGCTACAAACTGGATGACACGGGAAAGGAGGACGACGCAACAGATTTGCATTTCACGGTGCGAAGGACTCGTGGAAACTTGCTGAGAACTCTCACCTTACAGGAACGGATATCGCGGACGCAGCAGATTCAAGTTTCATGGTGCAATAAAGACGCGGGAACCCGCTACAATCTTGCCTGTCACGAAAACCCATATCGCGCGTGCAAATCGCGGACAAAAACGACGCGGGAATACGCTACAAACTGTTATGTCACGGAAACAAATGCCTCGGATTGCGGATGCAACAGAATTGAATTTCACGATGCAATATACACGCGTAACAAACTCGCGCGTTCGATATCACGCGTGCAGGTCGTGGACAAAAACGCGGGAATCCGGTACTGCAGATTGCGCTGTTGATGCGCGATTCCTGTCTGACATCTCTTGACGTTCAACGGGAATTGGGGCGGGCGGGCGGGCGTGGGGGGGGGGGGGGGGGGGGAGAGGGGAGAGGAGAGGAGGGGTTGGGTTGGGGGGGGGGGGGGGGGGGCGGCCATGTTTCGAAAATTTTGTTCGATATTTAGCCAGAAAAATGGGATGGGCGATCTCTCGGGGGTGGGCGCCCTTACAGGATTTTAGGGTAGGCGTAGCTTACATTAACGACATAAAGAGGGAAATAGTAATGCTCTATGATGGACCAAACTTCCTTTACTATGGTTCTTGAGTTGAAAAGTATGGTAGATTTAATCTGTTTTAACACTGACCTGCATTACCGTGTGAATGTTGCTTTTGGGTGTGGCCGTATGGATGGAACGCACATTGTAGCTAAACTTCTAGAGTAACAAGGTAAACCCTAGTGTGTTTCTGGTTCAGCACATTCCATTCTCACGATTACTGTAAATGAGCTCGGAAGGACTACATGTATGCGGGCAGTTTAATTCTACAGACAACACCAGAGCGTGCCCTCTTTACGGCCTTGCCCAACACCACCTAGACAGAAGGCCTTCACATGGTTTCCTCTTCTATGAAACGTCATCACAGTCGGATCGCGCTCGGTCGGCTATTGGACCCGAGCCAGACCTTCGACGCGCTGATTGGCCACGAGCCGCAGCCGAACACTGACGCAGCACTTGTGCCCAATCTCTCGCCTCGATCGATCTGACTATGATGACGCGTGTGGAGGCCTTCTGTCTAGGTGGTGTTGCCTTGCCCTGCGTGGACATACGACAGGCTGAAGTTGATTTCCGGTGTTTTGTTTTCAGTCGTGATGTCTTTTGCTTCACAGAGCACCAAGAAAGGGGAACCACCAGCGGAGTGCAAGCAACAGTAATCTAGTGAAAAGAAACGGAAAGCAATCTTTTTAAAGGACATTTGTAATCTTTTCCTCCTCTCTGTATGCCAGCTGAGGTCTTGCAAAAACTAATTGACAGGTTTCCTTTCAATTTCGCGCTTGCCCTTCTACATGTTGCACGTCTACCGGAACCAAATTGGAAATAAACTTTGTTTACAAATGCTGCACCGGAGTGTCGAGAGCCGCACATTCTCTTGCACGCTCTGCACATGTTTCGAACCTGGCTGTATGACACAGTTGACACGAGCATAGCATTTCTCTATGTTGCATGCGGCAGTGAGAATCTGTTTTACCTTCCAAGTGGTTGCCATTTCTCTTGCATAGGAGGGACAGAAGAAAGGTGGCCATTGCTTGTTCATGATAATATACCGATCTCACAAGTTATACAGTAAATACCTAGTTGTGAGTAGCGTTCTTTCCTATCTGTCTCCTTCCTGTGTTGTCTTTGCGCTACATTGTAATTATGCAAAACCAACTAGCATTTTAATTCAATCTTGCCAGCCAGTTTCGTTACACTGCAGCTGCTGCAGTGCATTGGGGGAACTTAAGTCATTGTGCACGAGGTAAGTCTCTGGAGCTCTGCACGCACAGAGCACGAGACTGCACGAACCACGAACAGTCTTGTCTGCTGCCGCCTACCTCCTTTGAACTAAAGTTATAGCATCGTGAATGTGCAGAGCGCTCGGTGAAATCGGTCTATTGCGTTTCACTCGGCAATGTCTGCTGCTTACATAATAAGCTGTTAGAATATTTAACATAAAAAGGTGGACTACTTATAGTTAGAACATCGCATGGTAAGAAGCATTGCGAATTGTGACGGGCACCCTAGTTGGCTAAAAGGGGCATGCCGTGAATTCACGTCGGTAATTTTACCGACACCATCTGCATAAAATTAAAATTTTTAAGTGTAAATGCGTAGTAAAACAAGTCTCGAAAGGGTTGAGCTGCCGGGGAGGGTTGTAGTGCGCATCCTCGTCACTGTCACTTAGGCATATTCCGTCTTAGGGTGGTATACACGTCCTACACGGTATTGTCTTCTTCGCATAGAATGGATGAGCTTCCATGACCTACAAAATATACAAAGTATAACACATTGAAACTGAGTGGCAAGCCAGAAATAGTTTTTTCTGATTAGCCAATCTGTGACATGCAAATCCCTGAATGCCCGAGTGTCGCGAATTTACAACAAAGCGAACATTTTGTCAAAGACCTTAGTATTAAAATGAAGTGGGGTTTGTACAGTTGGGATGACTTACAAGCCAGAAACAATTTTAAAACGGCAACTTGCCTCTCGGTTACGCTAGAAGGTGGGCTGGGATTTCGAGGACCATGTACTGTGAAATCTGTTGTTCACTGGCTAAAGTTGTTGGCGGCACCAAGTACACCGGGTGGCCGACGGATGGTGCAAACATACCGTGGTGCTTTGGAAAATATGTCGCGATTTTGCGACAGTTGGCGCCGGGTCTATAGATGGAGAGATTTTATAAAGTGGACGTAAGTGCTACGTCGCGGCGTACGTCCTTAAAAGGGTGAATTTATCAGTTTTGCAGTTGTATGAAAGATTGAAGAGATCTCTGGATACATTATGAAAAGCTAGTGTTAAAATTCCTTGTTCAAATTGAAATGAACTTTTTTTTTTAACATTTTTTACTGCATTGTTGGCTTCTTCAAGGACCCCATGCGCTTGCATGCTCTATCCTTTGAGGGCAGCTGCGCTGCGGCAAAACAAGCTTTGCAGGATCGAAGGCGCCGCGGTGTTGGGTTAGGAGCACGCTTAGCAGAGGGTAACTAACCTCCACGACCGTGACTTAAACCAGCACTTCGAAAGGTACGAGTGAAAAAGAAAGTTTCTGAAACGAATAGTTTTCGTATTGATTTCGACACGAAATAGCGGGAAGTGGTCTGCTTGGGAACTAACCTGTATTTAGTGTAGCTATTCTGTGCAAATATTTTCGAAGTAAATATTGAATAGTTGCTCTACCTTTCTCCAAGCCTTTCACTATTGTTGCTGGGTCCTGTTAAAGTAACGCCAAGCTCCCCGTAGGGTCGCCATTTTGGTTCATAGAAAAGGCACTTTCTCCTTAACCTCTCGATTCTTGAAGGACCAATCTAAATTTGCTGATGACAGGTAGCTTTTTAAAGAAGTTTCTAATTGTATACTGAATTTTGCTATCGCACACTGGCGAAACAGGCGTTCATCTTCCTACCGCACCCACTTGCGGCATCGATGCTAGGAGGCATTCAATAATATCTTTCCTGCCTTGAAATATGCAAGAACAACAATACCACAAGAGAGATGTGGAGGATTGCATGCACAGTGCTAAAAACCTTTTTTTTTTTTTTTTTTTTTTTGGGGGGGGGGGGGGGGGGAGAGGGGGAGAGGAACGTTTTCTGCAGTACAATGCTTCATAACAATCTTGGTGCGACTGGTTCAAAACGAGGCTTCAATGAATTGAATGGACCGAAATGGCGATTGCCATGGCAACCGAGGCCGATTAGCCAATCGCCTTGCGGGATTTGGTCGTTGCGTCTGGCTAGCAGACAGAAGGCAATGGCACTATTTTCTATAGAACATAGCGACGAGCGACGTCTGTGCTTCACAGGAAGCGTGGCTACCAGTTCAAGGAGATAGCCTGGCACGTGGCATTTGTGACATATTTTGGTAATAAAACAGCTGTGTGAACTAGAGTCACTTTTATTTAGTGACTCTAGTGTGAACCAGCCTGCCTTTAGTTTGAGGCCTACACAGAAGTAGCAATCTTACTTCAAGCTAATTTTTTTTTATATATTATAGTGCATTACATTTTTTATCTTTTTTAGACGAGCTCGTAAGCTATCTTTGGAAGGTGTGCTTTTCCCCTAATACGCAGCTGTGCTGCGGCGAAGCGAGGTTCGCAGGCTCGAGGCGAGTTCCGCGAATATCGCTTCTCCCCAGTGCACCGGTGCTGGGTGAGAAGCGCGCTTAGCGGAGAGTAACTAAGCAACCCGCAGCGGCCGTGGCTTCGACCAACACGCCAACACTTCCTATTACTGGCAACTACTATCCGAAATATTCGCACAACTTTAGCAGTTGGGAGCCGGCGGTTTATAGTTTTCGGATATTGGTTTCGACACGAGGCGCTGGGGAGTGGTCAGCCTATAATAACCTACATTTTGTGTTTGGCTGCTTGTTTATTCAGCCACATGTTTTGCATGCCTGAAAGTTGAAAGAGAAGTTAATTTATTCACTAGCGCTTACTGTCCCTGGGTTCCTTCCTTTTGTCTCTGTTGCAAATTTTGTGGCGCCATTACTAGATCTTCTGGTGCCTGGTGACCTTTCCCGGGGGAGCAGACTGGAAAAGGAGTTTAGAGAAACCTGCGCAGTATTTTATTTAAAATAATCTCTTGTAGTAAAAAAAAAAAAAAAAAAAAAAAAAGAATGATGCCGAAATTGCTGTTGTTGCTACGCCAATTTTCGACGACATTAGCGCAGGGGTTCGTTAATTGCCTTCGGAGAGCCAGTCTGTTCTCCCAAGCGTCGGCGGTTTTGGATGCAGCCACCGCACCTACACTTGATCGCTGTCTACGGTCCGCATACTTTGTCTTTGGAGATTTCGAAAGCAGCCACCAGTGCGCGTCAACACCGGCGCGTCAAAGCGTTGGAGCGACCGTGCGGAGCGAAAGAGCACGGCGGGAACCGCGGTTTCCGTCGTGCTCTTTCGCACGTACTCGCGGATCTTTTTTGGGTGGAATCTACGTGCCTGGAAGGCGCGTGGTATTTGGCAGGGCAAAGCACAAGCGACAACCACTAGATATTTCGTCACCATCACCATACCGAAACCATCAAACTTTTTGCTGGCGGCACCGTGGCCGGAGGCCAAAATAAAGCTTATAAAGCCTCGCGAACATGCGGAAGGCTGAAGGTGATCGTCATCGAGCATCACGTGACAGCCGCGACGGCAATGGCGAACGGCCTTGGCCGCTGTCGTCTGCTCACCAAAGAAATTCTCGAAAATGAATTGCTGCCGTCGATCACCTACGTTCTCAGTGATTGCGACGGTAAGCGTTCCTTCCCTCGGTGGAGTTGAGAGATTTGTATCAACGTGCATGTTGTCAAACTTCGCATGAAAGGCCTCCCGGAATGCCCTTGAAAATGCCATCGCCGCCGATTTCGAAATCGGTCGAGATTCATTCTTTCGTTTTCTAGGAGTGCTCTGGTCAGGAAATAACGCCATTCCGGGTTCATCGGAAGCGTTGTCCGTACTCCGAAAGCTTGTACGTATCCCTGTTTTCGATCCTTCAAATCGTGTTAACCTTCCTTTTTTTTTTTTTTTTTTTTTTTTCTCTTCTTCTTCATTGAGCCTTGTCATTTTGAGGAAACACTACGGCAGCATCAACAAAACATGTTGATCAACAGTCGGGCAACATGTTGGTCGTTGACTTTGTTGACCAACAGACCTGTCACATTGCGGGAACATAAGTGCAACATGGACGACAGCGACGACGACAGCTCTGGCATATGCTATTTAACAGCATTCAAGCCTAGTGTGCAGTTTAGAATGTCACAACTACCGTCTTGAATATTTAAAGAATCAGTTAAGATTTGAGTTGCCGAATATGATCCACTCACATGTTCCTAGATTTATAAAAATAACATGCATACTTACTCATTGAAAATTTGTTAAAAACCAACCAAAGAAGCGAGCGATGCAAAATTAGGAGCTTGAAAACAACCGGTGCCAAAAGTGATCATTGACATTTGGGGCTTGAAAGTGGCAGCTGGAGTAACGTAAACTTGTTTGAAATTTCTGAAAGTTTGTCCGAATGTTGCGACGGCCACACCGTCAGTTGATCTTACATGATTACGACTGAGCACCAATCTACACAAACCCTTTTGAGGTACAACGTTCACTAGCATCTCTTACACTAGAAATGGGAATTTTATTTATTTATTTATTTATATATACCCTCAATGCCTCGGGGGCGTTATAGAGGGGAGTTGGTTAGTACAAGTGGTTTTGAAGGGCTAGTCGGAATCGCTTGGAGTTGGGTATGGTAACTATGGCGTCCAAGAGGTCATTCCAGTCCACAACTGTTTCAGGGATAAGGAAATGCTGGTGTGCTTGACTTGAATAACTTGGGACGGTCAATCTTGCATGGATGGTCCAGTCTTGATATGTAGGTGGGCGGGTTTAGAAGAGATATTTTCAAAAAAGGTGTGTAAAAGACTGAAGAAGAGATGATGATACACTTAAGGTGCAAGAGTAGTCATTAAAAGTAAAGCGAGCAGCACAGTTCTGAACGGATTCAATAGAGTCCGTTAGATTTTTCTGATGAGGATGCCAGATGGAGGACGCATACTCCGATTTAGGTTGGACGATAGTGGTGTACAAAATAGGTTTTAGGTTTTCAGGTGAGGATCTAAAATTTCAGCGAATGCAGCCTAGAGAGCGATTCGCAGAGGATATAATTGTTTTAATATGAGTATGCTATGATGGATAAGGTGCGACATGCAAGCCTAAATATTTGTATTGGTTAGTATGATCAATGGGGACAGAATTCAAAAGAAGTACAAGATAGGTACAAGACAATGAACGAACGAATGAAAGAAGTACAAGACAATGAACGAGAAAAGCACATGCATTGACATTTCTTATTAAGGACATGGGCCATGCGTTACACCACTCAGAAATTAAATTTAGAGAGGTCGTCCTGAAACGTTACAATATCATCATTAAACGTAGAACGGCTTCATGGCCAGGCATAAATCATGAAATTAGCAGTGATGTTGTCTTCCTTGGTTTGGGTGCCAGCGAGTGAAGATCATTCCTATAAAATAGGAACCGGAAAACACCTTTTATGACACTTTTTCGTATCTGTCACTGGTGGAAGTCATTTTGTGGCAATTTTTCGGCCCTTCAAACGCACTGAAATTTTGTTGGACATTTCCAGCGATGCTGCACCACACACGAAAGAAGATAAATAAACAAGATGGCTGAATGTCCGTGCTGTCAGCTCGGTCCGATTTAGAGTTTTCCAACTGTCGGAGAACAAATCAGCCACCACGGTTGCCGGGTAGCAAAAAACACATTTTGCAACAGTTGATGTCTCAATGTCACAGAGTTGCCGGAAAAATGTTTCCCTTGTGTTGACAGTCAGTGTTGCCCAGCCGCTTCCTCAATGACAGCGCTATTAGCAAACCGTCATAGTGTTCTGTGTCGCACACTACCCGAGTTTTTGAAGCATGCTTTTAAACACACCGGAGCCTTAAACCATGCTTTAAAGGCTCCGGCGGTGTGGTATGCGGAATACGGTAACGGTGTGCTAAAATTGCCTATTATTTTTGTTACATTTACTTGTCAATACCGTCGGCCTTTGCTCGAAGGCCACAACAGGAGAGGTTCAAAAATATGTAAAAAATGTACAGGCTGTCCCAAAAACAATGTTACAGGGTTTCTTTTCTTCACCGCAAAAAGAAACTATGCACCGCCCGAGGCGAACCTGCACCGGTTCGAACCAGATGCCAAAGTTTCAGAAGTAACCGTTGTCTTATTCCAGAGTTATTGATTTTTTTTTTTAAATTTTCGGTGGGAAAATGGTGGTTGACAGAGTTCTCGAGCTGGATGGCACCAGTTACCGAAAACGGGCAAAATTATTTTTGAGATAATGGTCAGTTCTTAAACTTTTACATCTGGTTTAGTGATGCATGGTTTATTTTTGCCGTGAAAAAAACGCTGTACATTTTTTGGGGGGACACCCTGCCGAAGTTATTGCTTGTAAGAAACTTAAAATATACTCAGATAAATGTACCAAAGCTCTCACTTGCAACAAGTATAAAATATACTTTGACAATGGACGATGTGCAAAATGCACAGCGCCATCTGGTGGGGTTCCGAAGAACATGCTTCGTCTCACCAGTCGGCTTCAGCACTAGCAAAGGCCGAGGTTTCGAAATGTGTTGTTCTGAAGAATCCTTCGCTCACACAAGCACTCGCGCAAAGAAAGCATTTTAGAAAACTAGGCGCCCGTGCCTTGCAGCACTCAAAGCCAGATTTCAAGCTGAAGTTTACGTCCGCCATATTGGTTGCAGCGAGAAACCAGCAATCCGCAGGGCGACGAGCACGTACATGCTTAAAAAGAGCGTAAAACAATAGTAACCGTTAGTTTGCAGGTGTGGGTTAGGATCAATGACAGCGAGCAGTAGGCCTTGATTGCTACCGACAATACTACGAAATTGACAAACAGTAGAGGAATCTTGATGCAACCAAGATAACAGCGCACAGAGTTGCCAGAAGTTCGAACGATTTCGCATATGGTCTATTGCACCAGATATCATTTCAAACAAAAACTGAGTCTCATTTTAAAATCTCTGCAGGCAATATCAACCCCTCGACTTAGCGATTTGGCGAAAGCATGTAGTCGTGACATTAGATGCATTATTGTTTGCTAGACATAGCTCTGCAAAACCAGTTTTCAGATCGCTTGAAGCTAGTTCTGTTGCTTATGGTTCTGTTTACTGTGAACACAAGCAGCTCTTGGCCTCAGTAGTGTGCACATTATACAAAACTAAAAGCAAGAAAAGCAAAACACTGAAAATGAAAAGAAAAACCTTTTCTTTGGATATGCGCACTGTGCAGCAATTTATCTACAATCCGAGACACACTTCGAACTAAGCAATGTAGTAAGTCTTCTAGCACAACTGAAGAGTACGGCAGCACTTTTTTGACAAAAAAATTGAATCGAAAATAGGTCTATTTGCCAACGATTGTGCATTGTACAACACAGTGTCTGGTGAAATGGATTCCACACAGCTTATGAGAGATCTTAAAAGAATTGAATCATGGTGAGGTAACAATATGATGTCACTGAACACTAGCAAGTATGTTCATGTGTGCTTCACAAGAAAACATAATAAATTGACTCATCAGTACTCCTTTAACAATGAAAATATTAGAATGGAACCATCTTATAAATATTTAGGTGTTATATTTGCCGAAGACGGTACATGGACAGCGCAAGCGTACAGTGTCATTTCCAAGGCAGGCAGGGCTCAGTTTTTTACAGCGCAACCTTAAACATGTAAGCATGGAGCTTAAGGAGGCAGCGTATAAAGTGTATGTCAGACCGATATTAGAGTATGCCTGTCATGTGTGGGATCCGCCTTACCAGGTTTGTATCAGTGCTATAGAACATATTCAATCTATTACTGCTCGGTTTGCCCTGGGTAGATATGATCATTTCAGTAGCACAACTGAAATGAAAAAGGAACTGGGATAGGTGAATTTAAGTGAATGGCATAAAAGGCTGCACTTCAAATTGTTTTATTCAATTTATCATAACCAAACAAATTTGTGCTGCAAAGTTCCTGCATTCACCACGTTACCGTTCTGCTCGTACAGACCATTGTTATAAAGTTCAGCCATATTTCCCCAAGACAAACATTATGAAACACTCATTTTCTGACGAACCCTCGCAGAATGGAATTCATTACCGCCGGAAGTGGTCTGCCGCGAGACTGTGGATCTTTTTTTTAATGCATTGTGCTCCCCTGCTATAATGCCTGTATAGGCCTTGCACGTTTTTCATGAGTAAAGAATAAAGACATCTCTTGGAGTATTACAGAATCCTTCGTCTTCCCCGCGTTGCCCTCACCTTGAGCTTTTCATCTCCAGGGCAAAAAAGTGCGCTACGTGACCAACAACAGTTCTAAGTCAAGACAAGGCTACGTCGAAAAATGCAAGAAACTCAACTTCGACGCCAGGCTGGTGAGAATGCCCTGCTGGTACACATTCCCAGCCAAAACACTTGTGAAGGCTGCAAGTTTGTATCTCTGCATCCACGGGTATTTTTAAAGCGCACTGCCACCGTGCTGTTTGGCACACTTCCAACCCTCTGAATATCCTGACATACAGATGACCTTCCAAACAACTATAGGAGACATCTTTAAATACTTGTTGCTACGTGTTGCACAGGCATAGCCAGAATTTTAAAATTATTTTGAGGAGGGTGGAGGAAGAGGTCAACCTCTCTCCCCCTTACCCTACACCCCACCCACCCAGCCCACACCACATATAAGTAGACTCAAACCATGCTACTGATATGTAGATTTAAGTTACCCTCTAATACTTCGAAGTGTCACACAGAACATCCATGTGCCATGTGTCACTGTCACTCACTTTCAGCATGGAACTTCATGTTTGATGGCACAGAACGGCCAGAGTAGAAATTTATTGCCAACGTGACAAATACAGCAGGCTAAATGACATCTCTGAACAAGTATTATGGTGTGACACTGCATATATTTCACCAAAACAGATACTGAAACAAATTTTCAAAATGTTTGCGACAAAGTATTGTGTTCGCTGGCTCGTGACAGCCTTCAGGTGCTAAATGTCTTATTTCAAGTGTGCATAAACCCTTCTTTAATTTTGCATTTTTGTTTGCAGGAAGACATTTTCACGGCCCCCTACTGTGCCGTGTTATACCTCAAGAAGATCAACTTCAGCGGAAAAATTTATCTTATCGGCACGAAAGACTTTTTGAGCGAAATCGTTGATGGTGGATTTACCGTGTGTGCACCCATCGGGGTCAGTCCAAATTTTCATACTAATTTTCTCCCTCCAATGAGAGCCCGCCTTCCACGGCATGGCTAGTTTACACTGATCAGCCAGAACATTATGACCTCCCACCTAATACCACGTTGATCACCTTTGGTACTCAAAACAGTTGCAACCCATCTTGGCATGAATTCTACAAGTTACGAATAAGATTGTACCAGATTTGTAAACGCAGGTTGCACAATTCCCTTAGATTACAATATCTGATGAGATAGGTGGCCAAAACGTCAACTGGAATTCATCACTATGCTCTTCAATCCACTGTAGCACAATTCTGGCCTAGCAACATGGAGCATAGTCCTGTTGGAAGATTCCGATTCGGGTGGGGAAGGCAAGCCACGAACGGGTGTAACAGTGATCTTGACATCACAGTCTGCCATCTGTCAAAGTCACTCAGATTAGCAACCTTTCTCACCACATGCTTGCAGATTCGACAAAATGACGCCTCCGATTCCCTGGCAGCCATCATCCCCAGAAGATGGTAGATGGCGCGTCAGCCACGCACGCTCATTCCTTCTATGCAGGGGTGGTCATAATGTTTTGGCTGATCAGTGTAAATATCTAATGCCACATCATCAAAGCCAAGTTAAAACAGCCTTGGCAATGTGTCGCTTTTCTCCATCTAGCCAGACCCGGCCCCCAACGACTGGTTGAAATGGGCAGTCGAGGAGATGACACCAAACCCCGAGGTTAGTGTGGATCACTCGCGCCATTTTTAACTTTATATGGGCACTCTGAACGCGTCTCGCTTACTCATATTGGTGTTCGTCGGAATGTAGCGAGGCCTAAGTAAACGTAAACTCACTGAGAATATATATATATATTTTTTGTGTTTTGATTTAGGTAATGTTACATGCTCAAACTTTTGCATTTTATCACTGCCACTAGCGTCACGGAGTTGCAAAAAAAGGTGTAGCAGCTTTTTGTGATGCAAAGTTTCTTTATGCAGGTTGAAAAACCAGGTTTCATTTTCTCGATCGAACGCGGTAGTAAGCACAGAGGCATTTCGAAGTGCTACTCGTTAAAAGCCCCATCATTTGCCGCCACAACCTTGCTGCAATTGATAAAATGTCTACTAAGCCAGCAACGAACAATCGTAAAAGTTGGTGCAACCTTTTGGGGCACAAAATGCGGCCATCCTGAAAGTCATTTTGTACGCATATCTTTCCTATTTCCTTCTCAAAAGTACCGTAACACACCAAGCATGTGCCCACGCCCTAATCAGTGCCCTCCCCCTCTCCCGAACAAGGCATCAAAGTATGCATTCTTCTGCAAGCCTTCACCTATCCCAAGCATTGCCGAGCGTGCCAAATGGCCGCCTGGTATTTTACGGCACCTTAGCGGCTGCGGCCAGTGGCTATAACTATACTTCGTTTCACCTCAAGTCTAGATGGAGCCGACGGTACCAGTTGGACAGCATCAAAAGCGCACCATCATGGTGTTCGTCACGTCTCTGTACGTGTTCCATTGCCGCCGAACCAATCGTAAACTGAAAAGGCCTAGTCATTCGTGCTTTTGATGCCATTTCATTGGTCCCACGAGCTTGTAGTGTTGGCCGCGCCTGGACTGAAGCCGAAATGGAATACAAGGTTTTGTGTTTTGGGGGTTAATTTTTCCCCCACAAGTTTGGTGTTTTTTGCTTTCTATTTTCGACGTCTGACAAAAATTGGGCACTTATCGGGCTTGTGCTGGAGAAATTAGGATGTGGACATGGGATCCCTCGACCTCCAGGCAACATGCGCATACCCGAATATACTTGGCACTTGTAATAGTGCCAAGTAAAAGTGTAAAAGTGCCAAGTTGGCACTCTTACAAGTGCCAACTTGGCACTTGTAAGAGAAGGAAACGATACGAGGGGTATAGTTCCGAGCAAGGAAGTGGCCCCGTGGAGGGTTCAGGGGAACTGCATTCCGGTTCGGCGCAAAATGAATCCGTAGATACAGAATCCCTTCCCGTAAAGGTATAGTTCTCCACATTTAAGAACAGCTTGAGTTTCAGGCTTTTCAGTCAACCTCAGTTTCTATAAAATCGGCTCAAGAGTCAACTTTCAGGGTTTGTCGGTATTTACTGAAAACTCGGAAACTATAACCGGTCTTTCAATACGGTGCTGGTCACGAAGCTTCGCCGTAACGCTGCGGGAGAGCTTGGTGCACAACCATGTACGGCATCGATGAGAGGGCCAAGAGCCGCTGGGAGTCTGGCAACTGGAAAGCGGCGTCGGAATTTCGAACGCACCACGAATGAGCCGCCGATAGAACGTGGAAATACGTCGTCGCACCAATGGCGTTTCCCGTGAAAGTAAACGTCCTTGGCTCTGTGTGCTTGGTCGACTGATCAAACCCCCCTTTTCTGCAACATTCTTTGAAATAATATCATTCTTCGCTTCTCTCCTTGCCTCAAAATGAGTCCTCAATACCGCTATTGCCATAAAACTTTGACGCCGCAAGTAGCGCAATCGAGCAGAGGCACGGCGAACCCGAACAAGCTCAATTGTCTGGCTCTTTGCTCGCAAAAATACCGTCTTGTTTAAAGACTAACAAAATAAGCCGGTTTCTAAGTTCTCTTATTAGAGATCAATAAAGAATGACCGGTGCTTGCACACAGTGATCATTTACAGACATAGATAATTGTCGGTGTACAAGAAATTTTCTTTTTTAAGACTTGAAATTGAGGATTAGGGGCTCACTGAGAGTGGGGTGGCCAAATGAAATTCCCCCTCTAGGACAGTGGCACCCCTGGGGGCAGTTTTTGACCTTGTACCAAACTTTTCCCATGTTTTGTGGTCAGTAGCGTATTGAAGAAATCTGCCATAATCAATCTTGCTACAGCGATGTCTCATTAATATGAATACCTCGCTATATAGACAATATTTTCGGGACGAACTGGGTAAATAAGTACACTTTTGTCACGTCTTTGTGGGAAAACTCGCATTATGAGCAATTTTTCAAGGGAACGGAGGTGCCTGTAATAACTAAATGTGACTATAGGTTTTGTCAAAATTGCTTTTGACACACTTTCTCCCTAACCAAAACATTTGTCTCTCGAGACTCCTCCAAATGGACTATTTCACAATATGATAAAAGAGCCTCGGATGATTGCAGCTGCAATCATACGAGGCATAAAAGGTCAATGTTTGGCCGCTAAAAAGGCTCGGCGAGCAAGCAAGCAGACTTGCCAACGAGAATAAAAGAAGACATGGCTCCCAAAATTCGCGACGAAAACACCCGATTGTTACCCCCAAATTTCTTTGGTGCGGCAGTAATGCGTAGCCTTATTCCCGAATGCATTTGGTATTCGCACGAAGCACCCAAATGTTTATTGCTGCAGGTAAAAGCTGTGGTGGTGGGCTTTGACGAGCACATTGGCTTTGTGAAGTGCCTGAAGGCGGCCACCTACCTCAAGGACCCCGACTGCCTCTTCCTGGCCACCAACACCGACGAGACTTACCCGTGTCCCAACAAGAGCATCGTGGTGCCAGGTTGGTGACAGCGGGCATAGAGTCGCCACGGCCGCGTGGCGACAACCTTTAATAATAATGATAGTAGTTTGAAGGGACGCCCTTGTGGTGGTTATCAAAGTTTGGTCGCAGCCAGTCTCATACACATTACTCGAAGAAAGTAATTGAGTATAATTAGTTACTTTTGGTTACAAAGTATATTCAATTAGATTACTCGAGAAGAGAAGTCATTGGCCGTTGCATGAAAAAGTGGCCGTCACTTTTCTGATTACCTCGGATTTTCGAAACGACTGATTCTTCTGCCGGTCTGAAAAAATGTCCTTGATTCTGTTCACTAGTGGATTAGAATCGGCGAATTATAAGCTACTTACCTTCTCGGTCCACCAATTTCGGTAAATTATTCTCCTGTCGGCGACCTGAGTCGAGGATTTCTCGGTAGGAAACTTGAACGAAGGGCACTATTAGAAAGGGGAGGGAAAAAATAGTAACAGTTCCAAGTAATTTTAGTCGTTCCATTAGTAACCAGATTACCCTTCTGATTACTTCCTAATAAATGTAATAAAATGATTACAAGATTACTTCAAAAAAGTAATCAATTACTACTACCGCGCAAGTCTGGTCGCAGCATGTGTTGGTGGAAGAGAACCCTGGGCGATTCCAGCAAAGTTTCGATTCGAATGCACAATTTATTGAGTTATCCAAAGTAACTACATTTTCTGAATACACAGCCTTTACCCTATCTCAAATGCTATCTTGTATTTCTAAATTCAGAATAGTTACTGCGAAGTTGGCAAGTGAAGGCAATGCCAAAAGCAGCGTTCCAATGTACCCACACTTGCCACGACGTCATTGGCAGGCAGGCTTGCAGGCCGAGCAGGCAGTCTACAAAACAGAGTATGCTGCCCATTTGTCTTGTGCTTGAACAAGCTTCCCAAGCATTCGTTTGACGCCGTCAAATTTCTTGTAATCAGTAGGAATTAAATTTTGCTGCGGTGACCTGCTTCTGGCATCACCTTCTCATTGTTGCCAATATAGACATTCAGTTTAAAAACACTGCGAGGACCGAAATAAAAAAAGAGTATCTGCGTTACTAGTCCAGCGATGTTTGTTGGTGTGTTTAAACAATTTTGAGAGGAATCGGGGAACACGAAAAAATTGCAATGCCACTAATCAAGAAGCTTCTTTGTCGCCATGCAATTTGAAGGATAAAAGTGGACAAATTTCTTTCAGTCTGTTTTACAAAACCTGATGACAAAGTTGGCATTGCACGATTGGCGTTGCAGCAATTGCAGTCCCCAGGGTTTCATCATCAAGCTTTGCGATCCCCTTGGCAACAATATTTAAATGCGGTTTGGAGAGCGGATCTGCTTGTTTTTCTCAATTGCTTCTGCGACTGCCATTGAGCAAAGAAAAACTTACATGTATTGCACAGGTTCTGAATGTCAGTGGATAATTGTAAGCGGTCATTACTCGAAGTACAAAAACGGTTGCATCACTGATAAGAAAGTCGCAGATCCGAATAAAAGATGTCAGTTAAGGCCACTAGAAAAGACTGACCCCAAAGCATGAGGCCGGTGTGTCAATTTGCACAGTACAGTCTCAAGAAGTATCATTCGAGAAAAATATCCTAGATTGGAGACACGGATACAATTAGCAATGAGCCTACATATCAGTGTGCCTTCTATAAATCAATATAGGTCACAAACAGAGCCCTTCGTTTACTATTTTATATTTTTCAAACATTCGGTAAATATTGGGAGCTTAGTTCCAAGCTGGTAATCGGTGAGAAATCCAAATTTTCGAGAAATAAATTTAAAACTTTGGCCAAATTTTTTTTTTTTTTTTTTTTGTTCATGTCATAAGGTGTGAGCATGGCATAGAGCTCCCTTGAGCTTTTCGATTTCTCGTAATCCTCGTTGCTTACATAATCTTCCGCATGAGCAGCATCTCGGCCTCCGTCCTAGTCCTGTCTGGTCTTTGGACACATCTGAATTGAGAGAAAGTTCTCTCAACATCACAGCTTATGCATACATTTGCAATGCACAACAATAGTTTTAGGGAACAGTTTTTGCACAAAAGATGTGGTAGAAATAATACAATCGGCTCTCTGGTATGCACTGCGCATGTGCGAGGTAAGCTGTGATCGTACGGTCAAAGCGGCTGACAGCAGAAAAGCCTTGACCTGTTTGTAGAACGGCTGTTTCGCTGTGGGAAGAGGCTTGCTTAACCTTCAAACGTGAATGAAAGCATTCATGGTTGTCCCTGGAAGAAATGTCATGGTGGCGGTGAGAGAATCAAGTCGAATTCACGACAAATAAAACAGAAAACAAATGTAAATGAGATGCCCACGCTTTCTTAGAATCGTATTGTTTGTCTGCCTCAGTTTGTGGGGATGTGGCATGGCTTAGTTCAGGGATTCTCAAACTGGGTTCCGCAAAATACAGGGGTTCTGCGAGGTGGTCTCAGGGGCTCCGCAAACACCCAAATTGCAGTGCCCCCCCTCCCCAGTTTAAGGGGGAACACTGTTTTTTTTTTTTTTTATTTTATGACCAAACCCAATGAAAGTGCACTAGCTTATTCAGCTTTTTGTGCCGATTTCAAATGTCTGGTCATTTTCTCAGTCAGTAGAATTGTCCTTAAGATAATTAAAACTCACCTGCCTTTGTTTGGAGGAACAATAGGGAAAAACTACTCAACAAAATATCTTCTTTAACATATGGCTAGATACTACAATCTGTAGAGAATACAATGCTGGAAGCACCTTTTAAGATTAAGCCATTATTAGTGGTTTTATCACACATTGAAGATCAGTGCTCAATGTGTGTCCGACAAAAAATAAAATAAAAGATGAAATCAGAAATTTCTTAGGCCTATATTAAGAAACCTGCTCTCAACATTGTATGCTTCACACATTTTGCTACATGTTTCGGGAAAAGTTATATTTCTATCCGCCCTAGATGCTGAGATACCCCTCCTGCAAATTTTCAACAAGTCCCAAATTTGTGTTTTGTGATAACGGTGTTTTACTGTTGACTTCAATGCACATTCAGCCTGCATAGACATTATAAATTGATTTATAACTAAAATATTCATCCACATAATTAAGAACCTGGTAGATTAAGAAAAGCAACAGCTGTAGCGGTCAACATCGCCGTTTTCAAAAAAATGAAGTTTTAGGAATTTTTCGCCTCATAAGACCCATGTCCCCCCTTAACCTTCAATGGACTGAGTCATGAATTGAGTTGGTGTTACGTACAAAGCAACCTCACCCTTTACACTAATATGGATATATATTTTACATTGTGCCCCCCAGGTTAACCTCTCTGCCTCCTTATTCACTGGCTAAATGCCTTTATTGCCCAGTATTATCAGTTGGCAACAAGGCGGGGGGGGGGGGGGGGGGGATTTTTAAGGCTTGCTGGGGTTCCCTGGGATGAAAAATTTTGAGAACCCCTGGCTTAGTTGGTTGAAGTGTCGCTCTCCCGTTTTGGTCAAGGTGCCGACGACACTGGTCTAAACCCTGTCCGATGACCCAGCCGTTATCGGTTAGGCTGTCCGGAATTTGCAGAGCGAAGTGAAGATGAGCTACGTCGGCTTTGTGGAAGCAAAGTTGGCGTAGCACAACCACTTCAGCCATCGACGCGAGGTCGAACTTCCGTAGTATCGCCGTCAACAACTTCCTTTTTGGGGTAGCCAAGTCAAACAAAAACAAAAGAAAAAACTTTTTCTAGATTTTTGTTGCCGAAAACCAATTCAAACTATAGTCAAAAAGTTCTAGCACCATGATTGCCGCGAAGATTGTCTGCTCCTTTAGCAGACCAACTGTTCAGTCACAATGGAGATACTGCCACCACATTTAGCGCTCCCATTCCAGCAAGGCGAGACAAATTATAGTTAGTTCCAGAAATTGGTTTCAGGCTATTTATGAAAAGGGAAATGTTTTTCCTTCAGTTCTATGAAATTACCAAACACTCCTCCCCCAAAAAACATGCCGCCTCTTTACCCACTCTATGAAGCCGCTGCACATTTCCGTCACCAGGGGGCACGACCTGTACCGATCATCTGGAACCGTCTGCAAACGCGGTTCTCTAAAAGCAGTTTCATGGAAAATGATTGGTTCGAGCTCCTGATCCAAGGTACCGATCGCTTGGTCCATCGACCGTGTTTTATTCTGGTTCCCTTAAACTCTCTAATATTGTTTCAGACTGACGGTAACAAAATGCTGCCGTCTCTTTCGAAACAAAAATTTGGGAGTGGTCTTTCATCCTTCTCTTTTTTTTTTTTTCATTGGTTGAAAGGGAAAGAAGGGCACAAAGACATAAGCGACGTCTTGGGGATCGACCTATGTAACTGCAGAACATCGAGGCCAACAGAATCTAGGCTAATTTCAGAGGTCTGGAGCCTGTGTTCCTACCAATCCTTTCTTTCCGAAAAAAAAAAAAGATTTTCGGAGCAGACTAATTTGTAAAAGGTGGAATTCAATCTCCGAATTTGGGCAAAAGTTGGGTTTAACCCGACTTTCAAGGAACACAATCGGGGTGTAAACATAGGGAAATATTGGGTTTTACGCAAAAACAAAGGACCCTATTCATAAAGCATGTTACAGTTTTTCTGCACGGCATCAAAATTTCTGTTCGACATGCAGGAGAAAAAAAAAAACACGCTCAAAGCGTTAACATTGACGTGGATTACATGCCACGCTCCAGGTACCGGTACGATGGTCGCAGCAGTCACAACGGCATCCCAAAGGAAGCCAATCGTCGTCGGGAAGCCGGAACCCTTCATGACGGACTGCATAAGGTTCCGGTGTCCAGACCTGGATCCTGCCAGGACGGTGATGATCGGAGACAGGTGACGATTTTTCTATGCATCCCGAGCCCTGTTGCATCAACGCGTCGAAACGAGGGAGGTGGCAATGTCGCCCTGGGTGTAGAATTGGGTGAAAACTCGCATTGCAAACGTGCAGTTGGCGAGCCGGACCTCGGCTCCAGCTAGTTTCGACGCGAACAGTCGTCGTGCCGGTATGCTCTTATGTAAACATTAGCGTGCGACATGCAGTCGTGCAACAACTCGACTGCATCGCTCGCAAAGTGTCGTCTCGTTTCTCTTCTTAAGGTGCTTCTTTTATCTGCTACTCGGACGCCCCACATGCAGAATGCATTAAAGGGGGTCATGAAACAATTTTTCAATTTTTTCCTGTTTAGCTTTCCTCCTCAACTCTCAAATCGTGCATTGTATCAAACAGTTGAAGAAGACTGAAAGGAGGGAGTCTCCTCTTGCTCAGACCCTTGTTTGTTTACCCGGACACCGCCATTCCTTTCCTAGAAGATTAGCCCGTCGCTCAAAACTCGAACAAAAGTTGCTTTTCCCACTCCGTTAACCCCAAAGCTGACAGTGCTATGGAAGCTACGTGCTCGGTGGGCCAGCCACACTTTTGCCACGTGATCATGCTCTCATGCATTCCCAGGCGCAGAGAATAAGGTCACGTGATGAAAGGGAGGCGGCTGATTGGTCCGGCAAGCGCATAGATTCCACCGCACTGTAAGCTTAGGGGTAAAGGGAATAAGTGAGGTCCGGTATCATGTGAGGTGCGTTTGGGCAAGGTGACGCGCTCTGGGTACTGCGGATGTATCACAGTGGAAAGGCAGAGAACTTTCAAAGGGAAGGTGGTACGAAATGGTCCGCTGTGTTTTCAAATTTTTGTACTGAAAGTCAGGCTTGTGACTTTTTGCCTTCTTTCTTTTGGCCCAGTAAGCGATATGCTTTTAGTAAAATCCCATGATTTTTTGCCTTCTTTCTTTTGGCCCAGTAAGCGATATGCTTTTAGTAAAATCCCAGTCTAAATTCATTTATCCCAGTCCAAATTTTGTTTCATGGGCCCTTTAACGACACATACGCAGACGTGGCAAAGTCTTTGCACATATTTTGGAATTAGCGACATGATGGTGCATGAAACGAGTCTCCCACTGGCGTGTCTACCGCATCCTGAAAAGCGTTCCCTTGGTGTCTGCCCAACAACATCGTAAGCTGTGGCGGCAGACGCCTGTTCTGCTGCATTTTGCTTTCCAGCTTGACAGCACACGGTAACTTTGGCAGTCAGGAGTCGCGACGCCACAATGCTCATACTTTTTGCTGCGAGTCCTGGCACAAACTGCCAGGATCGCGACGTCAGACGGCACTACAGTCCGGCTTCTGCGACATCATTTGTTGCCACCACTTCCGAGACCCCTTTTGATGTACGGACGGGATAGGATGGGGAACACGCCAGTCGGAAACGCACTGCAGGCACAATGGCGACATGTACGCAAAGACAATTATGCATGCCCCGTCAATGCATAGTGGTGCCCTGCCGAACTCGGGCGGCAATTAGCCCGCCAAATTTAGCTAAACGCTAACCCGTTAAATTTAGCCAACAACTGTACAGCACGGCAACGCAATATCAATCTCACTTTCCCTTCCATCAAAATGCACTCTGCATTTTGAAAGCATCAAGTTTTACGCCATCACGCAAACCGTGCCAATGACAGCAGCTTGGCGATTACGCAATTTGCCTTTGTTGTGGCGTTGGCGACGTTTCTGCTACGCTTCCGAGAATTTCCACTCCACTTTCACTTTCACTCCCACGCCTATCCGCACTCCGTCTGCGACAAGCGTCCTCGGCAAGCGGTAACCGAATGTCGCGTTCTTTGGACCTGCTACAAACTTTCCAAGGTCTAGCCACATGGCATGCAAGATTCGTCTGCGCCTTTTTGACGCGTGAATGCTTGAGCCAGCAGGAGCTTTAGCGAGGGACGTCGCAATTTTTCCTGGGAGGTTCCCACTAACAGCCGCCGTAGTAAATAAACTAGGAATGCTCGGCCAATACCTACCCTCTTGACCGACGCAGGTTGAATACAGACATCCAGATGGGACGGAGGGCGGGGATGAAGACCATCCTCGTCGGCTCCGGGGTGCACGGCCTCGACGATGTGCGCCGCCACGTGAGAGAGGGGAAACTGGACGACTTGCCAGACTTCTACGTCCCCACGCTCGGGGACATTGTGGACATGCTCGCATGATTGTAGCTGCGGAGAGTTCAATCCGAACCCCTTGTTATAGCTGCCTCTTGCGACGGTAAAAAATTATAATTTATGAGCCTGCACGGTTGCCACAATGGGAACAGTGTAGCAGAGAAGATGGTATGAAACATCGCCAGTGTATTTAAGGTAGATGAATGTGTCGTTTTTCATTTTGTCAACAGTGTGGTGTTGGCAAGCAAAACACATCATTACGTTAGTGAAAAAAAAAAAAAAAAAATAGCATAGTGCCACTTGTGTGTAGCCTAATGCTGAATGGTTTTGTCCAGGCACAAACATTAGCCACAATAAAGTTAGTACAACCGACTCTGTCATCTAAATGCTGAGGGAAGCTGAGAAGTCTAAGAAGACACCTAAGAAAGAAGTCCGAGATCACACCTAATACAAGATCAGCACCGTCTAGACACAAAGTTTGGCGACAATAAAATTGTCAAGGAACGCCGATGTCTGGAAGACACCTGGGAAAGAAATCTTGGAAGCAATAATTCTTAATTACAGATCGTCCTGAACTCATTTTACTCGAATTTGTGCCTTCAATAGCACATTTCTTCAGCATGCCACTCTCACCATACACGACTCGCATGTGCAGTTATGTAAAATCACTTTGAAAGCCTCTCATCAAAACTATACTCCGCGACAACTTTTCTTGGCAATGCAGTGGAAGGTAGAGGCCCGCGTCCCCTCTCCCATTTTGGGTGTACGCAGGCTCTCCTCCTCCCCCATTTCCGGGGAAAGGAGGAGAGCCCGCGCACACTCAAAATGGGAGAGGGGACGCGGGCCTGTACCTTCCACTGCATAGCCAAGAAAAGTTGTCGCGGAGTATAGTGTGGTGGAATGGATCTCGAGACTGAACTTGCATGCGGTACTTCACATCATTAATTTGTCTTATCTTAGAACAGTCCTCGCAGCAAGAACGGCTTAACAGAATGAGAACTCTCCGGGGAACGGATGCACACCAAGGGTACATCATCATCAGACCATAGTTACCAGTTTTAACTGAAAAAACGTGTGCGGGTGTCAAACATACAAAACCAAACACGAATTTCTATGAAATTCAGCCCAGGCAAATATTCTTCTCAAAAGCCCCCGCCCCCCCCCCCCCCCCCCCCCCCTCCTCCTTGCACATTTATCAGGCTTATTAACTAGCATCAAGCCAGTTGGTGTCGTTTCCAAATCTATGAAATTGACTGCCTTGAAGGACACAACAGTTGGCAAGCATTTGTTTCATTCAGGTCGGAGCTAGACTAGTTTTGAACTACAGTCGGTGTCAGATAAACCTTGTGAAGGAAGCAAAAGCAACTTGCCTTCGTCCAGCAAAATCACTTTGGTTGAAAACAATGGAATGTCAGTTATCTTGCATGGCAAAAGGCTAGCAAGAACTCGCTAACTTGGTGTTGGGACCGCTTCCTTTACAACCATTGCACTCACCGAGGGTCGGTATCGGATAAACCTTGTGAAAGAAGCCAGAGCAACCTGCCTTCGTCCAGCAAAATCACTTTGGTTGATAACAATAGAATGTTAATAATCTTCATGGTGAAAGGTTAGCACTTCAACCAGTGTTGGGACCGTTTCCTTTACAACCATTGCTGCATTAGTGTTCAAGTTTCTCTAAGTGGACACCAAAAAAAAAACAGTAACCAATTTTTCCAGCCGAAAATCTGCCTTCCAATCATTACCTCATCAGGGCCAGAGCCGTATATGTGGAGAGTCTGGCCAGTGGGTGTGGCGACGAAGGCGCTGGAGAGGAGAAAAAGGAAGGGTAGGAGAGCGCCGAAGGAGCGAGAAAGGGAGCAAAGAGAGGACAACTGCCTTTATGATGAAATGCTGTCGGCGCAGAGCACTGCTATGGGCTTCTCTCTCTTTTGCCTAAGTGTTCAAACATTGAGAAGCTTTACTCAGTTGCCCTTTAAGCCACCAAGAAACCACATTTTCTTGCCAGAGCCTGCCAAACCGAAATTCTGATGTCTATCCCATGGATTCTGCTACGAATTCTTCGGTCAAATGAATGAAAATGGCAGCCCTCCACGCTCAGCTGGGAGCAGTTCAGGCGCATGCGCTCATGCCTCTCGCTCCGTGCCACCCGTCGACTGGCCCAATCAAGAGAAGGCGTTACAGCGGCAAGATCAACTGGCCAAACTCTCCCCATATACAGCTCTGCAGAGCCATAGCAACTTGCCAGGTTCCACTGTAGTCGGCAGTCAACAGCAGCAGAGCAAACGTTCCTCACGCTTGTGATAGCATGTGCTAGTGACACCAATTTGAAATTCAGATTGTCACATCAGACGCGACAGCACACTGCATGTTCTGTGCACCATACTTCAGCAGAGCTGCAATCACCATCCCTGCACTATTCATTGGGAACACCTAGACGAAACCAATTTCCAAAGCCAACTACAGCATCCAATCAAACCACTAAAAAAAGAAAACCCGGAGTTATGAGGAACTCGACGGGCCATGATAACCACACCAAAACGCCAACAGTGATGGAGAAAAAAAAAATTTATTATTTGAACCCGACAAACTGTACAATCAAACTAGCGTTTTCTTCACAACAAACAAATGACAGCATGTACGTAAAAAAAAAAAAAAAAAAAAGAGCCTCTTGCAATACAAAAAATCAACGTAATGGCGCAGGGAGTTCGCTGGTGAACTGAAGACAAGATTCAATCTTGCGGGGTCAGCATGTGTGTGTGAAGAGGGGGCGAGAAAAACGCACATCCACTTTGTACATTCAAGTCCCAACTCATGTAAAAGGGCTGGGAATATCCCTTGTCAGTTTGTAAATGCACGTAGGATGGGGTGGGGTTGAAAACGGGGACAAGAAGGGAGTGGGGGACGGCCTGAAGGTGAATTCTGTCTCGCGGGCAGTTCTCTCGAGGAGGGACTGCGCTCATGCTGTGGCTGCTTCCGCCTCGGCCTCTTTCGCTGCTTCCTCCACTTTCTCCTCTACCTTCGCCTTCTTCTCAGGGGTGCCCTCCACTGGAGTGTCATCCAGTTTGTGCTTCTCAACTTTTTCGGGGGAGTCTTTCTTCTCTTCTGCTTCGGAAGCTGCATAAAGAGGGGAAAAAAAAAAAAAAAAAAAAGGCTCCGTTTTAACAGGTGAACGGCATTTAGTGTTCCTTGCCAGCATGTATGTCAGTTATGCTGTCTCGCCATAACTTCCCAAATGACAAAGGCAACAGCCCTGAAGAGCCTATCGACGTGACGAAGTTGGGCACATTATGTTCGCTTGTTAGTCATGGTGAAACAAACTGGGTGATTCAAGGAGCGGCCAGGCTCTTTAAATCAACCGCAAAATTTGGTTTCTTAACCTATCGCGCTACGATTTTGTGCAGCGTTGCCCAGACTGCTTTTTTTTTTTTTGTAAAATTTGCAAAGAGAACTTATCTGAGGGAAAAGTAAAGAAAGAAAAAGGCTTAGCTACTATGGAAACGCAGCGAAGCCATCGTTCTGGAAACGATATGGCGCCGCTTCACACGGAGACAAGAGATGGCGCAAGCGGTTGCAATGCCAACTGCCGCCAACGAACAAGCATGTCAGAGAGGGCCGGCGTCTTTCGCAGACAATTGGTTAAACTCAAAAGTGGCGCACAATCCGCAGGTGGAGAGTCGCAGAAACAGCAAAAAACCCCAAAAGCAAAGCACAAAAAAAAAAAAAAAAAAAAAAAAAAAAGCAGTCAAAATAGTTTGGCAAACCATTTTTTGAATTGATTACTTGTCCATCCAATGTTATTAGTAAGGATGATAAAATAATGCATTGGCAAGTGATATCAGAAAAGCTCGCTCGCTCTAAACGATGGTTTGCTGACGACACTGGTTCTCGGCGCTGTATGCTCGTTCACTAGTGGCAGTTGGCGTTGCGACCGCTTGCGTCATCTCATATCCAGTGCGAAGTGGCGCCATATTGTTTGAAGACCGGAGGCTTTACTGAGTTTCCATAGGAGCTAAGCCTTTTTCTTTCTTACCTTTTCCCTCAGGTAAGTTTGCTCTTTGCAAATTTTACAGAAAAAATGCACCATCTGTGGACAACGCTGCACAGTCGGAGCGCGGTAAATTAAGAAACCGATTTTGGCAGTCGATTTAAAGAGCCTGGCTGCTCCTTGAATCACCCAAGTAAGAAGCAAGTATGGAATCATTGCAACCTTCAATATGTATCAACAAGGCTCTCCACTCTAGGTTCCCGTCTTCCTACAAACAGCATCTAGCTCCCAAGCCTGATGCCGAAAAAGGAGAACTGTCTTGACAATTGTCTCGCTGCCTACACAGCTTTTCGGGAACAGGAGCCGACATTTCTCCCGCCAGACAATCTGCGAACTCCCATGACATATTACTTAGTCACAGCACGATGAAAGCCAGATTTACACGAAATAGTCATGCAAATGGCGGTCCGTGTCAACTGACAGCAATACTGTTGTAAATTCCATAAACCTGTTGGAAAATGAGGGTAAATCACTCACCACCATTGGTCTTGGGCGTCTCGTCCTTCTCCGCAGGCTCCTCTGCAGAGTCCTCCTTTTTTGCCTCCTTCTCCTCTTCGTCCTTCTTCACCTCCTCAGCCTTCTCCTTCACCTCCTCTTTGGCTTCCTGAAAGCGCAAAGAAAGGACACACAGGCTTAACACAAGAGAAGCACACCTGTGACCTCTGCAACCATACTAGTCGACAACAAGCTAAGAGTTGAGGAGAAGCTCCGCCCACCTCCTACCCCTTCAGCAGGGCAAACACTGAAGAGTGAGGGCACTGCTCCATAATAGCAAAGTTAATATATTTCTCCCTTAAGATGCAAGATACTTGTGCCAATTCAGGACCAGTTATTGTTGTAACATACATGCATTCATGGCATGTAAGCACTTTGCACAGCACGATATGCAAAACTCTTCGGTTGTTCCCTAGATCGACACGAATTGCCGATAGGGTCGGGCTTGGAACGCACGAGCAACGCTGACAACTCAAAAGACGTCTGAAGCGGCAGCAGCCAATCAGGGACGCTATATTTTTGCATGACACCCCGTAGCGGATGATAACTGAAGACTTGGTATTAGAAAGATAAGTGAGCATTCTCAAACATGTTTATGGCATGTAACCATAAATCTAAATAGTGAAAAAAAAAAAAAAAATCAAATGATGGCATCTCATAGTTGCGGCATCGTTGCTGGTTGTAATTGCCCCATCTGAAGCGGGCCATAGATGACGAAAGGCTCTATTTAATACTCTGGAAAGCCCATCTGTAAAATGTCCAGTCAAATAAAGACTCCCACTGCCAGGGAATTCCCACTAATCCACTATCACGGGTACTCAGCCTCAACTCTGCGTATGCCTTTTGGAGTGCTCTGGTTAGCCTTTGAACGAGTTCATTGAGAACAGCGTACAGCTACCACAACTGCTCCTTGAATGTGCTCTCATTATAACTACTTACATCACGCAAAAAAAAAAAAGAAAAAGACGAGTAAAATTCTAAGGTCACTTACCTCTTTGGCATCTGGCTTTTCCTTGACAGGAGACGCTTCAACATCCTTCTTCACCTCCTCAGCAACCACCTCGGCTTGCTCGGTGCTGATGAATCGCACAAACGAGCAATCCGTCAATTTGACACATTCTGATACAATGCAATTTCGCCACAAGCCCAAACAAGAGAAAACCAACGCGTCGGCAGCCGGTCTACTGACGCACGCTCCCGCGCTTCTATCTTTTTTTGTTTTCAAGTCAAAGCGAAGCTGCGAAGTCCGGCGCAAAAGCGAGAGCGCGCCGCACACGTCCAACAGAAAGAAAAAAAAACAACGTAAATCATGTTTTTCGCAACGCCTTTCCAAAATAAGCTGCCTCCGCCAGAGAAGCCGGCGCGAAAAATCAGCGCTACGAACACACAGGAAAAAAAAAAAAATAAACCTTAACCTTGCAGCCACGAAAGAGCCAATGGAAAGAGACGTAAGATGAAGTATGGAATGGCGGCCACGCATTTTTGTCAGACAACGCTGATGTTGGGAGACCCGACTTCCACCAATCGCGACACTTCGTTCCCCTCCAAACACGTTTTCTGTTCCTTTTTTCCGCTTCCGTTTCCAAAGACAAATCCACAAAGTCAAATCCAAAGACGACGGACACGCCGCACGCGCGCGCAATTCTACCGCGCATGCGCACGATGTGGGGGCGCCCCACTTGGCGCCAAAATCTGGCCGGGCGCTCGCTCTCACCGGGCCGCTAGGCTTAGCTGCGTCACGCCGAAAGGAAAAGCCACCGGAAGACCGCGTACGCGTTCTTGTTTCTGCCCCCGCCGCAAAGCGCTCACGTGGCGAGCGCTTCAAAACGTAAAACATACACGCAAAAAAAAAAAAATAACAACATAACAAACCTGTCTCGCTTAGAGAAAAATAGGTAAGGGAGAAGAGAACGAAAAAACGGCGCCGGTTTCGCCGAAACAATGGACGAGCGTTGCGACGGCGTTGAGACCAAACCGGTAAGTTGGGCCGTCGAGCAATCGAGCGGCAAAGATAACACGCGGAACCGCAGACGGTGAGCTAACAGATGCACTGCGCGTACCGTCTCGCTTTACCGGTAAATTTTTTAGTCGAAGGCCACACGACGTGCGTGTGCCGCCGGCTTCGCGGATTGGCCGGCGAAGCCGGTAGCCGGCACGACGCCGAAAATGGGTCAAAATCGCCGCCGTTGATCGTGCGTCGCACAACCCGACTACAGCGTCGATTTTAGACTCGTTTCGACGCGCAAAAAAGTGCCGTAAAGTCGAGCGCATGTCGCCAAACCAACAAAGCACTTTGTCCCGGCGTTAGGCCTAGCTCGAGATCGCCGGTAGCACTGCGCAATCGGTCGCGAATACGTAGCTTTTACTTCGCGATGCTGGGCAGGTAGCGCGCGGAGAGTTGGAGGTACGACTTACCTGGGCCTTGAGCGTGTGGCGGGCATTGTGAAGCGATTTGTTTTGTTCGAAATAAATTAACCTAAGCGGCGCAAGAACCCAAAACTGAGGGAAGCCAAGCGACAACCACGCACGAACGAGCAGTGCAAGACTTGTGCCGCTCAAAATGGCGGAACAAAGCTTTTATATGAAGTATCACGTGACTGAAAGTAGCCATTCAAAGTCGACCCGGCGAGCTTGGTTGACCAATCGCCGATCGGTAGGCTTCGCGCCAAACACTTTCCTATGAATTACAAGCTTCCTACGGGCTGCTGCGGTGAGAGTGGAAAGGTGGAAACGTGCGCGCGCGCCGTTCCGCCGGTTCCGCCGTTCTCTCTTTCGAACGTGTGTCCTCCTTCATCGCTTTTTTTTCTTTTCTTCTCTACCTCTCGCCTTCTCTCTTCTTTCTTAATACTCCTCTTTTCTTCTTCCTCTCCAGGTCTTGTTTTTTTTTTCCTCTTTCGTTTGCAGTGTTTTCTTTTTTTTTGCTCTGTAAGTTTCGTTTCTCCTTTTGCTTTTTCTTTTTTTTTCGGCGCGCGGGCTAGCGAGGGGTTGTGAGGGCTACGGAACATCTGCCGTTGCTTTCTTCCATTACGAAACTGGTTGAGTTCCTCCTGGAACAATCGCCACCACGTGGTTACTTGTAGTATGCTTCGAGATCACCACTATTCGAGTCATGAGACAGAATAATCGCGTCTTTTCTGTTCCTACTTTGCGTTTTTACGTGCGTCTACTTTGTGCTTGTCAGACTCGAGCCTTTTCGTCGATAACGGCGTTCTTTGATAAAGAATTCCCGGTTTAGTCGCTAACGAGAATGTACTATGTTCAACGAAGATAATATTTCTAACCTCCTTTACTGAGACGATCAAAAGGTTATAGGTAACCCACTTTTTTTTTCCTTTTGCGCACGCGGTTGAATGTTAGATTTACAAAAAAAAAATAATTCGCTCGCGATTTGGATAGTATAGGTTTCTAGTGTCCACTAAGATGCAGTACAGTTACAGATAGGACTCTGCATACAATGTTCCTCAACGTGATGTAAAAATGCATGGATAGTTATCATAATAGGTTAGTTTATGTAGTTTGTGCCTAACCTGAGCGTTAGTTTCGGTTTGTAGATTATTTTTTATCATCAGCTTGCTTTTTCACGAACCCTGCTTGCATAATGTTTTACAAAAAAAAAAAAAAAAATGCCTTGCTCGCGAGCAGCATTTACGTTTTCGAACACCGGAAACACTTAAAAGTGCCGTGAAGAAAAGGTAATTTGCTTTATGTTCGTTAATCTGCCCGACCGACTACCATCTACGTGAAACCGGTGAAATTCTTTGCAACGATTTGAACCCATATCTATGAATAGTGAGGTCATATGATTTTTATTATTTTTTTTTAACTCACACTAAAATTGAGACTGGTAGAAACAGATATTAAAATGTGCTCTGAGCTGAGCTCCTTTCACGACTTCTTTCCGGTGGGGTTAAAAGTAGGGCAAGCTGGGACCCCGAATTTTCGGAGAATTCCAATTCGAACTCAAAGGCCAATAAACGCATACAGAAAAGGAAATCTTTGCACTGTTTTTTTATATGCTCTGATTTCTTATTGTTCGACGAGCGGTGGTTCGACGACATCTTTTTTCTCCCTCGCCCGCCAACCCTGTGCCACCCGTAGGGTGCATTGAACCCTGAGGGGGACACGGCGTTTTGCGGCGTGTGTGTTGTTGACTCCGGCAGAAATGCTATGATTGGGTCGGAACCATGTCCACAGCGCCACGTTTAAGCTGCCTCATCGTCTTAAGCGGATCCAAAGATGGTAAGTTCAATTCCAGATCGTTGCTTATGATTCCAAAGACAGGCCCTCCAAAGCTGTCTGCTGCTGGCAGACGACGGTAAACAGGCGCTTGACGCTGCGGAAGAACCTTCGCTAGGCCTAAGTTCCCAGACAACTGAACGTTCTTTAGGTTGCTAAACCGTCGACTTATTCTTTTTTTTAAATCACGACATTTGCAGAGCTTGAAAGCACACATTTTTTTTATGCCTGCGAAGGAACTTCAGGACGTGGCGACAGTATTGATCGCGGAAATGCGTCTTATCGCCGGTGGATCCCCGATCTACTCCTCTCGGTCCTCGGCTTGCTGTTTTGTTGACGGACGATTTCAGATTTGTGTTATATAAGTTGATTTTCGTTTTCCCCGCTATTCATGCCTTAACTTCTGCCTGTAGTGAAGTCGTGATTTAAGGAGAAGTTTTAAAGTGCCGCGGAGCTGTTTACGCAGATCATTGCCGAGCTTTAAAGGGGGCGTGTGGATCAAATGGCAAGAGGGTAGGCTAGCTGAAATTAGACTAGGGCCTAACACAAGTAGACAGTTATCAAACACGGTTTACTTGGTTTATTGCAGACAGGCAATATATAATGGTAAGACTTGTTGCCAAGCTGGGATATTCCGCAGGTTCTGCGTTATTTCAAAACTGGGGCAGTTCATTTCCGTGTGCAAAATCGAAAAAAACAAACAAAAAAAAAACACAAGATTAATTGGTATTTTGTTTGCGCTGCGTTTTAGCGCTTAGAGCGAATCGATCGTCCCAACAAGGATTCAGATTTTTATGTAGAACACACGTTTTGGGCTATAAAGTGATTTATTTATTTTCTGGCAGCGTGATAAAAACTTACTTTCAAGCTGGCGTCAAGATAAAAATAAGTATAAAATTATAAGTTACCAAACAACTAGCCCTTGGAGTCATTTAATATCATGCATGCAAAGAAACAAGCAGCTTTTCTAACTTGTACACAGGTCTTGTTTGTCATGCGCCAGCTAGACCACACTCCCAATCTATGTCCAGTTAAAAAAAAAAAAAATATTTATTTATTTATTGATACTGCAATCCCTGAAAGGGATTTTAGCAGGTGGGTATAGACTTGATTGACAAGACGTGCAGGCATACAAAATAGCAAACAAGTCGCAGAAACAAAAGAACAAATATTTTTCAGAGGGACAAAACTAATTTAGAAGGGATTCAAATATATGCTATAATTTGTCGATGCATCCATTTAGAAGGCTGCCCCTACAACTCACACCGGCACCACAGTAACTGCCTGATGTTTTGCCTCACAACGACCCACATCCTATAATCACCCGAACAGCATCTGCAAAGTTGTAATTGTAGTTGCAGCGTTGCAAAGCAGTTGTTTCATGGCAGAGTGCCAGCCCACGGGTCCCCGGTCGGTGGGTTTGAATCCTGGCTTCCTGCCTGAAATCTGACTGAGTTGGAGCCATATTTTAGATTTCAGGAGTGCTAAATTAGTTAGTTCGACGTGAGCATGTTGGTGAAGTTAAATGAAAACAGAAAGAATAAACATAGGGACGGACAGAACAGCACCTCTTTCGACTTTCAACACAAATAGGTTTATTAGGTACCGGCAACCGGCCCAAGAGACCCAGAGACGGAAGGGGGGAGGGCAAAAAGCGGGAACATGGAAAGGTGACACAGACAGGAAAATTACTCATGGGGAAGAAGAAAGGCCAGGAGAGAAGCCGCTTGAAACGACATCACCGGACGGACGACGTAGGCCCGTGGGGTTTTTGTCAAGGCCATCAACTGTGGGTGAAGGTAGGCCGCGTCCTTCGTGGAAAGAGAAAGAGAGGGCGCCGAGACATTTCGGGATGTGTGCATTATCGCGTAGGACTCAATTATCTCTCGGCCGTAGCGACCTCGGTTAGAACCTAGGATTCTTGCCGAAGAGAATCCAGGGCGACATGAGGAGCAGATCCTATTGTGGACGGCAATCGGGTGTTGTGACTCCCTCCCATCGACCTCAATTTCATGTTCGCGTAACCTGTCGTTAACGCAGCGCCCTGTCTGGTCGATATACTCCGCGCCGCAAGACAAAGGTATGGAAGAGGAGAGAAGGCTATTTACAATGCCCGACTTTACATTTTTTGAGTGGTGGCTCGCGAAGGGGAGTACCGGCTTCGGGGATCGCTGCTGGAAGCTCCAGCAAAGGCTGCTTGGTGTTGGTTGTAGGCGTAAATCAAGGAACTGCAAGCCATCCGCAGCAGGCTCCTTCTTGAAGATAAGGCCCCGGGAGTGGCGTGAGAACACTTGCTCGATGGAAGCAGGAGAAGCGTTCCAATCGTGAAGCAGGAGGTAATCGTCGACGTATCGGAAGATCTTGGTTTTCAGAGTCGCGACACTGAGCTTCCTCTTCACCGCCACGTCCACAGCTGACAAGTATATTTCACTGAGAACTGGAGCCAGGCAGGATCCTATGCAGACGCCTGATTTTTATTTAAATTAGTTGTCAGTTCTTTTCTCGCTGAGGTGTTTCAGTTGCCCATAGGTGAACTGATGTTTCAATACCCTGAGCAAAATTACACTTTTGATATAGCTAAGACAACCTGTAAATGTAGCTTTGATCATCTTTGCAGAGAATGCTGTGAATCTAATGCCTAATGGTTTTTAACTATACTGACTGTGGGACCTCTTTGGCTTGTAATATGCAATATCAAAGAGGAACCTTCAGTCATTGTCAAAGATGAAACTCATTAAGCAAGGCAATCATTTTTTCCCTTTAAAGTGGTGTGGCAACAGATGTTTTTGCTCCAAGAGCATCGGTGGCTGCTACCAAAGGTCAAAGGCCACTTCCATCACTGTAATAAGCTCCCATTCTCCAGTTTTTCATATATTTATCTCTGAAGTTTAGGGTGGCCGCTTGCTCTGTATTTTTAGTAATCCTAGTTATGCCCCTAAAGGGCGTCGACTTGAAACTCCACTCACATGCAGTTTTGCACTTCCTAAACCAACCTCGGGTCCAAGTGCACCTCAACTGGAGGAAATACTCCACTGTTTCCTCGAGAATCTCTAGTCTGGGATGCAAAACATATGCACCACAGAACAAAGAAGCAATGGGTGCCTACCTAAAAGAAAGCATGTCAGAAAAAAAGAAGCAGTGCAATCTGCATCATAAGTGAGCTGCCTCGGTGGCTCCGAGGCGAGAGCGCCAAACTACGGATCCTTATGTGGTGGGTTCGAATCCCGGCCGAGGTGCCCGCAATCTGACGGAGGCTTATTGCGGAGAAGGCACCGTGGTAACCGAGCTTTCGGTTGCACGTCAAAAGAACCCCCGGGTGGTTGAAATCAATCCTCAGTCCTCTGCTGGGGCGTGCCAGATGCCCGTCGTTGGTTTGGCACGTAAAACCCCCAACTTTGATTGCATCATAAGTGAACATTGTTTCTGAACTGAATGCAAGTGGTGTTCGTATTTGTCCTTTGCAGTTTTATTCTTTCAAATGTAAGTAATCTTGTGCCACTTTCGTTCATGCCATCTCTTAGGGAACTCTGCCCCGTCCTTCATCCAGACGTTCACGTTGCTGCACAGCACATTCACGGTGCAAATAGCGACCCCGGGGGTAAGCATTTTGGTTGCAAGTGGACAAACTCTCTACTTGAACCCTTTCGCAGACTTTTTGTTTTGGGGTTTGAAAGCAGTAAGCATATATGGCTTGAGATTATGCCTCGAGATTGAAACAATAATTGTTTTGAAGCAAATGGCTACCAAAAATGACGAGCACAGCTGAGTTTGCAGCAGGCTTGATTATCTTGTGAAACAAATACTATGTGTCAATCTAGGAAGCGGTTAAATACATAGCTGCTGCTCATCTTAAGATCTCTTTCTTGAGTAGCATGTGCATCCTGCTCTCTGTTTTGGCATAACTTGACAAAGCACGAAACCCACGGCCCCACCAAGTTGATTGGAGCACCGTCGAAGCGAATTCCTCCCATGGAAAGAAGCTGCATGCTTTGGTATGTTGCTAAATTGGCTCACAGAGATTGTAGCTTTTTCTCTTTGCCAATTAAGTTATGCTGAAAGGCGGTGTAGCTATTTGATTGTGTCTACAGAGAAGCAGATGCCTGCTTTGCCTTTTGCAAGTCTGTACCTAAAACAACCTTCAAGTAGTGTATACTCCGTTCACCCTTCAGTTGAGACTATAAGCTCCGCCTTCAGCGTGAGCTCACTGGCTTCCGCAGTGCTTTGGTTGTACATGCCTACGTGTTCATACTTGTGTTAGCAAGGGCAGAAAGCTCACGCTGAAGGCAGAGCTTCTAGTCTCAGCTTAAACGTAAATGCAAAGAAAAAAAAGGTGTATTTTTAAACAGCCTAATTGGAACAACGATGTCACAAAACAATCTTTCCGCAAACAAAGAAATTTTTTACAGCAATATTTATTGCGCGAGTCTGATTTTAGTTTGCGGCTATTTCGTCCGTTTTAAATCGCGCACCACAAAGTTGGTATTATACGTCATGGAGTGGCTGTTATACATCACGGAGTGACGTATTACAGCCACTCCGCGTGCGTCGAAAGAGCGGGAGTTTTAAATGTAGAGAGGTTGTGACTCTTTAAATGTCAGCACTTGCACAATTAGAATTTTATGCTTATGTGAAAATACTTTTTTTCAATGTAGAGAGAAGTCCATATACGTTTAAAGGAACATGTGGAACTATACCTGCCGTCATTCAGAGATAAAAATCCTGCCGGTTCGTTTCGTTTATGCCGAGCTTCGTACAGATGTAGAACCAGAGCAATATGTTCCGAGAATTCCACAAGAAGTTTTTACACTTTCACAGGTGTCATGAGCACCGAAGGTACCAACCATGCTTGCACTACAACTTTTAAGATGAGACAACTTCACAAACAAAAAGTCTGGGCTCAAACTAGCTGGTGATGGTTGAACATATTTTAAAACGAAATTCCGAGACTGGTAAAAAAAAGAAAAGAAGGACGACCCAAGACACAAAGTCTGAATAGCGTCTCAGTTTGAGACTTTGTGTGTTGTGTTGTCCTTCGTTTCTTTCTCAATCTTTGGGGTTTTCTTCTTAAAATGAAGAAAGGCCAGTTGATTGACAAAGTTGAGGTGGGGAATTTTATTTTGTGTCTGTATTTCTTCTACCAGGGTCGACCTCTGGAGTTTATCAACCAGGATGAGCAGAGTCGGCGATGGCTCAACGACTTCCGCATGAAGGTCTTTGCCATTCCCATCGGTCTACAGACAGTTGACCGTAAGCACTCCTTTTCTAGCCTAGACTGTCACTCTGCTGCAAAGTTTCGAGAGTCTTTAGCATGCTGCACTTGCTCTGCACTCTGAATGATGAGTGCACAGCCTGGCATTGTGGATTACAAAATGATGGTGTTTTTCTGTATTATCAGGAAATGTGCAAACATGTTTGTAGAATTATACTATTTTGATGAATCGATGGAAGGGACGAGGTATGAATATTCTATAAACAGCAGTGGCGTAGCCAGCAATTATTTGGGAAGGGGGGGGGGGGGGGGGGGGCTTTGTTTAATTTTCTGGTGTAGTAGTCAATGTACTGTACAATTCCCCCCCTCCCCCGGCTGGCTGGAACAATTTGGTAGTCGTTCAATATTTGTCTTTTTCTTGTCTTTCTTGTCTAATAAAAAAAAAAGTTATGATGTTGGGGGTAGGTGTTTTGCCCCCCAAACCACCTCCCTGCTTTTTTCGCCCTGAAGATAAACAACCTGTTCTCTGTTTGATAAGGAAGCTTCCAACTAATTTACAATGTGACTATTCTTTAGAATGTGACTAAATTTATGTAGTAACTTCGAATGTGATACGCGATCAAAGGCTTTCGCCAAATCTAAAAACACAACATCGGTTTGTCCCCCTTTATCTACATTTCTGCTGAGATCGTGAAAAACCTCAATCAGTTGCGTAGTGGTAGAACAACCCTGTCTAAAACCATACTGATACTGTTTCACTGCTCTCATTTTGTTTGCTTCTTGTTCTTCATTTCAGTCTAGCCCCTCCCGTCTAGGCTATTTTTCACCGATTTTGATTTCCTACTTAGAGTGCGTACAAGCACAGATCCCTCAATGGGACAAAAATACCGACCTGCTACGCCGAATCCTGTTAGAAAATAAGTGCCCAAATCAAGAAACACCAGCGATAACTTATCTTTTTCTGTGGCTACATTCATTCACATCTTGAACTGGTTGCAGCCAACCGCTACTCCTGCTTGATACTGCCCCACTCCCCTGGAGCTGTGCACGATCTGTGTGAAAACAAGGACCTGGCTCACATCCTCAAGCACTTCATCCAAGAAAAGAGTGAGTGCCCCTGTTTCTTTTCCACGGTTATACATCCCATTCCTTGCTGCGAAACATTTGGCCCGGAACGAATGCACGCTGTGCTCTTTTGTGTCCGTGTTTCCTCAGCATGCACCCCTTTGGTATGGATTTATCTTTGGCTTGGTCTACCCTCGGTCAAGTATGTTGTCAACCATGACCGACATTTTTTAGGTAGCTTTCTGAAAGTATAAAGATGCCAGCCGATAAGAATTGTCTGGCCTTTGCCCTCTTATTCTCGTAGGAATGTTTTGAACCTCTTGTTGCGATGTGTTTTGTATGTTGCTTGTGGATGGTCTAGGTTTCACTGCCCATTGAGTTCCGTTTGCCTGCCGCAGCGTCAAGAGCATGAATGAGGCTCTGTGATCCTGAAGAATGTTAGTGTAACTAAAGATTACAAATGCACAATGAAACAGCTCTGAAAGAAAGCCAAAAAGCTTGCAATATAAGAATCATAATTTTGTTTTTAGATCCTTCGACAGGGAAGGCTTAGTATAATCCGCTTTTAAGGTAAATCTAGCCCTCTTTCCCCCTTTTCCACTAATGGCAGCACCCCATCAAATCTGAAAGCCGGGGAAACCTAGGCCAGGTAATGCTGGATGTAGGCCTCATGATCTACAATTTAATATTACTTTGATCACTGCCAGCACAGTTCCAGCTACACTGTAGCTGGAACTGTGGTGGCAGTGATCAAATTGCATTGTTGTTTTGATTTTGAACCTGCCTTTGTGAAGAAAAGGCAGGTCCTGATTTTGAACACCGGCCTTTGTTAAGAAAAGGCAGGTTGTAATATTGAACCTGCCTTTGTGAAGAAAATGCAGGTGCTAATTTTGAACCTGCCTTTGTGAAGAAAAGGCAGGTTGTATTTTTAAACCTGCCTTTGTGAAGAAAAGGGCAGGTCCTAATTATGAACCTGTCTTTGTGAAGAAAAGGCAGGTCCTTTTTTTTGTTTTTAATTTAATTACCTCTAAAGGCCCTTGGGGGCATTACATAGAAAGGGGGGGGTACATAGAATATCATCATAGTCACACAGTGTTATTGTATGAAATATAAAAGTAAACGTAATCACGCTAACAGAGCTCAATAACACGTAATATGGTATACGGTTACGCAAACCAGCGTGTAGTAGTAAGTTCTAAGTCATTCAAAAGTAAAACAAATGTGTCAGTGCTACCAAAAAAGAGGGTACATAGAGAACCTTATATCAAAGACTTACTCAGCAATGTTGAAATTGACAAGTGGAAATATAAAAGCACCAATTGTACATGTGCTACTTATAAAAGAAAAAAATTTTCAGCCTTTCCACTTTGTGAAGAGGGAAGACCAGCGAAGCTGTACGCTCGTCCCATGTGTTTCTTCTTCATCCTCGTCTGTTTTGCGCGCTGTTTCCTACGATAAATTCCCACCAACTCGGCCAACTATCCATTCTTCTATGATACCGTATTTACTTGAGTAATAGTCACATTATTTATGAACAAGGCCCTTGCGTCTGCTCTTCCGCTGAACACTTATACAGTCAATCATCGCGTTGCGCAAAAATAACATAGCGAATAACTAGGTCGAGGGCACGATTCCGCATACAAATGCAATCTTCACAGATGGTATCTTCGCGCGAAGACGTTATCTCCGTCCTGTAAACCGCTGAAATCATGCTGCCGATCGCAGTGATTGTCAAGCCGCATGCTCCGCGGAAAAGCGAACCCTCAAGTTGTTTGCCTAAACAGTGCAGCTATTACTCGAGTAAATACGGTAGCTGGAAAGGTTTCCGCTGTTGCTCATAGATGGCGGTAGCTGTCTAGAGTTGTGTAGATTTGTGGCAACATCTGTTTGGTGCCGGACATGAAACTGGGGAAACTAGCCCTTAATAGCTCCGCTGTAAAAACAAAATAGATGTCATGATAAAGAGACACGTAACAATGAAACAAACATGTCATGGTTTGTTGTCTGTGCGGTTTCACTTGCCAACTCATTCTAGTCGATTATGGCCTACAGAAACGGTAAAAATTTATACAAGTTAGTTTTTGCGATGGGAATTTTTGTTAGGGTGATCATGACGAGAAAAGATGCAGGGGAGTGGGATGACGTTAGTATCGCAAAATTTAGTTGAAGAGCGAGAGAGCTTATGAAAATGCAATGGCCTAGCAAGATCTCTTCTCTGCTAAAGTGTTTGTTGGCCATTTGAGGTTTTAAGTTGTGCAACGCTTACAGGTGTGTATTGTTTTCGTATAAATTGAGTTGCCCTGTTTTGAAGAGATTCTAGCCTGTCATTTAAATACTTTCGATGCGGGTTCCGAATTATAGATGCATACTCCAACTTTGGCCTAATCAGAGCAGTGTATGCTATTTGTTTTGCTTCTATTGTTGCCGTGTACAAATGTCTTCTCATAAATCCTAAAGATTGAAATGCTCTTTTAAGAATGTAGTCTATGTGACTATTTCATGAAATATTTGTCTTAGGTGAACACCCAGATATTTAAATGACTTTAATTTATCTAATTTTGAATCTATGGGGGTGTAGTCATGATGTAAAATGGAAGAACGGTTTGCAAATGTCATTGTTTTCGACTTTTCTATATTTATTTGCATTTTCCATGTTTCACACCGTAGCATTATGCTATCCAAGTCTTTTTGAAGGGCAATGCAATCTAGTTGATTAGATATGTGACGGTATACCACACAGTCATCTGTAAACAGTCAAGTTTTTACGAAAGATTGTTAGGGAGGTCATTTATATAAACTAAAACTAATTTTGAACCTGCCTTTTCTTCACAAAGGCAGGTTCTAATTTTGAGCAGTCCTTTGCGACAAGGGTACGGAGTATGACCACGTCTTGTCGTTGACGGATCCCTCAGAACCCATCTGTGCCATCGGAATGGGAGTGGCGGGCCTCTTCGCAGCTGTGGACGACGGCGACATCTGGAGTTTTCGAAGATGCACCCTCACTGCTGTGAGTGTGTTCGTGCACTACTTCCTAATGGCATCAACGGTCAACTACCTTCGACCGTGACCTTTTTGGTGTGGAATGGGGGTTGTCGCGAGCAAAGTGTCTCAAAGGCGGAGAAAGTTTTTGTTTTACCAGTGTTAACCTCTTACGGTATCTCACTTTCTGTGCACATCGGCAGGTCTCTGTTTTTGAGTTGGCGAGGAGCCCCGACTTCGCGAACCTTCCCGTTATCCCCGAGGACGTCATCAAGGACCGTGGAGCACTTTACAGCTGTGAGTCTCTGCTTGTGACAACCTTCCATTTGGTCTTGCAACTTTGCTCTAAAAAAATTATTCTACTTGTATCAAAGACAGCTTTTGACGTGTGAGGCATAGCCTCATAGCATGGAGAACGTCCACCTCGGACAGCATCATCTAAGGATGTTGTTTTTCCACCATGATTATGTTTATCATACTTATGAAGAGGCTTTTTCGTGTGGTGCAGTTTATTCTATGGTCACTGCCATCATCTTCTTTTCTCAACTCTAACGATAATAATGATGCCCATGTGGTTTTACGAAAAACCAAACTGTGTGAAACGGTCAAATGTCTTTAGAAAACCGAGATATTCAGAAATTTACCTTTTTCTTTGGTTCTGACCTCATGAGGACACTTCATACGTTTATAACTTGCTTGATCTGTGTTCGGGCTGGGATTATGTTTCTATCGGGGTTGAAGTCTTCAAAGATGCCATCATACAACCTCTAATGAAAATGGACAAGAGCATTCTATCCTTTTTTTCTAATCATTGTTTGTGACATTACGGGATAACCGAAAGACGTTATCACTGCTTTAAACAGCTGTCAAAATTTCGTTTCTATGAAGGTACCATTCCGACGATAGGGACATGCGCCCATGTCACGATAAGCGCCCACTACTTATTTTTTAAACATTTCAGGCGTAGGCAAAGGACATACGAAGCACTCACCCACGCAAACCTCTGAGCTCACCGAACTAACCGAAGTGCTCTTCCGTGTCAGTTGCCTCTACAAGAAGCTGGCGCGAAGCGTTAAAGCTTGATGCGCCGGCACAAAGTAAGCTTAACGAGAGCGACACGGCTACTTTAAAAATTATTATAGTATCCCGAGAGATTCCCTGCTCCCGAAAGATAACCCACCCCCTATTTTCGACTTGATTTGCTTCTTCTTTTCTTTTAAACACAGAAAGATAGCTCATTTTTTGTAATTGTAGTGTTCGGATCAATGATGTCCTCGGCATAAATGCAGCTAGTTAGCTATGGCGGAATATAAGCGAACATTGCCGACTGGGAAGTACAGTCCATCTTTGATTCGTTTCCCCTCATTGCGATAACAAGTTTGGAAAAAACAAATAACCTAAAAATAGCATTTTTTTTTTTTTCGTTTGTTGATTGCACATTGAAGGTTAGCCTACTCTTGATCTTCTCTCGATTTTGGTGGGCCATCTCTTGGGATATTACGGTGAGCATTCCGCCAGACCCCTTTGCGGCTTCCATACCAATCGGTCAAGCCACACAAGGGCCCACTCTACCATGTGCCACTCTTGCTTTTCTGCTCTCGGACCTAATAACTGCCTGTCCTAATTTTTTCACGGTTGTCTCAAACTTTCGCGTGGGCACACGCTCAATATCTTATGGTATTGCTAACAGTACACATACTCACACTACGCCGGTTTTGTTTTCTGAAGCGAGCGACCCGGACGAGGTGCACGTGGTGGTAGACCGGCACCTGGTGACCGGCCAGAATGAGCAGTCCACCCTCACCGCCGTGCAGAACCTGGTGCTGCTCTGCAACCAGAAGCAGGGTGGCGCAGTCCGCAAGGACAGGCACCAGTGAGCGTTGCCCGCCCCGCCACTGCCGCAGCAACTATTCAGAAAAAAGCGTGTGCCACCCCCTCTCTCCATGCAGGTAGGAAGCTTCTGAAGGAGACATGAGGCCACCAGAGATGAAGCCAGAAGTGGGGGGGGGGGACACGCCTGCAACGATGGCCAAAACCAAGAGATGCTATTGTACGAAAAGGAGAGCTGCCTTGGCGCCAACAGCTATTTTGGTTGGCGTCAAGTCAGCTCTCCTTTTCGTCCAATAGCGTCTCTTGGTTTTTGTCATCGTTGGGGGCGTGTCCTTCCACACTTCTGGCTTCACCTCCGGTGGCGTCATGTCTCCTCCAGAAGCTTCCTACCTCCATGCCTTTCTCTCTCCCTCTCTAGATGTCACTTTCTCGCCTTCCTCTACTACCAATGCCCCTCCTTCACCCCAGTTTTCTCTTTTCCCTGCCTTCTCTTCCTCTTCATTTGTACATGCAAAGTGCGCTAATATATTTTTTACAACCTCGCTTCTTTTTGTGTGTCTTGCCTTGTCTCTGTGTAATCTTTTAGTGCTCAAGTTGTTTCCCCACCATCAGTGACAATGTACCAACTACGAGCTCAGCACAAACTGGTAATGCACATCCAGCCATGTTTTTTTAATGTAGTTCGGCGTTCCTCATTCGGTGGGCGGTGGTCGCTGGTTGTCTCAGCGGATGCAAAGCCGCTAAGTCAACTATACTCTGTAGTATCGACACTTGGGCCACCTTGGGGCTTCAAATCATTGTTGCTGGTCATCCGAAGCTTTGTCCAAAGTCTCGGGAAATGCGACAAAGCAAGACGACATCGCCTCAGCTTCCCCAGACCGTACCTAACAGTCGGGAAGTAGAATTTCTTCGTCGGAACAATCGCCAATTGCGTCTGCTGGGTACTAGGCACCAAAATGGCGGCTGCCAAAACAAAACTGGGAAATGGAGTGCCAATACCACGAGCTTAGCGTACTCTGTGCTCTTGGTAGATCGTTATTGTAACCCGGGTTCAAACAGGAAGACGACTGCATGGCTTTATTTTGTCGCTCGTGAAAGGCCGTAAACATGTTTGTGTTTGCGGGTTCTGAAAATATTCCAAACTGCGGCTTTTCGGCGAATCGAAAGGACCGAATTTTCAATTCCAGGCAAGTGGGCCCGTGGTCCAGCTTAGTTAGTCAACATGGGAAATTTATTTGCATGTTAAATGTTTACTGATTTCTTTTTAAATTGATTTGCCACAAATGTTAGTCATCTGCAGTAGCTACAGCTTCGAACAAATCTTCTATGAAAGTGGGCGAAATTATCTGGGTCGCACCTAAGCACGCGCGTGCAAAAGTAATCGCCGCACTCAATAAGTTAAACTACAAGTTGCTGGCTGGTTTCTTTTGTTGAAACAGTTTAACTTATTTCACTTATCTGAGCTTAAAATCAGGGCTGTAATTTTACCCCTTCGTGATAATTGCTGCAATGATTACAGTCCGTTGAGGTGTTTATGATAGTGGAGGGTCAGATACACAATTGTTGTTTCTGGCCTAACACACTCATTATTTCAACATTCCTACTTTCTGAGCATATTAATCTGGTCACCAACTTATTTACCTCCAAAAAAATAAGTTTTCTAATGGAGTTACTTTATTCAACCTTTATCAAATTGCGTCAAAATGTTTCCAAGAAAAATTTAGATTTTCTTTCTATTAATAAACCTACCAGGAGAAACTAAGCGTGCTACAAATTTACAACTTTTTTTTTGCTTAGCTAGATTGGGAGTAGTTAGTATCAATATAGACTCGCTATCTCGGTAATTTAGTTTGCAATAAATTTTTTTAGAGAGTGCATTTACTTTGTTTAGTCTGTCCTACGTAATCTGACCTCTGGGAGAGTGAAATGACTCAGCCTAGTGTATGTGGGGTCGTGCATTAATGGTGCATAGAAAAAAAAGCACATATTCACGTCATCTGTGGCGCTCGAGGTCAATCGGAAATTGCATACATTGGAAGGCGAGCTCAGCTCATCTTCAATAATGTCGATTTTGACAAGTGTTTAGTGATATTTACCAGTATCAACTCAGTTTTTGAACGTGTTTGCACGAGCAGTCGGCAGCATCCCAAAGATACTACACGGGGTGGGTCAAAGGGATGAACCCCAGTCTAAATAAGTTTTAAAAATCGGTTTCACATGCTAGGATCATGAAATTTTCCCATAAGCTTGGCTAGATGGTAATTTTATTATTGAGAATATTAATGGAAAAACTTGTCTTAGTCATCTTGAAGTGTAAAACCATGGCTAAAGGCTATTGAGAGAATTTTTGACAGCCCAGGCAAGGAGGGTGAAGTGAAACGGACCTTTCTTCCTCCCTTCTCAGTTTTTAAATCAAACAAACAAATCAAACGATCAAATTGCTCTTGTAGGACAAGAGTCCTACAAGAGCAATTTTTTATTTCTTGATTTTGACATGAAAAAGTATTTTTATGTTAAACTAGTGTCATTGCATGCAAAACTGATTTGTCTGAATTATTTAAAGTGAGATTGATTAGGAGTTTGACTTATCCTGTATTTCATCACAAGGGTCTGGGGCGATGCTTGTGGTGGCATCAACTCTGGTTGCAAGTTTTGTGACATCTTTATTTGATCAACAAAGGTATAACAAAAATGACTAGGCAGTGCTGCAATGGGCATTCAGTGGTGCAACCATGTTCACCCTGGGTGACCACACAGGAAAGGTTAAAAGTTAAAAGTCACAAGGAAAAATGCTGCCTCTACACTTGCGTTTCCATGGAGGTAGCATAGATGAAAACAGACCATGCGCCTGTAGCCTTTACCATATATTCTCACGAAGGTGAAGTGTAGATGCCCATCTTCGGACAGTTGGCCACAAAATAGTATGAGCTCGAAATGGAGTTAGGAAAGATGGCCTCTTCCTGAAAAACAATAGCTGTGTCGGCTACAACCACCGAAGAGGTACCACCAAGGGTACCCAGTAGGTTTATGGTAATCATCACTGCACTAATTCCTTGAGCTGTCGCACAGCAAATATGTCGATGAACGGTCATCTCGTCGACTCGTGCCACATATATATGTGCCCATGTGGATCAATCAAATGTCTTCACCAGGAGCACAGCAAAACAAAACTATTGGTTCCTTCCATTTCAATTATTTACATGATACTATTCAGTTATGCTCAGTAGTAAACACACTGCCCACACCTATGCCACTCATCGACGCACAATGATGTGATGAAGCAACGACATGTCTTGGGATCCGAAGCTCACAGCAAGTCCTCCTTTGATGCCGGGCCCTGTCCACACCACGCCAACAGTCTGGCAATCCTACTCGCCAACATGACAAACTCATGCGTGCTCCAACGTCTCCACAGAGACGCTTTCATGGTGTCGTGAGCGAGACTTGGCCAGCTGCCGTGGCCACTGCGGCTCCTTGGCGCATACCCCTTTGCCCTTCCACCACTGGCCGATGTCCTCGTAAGGGGGCGGAGCTCCGGCCGGGGGAGCGTGGAGCAGGGCACACAGCCGACACCAAAAGTAGGTGTTGATGAACTCTCCGGTGCCCTTCCAGGCAAAGTACTGATTGTAGAGGGTGTCATTGGTGCTCAGCCTCCTGAGGTACCAGGCGAGGTCGCGGGGGCTCGCAAAGTCGTCCACGTGGATGTAGGAGTTGGCCGGGGCAGCGTTGTAGTACTCGTCGCTGCTGGCACCCATCACGATAGGGACCACGTAGTGCCTGCGGTATGGGAGGTCGCAAAATGGAGGAACAGTGGTTGGGTTAGTAGAGAACTCGGGTTAAAAACCGCGCTTTTTTTTTTTTTCATAGATGCCTGCCGCGTCTATTGACCGCGGGGAAGTGGGCATGTGGACGAACCAGGCGTGTAAGGAATGGCATAATATGAGCGGTGGGTTCTCGAATTCAGCATACGGTGATTGTAGGATTGACAAGCAGCCATGTAGTGACATGACAGATGTACTGTGGCTAGAACGACTCCCTGTTGTTAAAGGGGCCCTGCAAGGACTCTTTTATTGGTTTTTAATTTGCACACCGAACCTGAGTGCACTGAACGTAGTAACTTAATGATTGTTCTTTTCTTGAATTTCGCTTTATTTTAGAAGTTATAGGCAAATTAAAATTACAAAAACAAGCAAAAAATAACCTCCTTCATGACGGCCTTGGTCGCTTGAGTGGCCGTGAACTAGAGGAGAGGTAGTGAGCTCAGCGAGCGGTCACGGCTGCCGCACTCCGTGTTGACGGCTCGAAAGGGCGCCACTGAAGCAAGCCAAAGCTGCTCGCCGAGGGCCTTGGGAACGCTCGGAACCGGTCGGATCCTCTAGTCTAGTCCATACGATCGCAGCGCCGCCGCGTACATCCGGGACCTTCCTACGCTCGCCGCTCGTTGGTGCCTGATCCCACTACACCTTTCTATAGTAAGCTACAGGTCAAGAAGGTAGCGGCAAATGCCCTTCAAAGGGATTCATATATCCCTTCGCCACCTCCGCATCCAATAGCGTCCCATCGTTTCCTTGACTTCGTGGCCAACGCGGGAAAGGGTTTTGCCTTCCTGTGAATGTTTGCTTTATCTTTCGACTTTGACTTAGCGTTGTGGAAGCCGCGAGAGGGAAATTAGAATTTCTCCCCTTCGATGGAAACAAATACGACTTTGGGGGGTTAGGTGCCCCCTCCGATGGATACAAAGGCCACTTTCAAGGGCTCAGTTCCCTCTCCGATAAATACAAAGGTCGCTTTCTCGAAAAGTGGGGGTCGGAGACAAGTTGGCATCACTCTGTGATCAAGGGGCGTTTCCAGTGAACTATTTCGACTGCGGATGGATTTGAAACGGGCTCATCACGCTTGTAAGAGGAGCTTGGAGACGCGAGGCTCTTTAAATCGACCGAAAATTTCGGTTTCTTAACCTAATGCGCTACGACATTGTGCAGCGCTGCCCACAGATGGTGCATTTTTTTTTTCGTGTAAAATTCGCAGAGCGAACTTACCTCAGGAAAAAGTAAAGAAATAAAAAGGCTTAGATTAATGAAAAAAAGTTATCAATTAAGGACAATTTATGAGGTTGAGTAAATCAAGTAGGCATGTAGTAACGACTGGCAAAAAAAAAAAAAAAATCTTTCTGGATGTTTTACTAGTTTCGGAGAAAATGTTCATTACATGTACAAAAACAGAGTTTTCGAGAAATCGCAACTGGAAGTTTGACTTTTCATCCACAGTCCTAAAACGCACCTGATGCTTCAGCGTCCTTTTCTTCGCACTACCTAGTGAAGCCCATCCTGGCACTCTCTTACATTGGTCTTTTCTTGCTTTCCCCAGAAGCCTGAAAGTGTGACTCAAATGTTGTTCATCCCGTTCAAGTTCACGTCACAGAACACGCCTGGCGTTACTCCAAGGGCCTCAAGCACTTGTTTTTCCTGCTTCGTCGCCGTTGTTCTAGAACGCAATCGTGTCGTAGACAGCAGCCTTCACTGTGGACACTTGAACAAATGGGGTTTTTGAACACCTACGCCTGATCATTTGCATTTAAATGTCCATGAAACATTCACGAAACGCAAAAATTATTTTTGCGTTTCATGGATGTGGACATAGTACAATATGTTGCATGATATCAATCCCACACAGCCACAAAGACAAGTTTCGTTGCATTTTTTTTTTTAATGTTTTGAGAGCGAAAAAGAGTAATGCATACAATGTCTTCGTTAAGTCACGCGCATTTTAAAGGGCAGATGGGTGTTTCAGGCACAATTTTAAAGTGTCTTCTAGTGCTCACTCGAACATGCTCTTTGGAGGACAAGGTATGCAAGAACCCTGCAATTTTTCTAGATAAAATAATAATAAAACAAGCTTTTTTGGTTGATTTTAAATGAAGTCAAAGTCTATACTTAGCCTGGTTTCGTTCTATCAAAATAGACTCAGCGCACTCGCTTCATCTTCCCCAAGTCTCGTGCAGACGCCTTCTTATTTGTATGTGCGTAAGGTACCTACGCTGTCAAAATTGCGAGCACACTGGAGTCGAGCTGATATAGCGCTAATCAAAGTTGCTTGGTTTATTACCCAGTGGACCTTCTACGTATAAGGACGGTACCTTGCGAAGCTATTTCACTTCTCTCCATTTTCTGCCAAGCACACGCGAGCCTTCGAAACGAGGGCGACCATTCGCGCACGCGCGCAACTGTTTTTCGGAAACAGTCCGGCATTCGCAGACCGGGGCACCGACCGAGCAAAGCTACTTCGCCTCGATACACCTGTGTGAAGAGGGGAAGCCAAGCGTTTCTCCTTTTCCTCGATGCGCGCTCTTTGGTCAGCGACTCAGCGCTAATACGAAGGGAGTGGTTTTGTGTCCCGAATTACACCCGTGGCTCGTTCGAAGGAAGGCGGGAAAGGGTTTGGAAGGGCCAAAGGTGAACGGTATACCGTAATGCGTTGTACAGTTTCTCGGTGATGTAGTCCTTGCAGTTTGCGTTCTCAAAGGCCAGGTAGAACCGGTAGTCCCTGTCCAACATTCGCAGACAGTTCTCCGATTCGTGGCGCTCGCACTTGAGGGTTCCGCAGTCGCCGTAGATGTCCACCTGCGTTTACAAAGGAATTCCAGCTGTCGATGGACCAAACCGTTATACGTGGAATCGCATTTTATTTGGGAAACGCCAAGTTCGTGGCACGGGCCGGCCTGTCTTCTCAAAACGTCCCGTCCTCGTTCTTTTTTTTTTTTTTTTTTTTGCAAGTTGCGACGACATTGAGAATGCGCAGACTGAGGCGAGGAAGCGTTGTGTGCGGTGATTCGACAGTGCGCAACGGACGCTAGCGAAATCTGAGTTAGCTTCGGTAAGAACGCTATTCTGCATTAAAAGATGTCAAGGTAAACGCTCAGGACAGGCTACATATCCAATTAAATCACTCACAACTAGGACGAGAAAAAAAAAGGGGGCAATACAAACAGCATGACTCCCAACTAGTTCTGGAGGTATAGATGCTGTTTGTATCGCTAGCATTCTTACACAAACCAAATTTTTTTATTGGTTGTGTTGTTTGTGCGGGTGTTAGATATATGTTTATAGCTTGAAACCATGTGGCGGCTTAAATTGCACATTGTTCCTTGTGTTAGAGGTACGCAAAAGTACACTCTATAAAACAACGACATATCCTTTTTTTATCGAATAATACCAACTGTGCAAGCGTCTTGCGAAAGTTGCCAGTATTTTAGTGAGTAAGACTACTTTAATAAGTAATTAAAACGAATGAGGCAACACTTTTTTTTTTAATAATAGTTTAAGGGCCGAGGTGTCGAGTGAAGTGAACCGCGACCGAGTATATTTTGGGAGCCAGACCAATTTTTCTTTCCATATAAGCTCAACAAAACTCCATTTAAAATCGGTAACCCGCGCGAAAACCAAAGAAAACATTTACATGTCCTCGAAATTCTGTTTGCGATTGCTCTGTATATCGAATCAGAGATTAATACCACCTAGTCGACAAGGCCGGCGCATGGTGACGTCATCCCCGACCAGGCCGAAGTGGCGAAAACGCTGCAAAGTGTGTTCAGATAAGGACGGTCATAGTGGTGTTGAGCCTACCTTTTGTTTTCTATTAAACTTTTTTGAGGGGTAGAGAAATGTGTCCACACAACGGTTAGAAAGCTTGCTTTTGCAAGAAACTTGTTTGTACTCGTGAGAAACAATCGCACCTAAGGGGACGTTGAAAACAGGACTTTCCCAGACGCGCGTTGACGCAAATTTGAAGGTACCTGGAATAAGGAATATATATTGTGTACGTTAGCAAGTTCTTTAGGTCGAACGCACACAAACTTTACTACTAGAATTAATCAAATTTATTTTATCTGGTCATATATACTTAAAAAGAAATAAAGGGGCAAAATTGGCTTTTTGAGCAACTCTTTCGTAATAAGGCATTTTTCGGCGAATTTTAGGACTTTTTAAAGGGATACTTCAACGAAATTTGAAATATTCCCGTCGTGTTCAAAAATAGGTTGAATATGATCCACAATATCCGTAAATGACAATCGCACGTTTGTATTTTGAGCCTGATGGTTGTATTTTTCGTTATAAACGGCCCACTCTGGCAAGCGCTCGGAGAAGGCCCAGCGGAGACCACGTGACATCCAACGCAATCGTGACGTAGGTCGTCTCAGGACGAGCAAAGCTACGGCGAGGCTGACGTCGAGAGGATGGCGTAGACGTTCCAGCCACCGAATCGGCTGCTTTTGTACGAATTTTGAGTGACGGGATAATCTTCTATAATCTTGTAGGGGGACAATAGCGACTTCTGTGACAAACAAAAGGCATTCTCGGGAAGAGGGGAGTTCCTCCTGCCCCTCTTCTCTCGTCGTGGCCGGAGGCGAGACAACCTCCGTCACTAGCTGCCAAGGTTGCTAGACGGGCATTACAAGCGAGGCGTTAGCGACATCCACCAGGTGCTCTTTGCTAATCGTTTAATTAGTTTTAAAATTCCTTTTCGTGACCTTTTTAACAAGATATTGATATGTTCGATTTGATGGTGCTTTTTTGAACACATATACACCAAAAAATTAGCGCCAAAATTTCGTTGTAGTATCCCTTTAAAATTAAACCTTCCGCCTCTTTTTTTTTCTTTTTGTCCGAAGTATAGCGTTTTAGTACGTTTTCAGAAAAAAAAAAAAAATATCGCGTTCTATTATGTAACTATATTTTTCATCCTGCCCGAAAGTTAAAAAAAAAAAAAATCAATTGAGTGCTTTATTAAATAAAAAAAAAAAAATCATCCTCGATTTTATTCTAACTTTATTCCGTGGATCTTTTACAACCGATAATTTCATATTTCCAAAACATGTTGCGTTCTATTGTTAAAAAAAGTGTAACCAGGTTTATGTTGCATTCGCGATTGGCCAGCGTCGCGCCTTCGTTGAAGTTTAGGGGCACCTGAATTGGAGTGAGTTTTGTGAATTTTGCGGGCACAATATAGCACTGCAAAATAACGAATTGGGTGTTGTATTAGGTTGATTATATGTTCAGCACGCTACTTTTCCAGTGTAATACTTTAATGCAGGTAGTTCACTGACCAAATAGTTCCCTTAATTTCTCTAGAGATCGCTAGGAACTGCCGATCTTCAAAAAAAAAAAAAAAGAACTCTCTTGGTAAAAAGCCGTCTTCCCCCCGCCGCCTCTAAATCCCCTTCGCAGTCAGCAGGTAGAACACCCTGCAACGCCCCCAGATGTCTCACTTGCAGGCATATGTCGCTTCTCCCCTTAACTTTAAACACAAAATTCCAAATAATATCATATCTTAATAAAAAGAAAAGTTCAAGTTGTGTTGAGGACGTTTAGACAGTGAAATGTTATTCTGCCTCAAGAGTGGCTCGAGGATTTCCGCTGTATAGATAAGAAATTTTGCAAGTGCAGTACGACCGCTATCCTGGGGTCTTCAATTAACGTACATCACGCAGTAGTGATTACACCAACGCGTGCCGGTATGATTATCATCCAGATCGAAACGGGCGGGGGGCGGGGATTGAACCCATGATACCTCGGTTCTGCAGCGCGAGCTTCCTTCAGCTTCCGTGAGTACCACCGGCTTTTGGACTCGGAGGCTCGCCAACAACATTGATGTTAACCTCTCCACACACACGTTTCCGACCACGTTTCCCGTAACGGGCACAACGAACATAACATGCCAGTCGGCGTTATTAAATCTGGCTTCCTCTGTTCCCGCATTCGTAAAAAAGAAAACTGCTTGATCCCTAATCTTCGCACTGAATTCCCTACGGCTTAAACAATAGACTAATTTTCGGCCACTAACACTTCTGCCGTCTTTCTACTAAACACAACCCCCCCCCCCCCCCCCCCCCTTTCCTTTTTCTTGCTCCCGGACCTTCCCCCTTTGTTTGGCCTTGGCGTTTACGGTACCTTCCTCCAGCCTTCCTCTCTCCCTCCGGCTGTTCACTCTGGGTATGGTCTGTCATTTCGCAATTTATTCCTTCTTATATCTCGTGATTATCTAAATCCTTTGGAGTCGCTTTCCGACTGCCGCACGCCTTGTTCATCCGTGCACCCGAAACGTCGCTCCCAGTTCTGTCGACCTCACGGCACAAGAGTTTCCGCAAACGGTCCCGAGGCGACGCCGATGGCTTATGAAGAGGCAGCTCACGACACGTTGAACATTCAGCAGTTCAAGATTCAGTCAACGTGACACCATTTGCCTGCAAGGACAGTGAAGTGAACTCCCAGACGACGGAGTGGATCTTTTCGGCAACAGGGCACGGCAAGAATGCATGCGATGGCGTAGCTCGGCTTGTGTTACAAGGCGCGGGGCGCGGGTGCATGCTTTTATGGCATTAGCAGGCAAAATGAAAAATGTATGCCTGCTGCATGTTAGAAATAGCAAACTTAAAGTATAAAAAAAAAAGAGTGGAAGAAAGCTATGAGGGTTCCTGAAATCCAGTCGTTTCACATGTAGAAATATAAAGAATCGAGTCAAGAGGATTCCTTGCACGTGCCGCAAAAAGCAAAAAAAAAAAAAAATAAAAATAAAAAGTTAACGTGTTTGACTAGATTGCTTGCGGCATCAAGAGAGTACTTATTCCAAATAATCAAGCGCAGGCTTTTTTTCAGTATGTGTCCTCCTTCCATTTTTATGAGAACACATCATTACTGCCCCTCCCCCCTCCAACCCACAAAGCCCCAGATTATGACTTTTTTTAGGGTAAAGGAGGCTTCGAAAGAGATCCTTCAAGACCTTTTAGAGTAGCGCCGAAGCACACACGGGAGGAGAAGAAATTCCGACGCTAAATGACGCTACCTTCACTTCTTTTTTTCTTTTTTTTTGTAAACACGTTTTGTTATTGTTTTGCTTTCACTACGTCTGGCATCGGTCAGAGCAGAAGCCTTCATAACGTCCCCCTTTCCTCGTGACTGATGTATACAGAATAAAATCAAACTATTTTGTCGGTAAACTACAAACATTGAAGTATTGCAGCGGAAAGGCCAGCACGTGACTATATAATCAACCAAATACAGCACCTTAAGAACCGAACGCGCTGCAAAGTACAATTTTCATGGGCAGTGTAAACCGCACAACTGATAAAAGAGCTCATGTGTTAATTTCGAGATCTACTAATATTGTTTTGTATAACTGTTTCGGTTACAAATGAGTCGGTCAAGATTTTAAGCGTTTCGGGGCCTCTTGGCTCGCTGGTGATTGCGCCAAAAACTTCCTGACTTGCGGTCGCTCCGGTCTCTTATGTCGGCTTCCCTACCTGTTTGCTTATGGCGCGTCACGCCCCGGTTACTCTTTTTTTTTTTTTTTTTTACAATATAATGGAAATTTTTTTCCAGATATACAATTGCCGGTTGTGTTGCAACTACGCTATCAATAGTGTCCCTTTGGAAAATGTAAATAAATATAAATATCTGGGTGTTTTCATTTCCGATGCTCTTGGTTGGCATAATCATGTTAACTATACATAGTTGGGAAAGCAAGTCGTTCCTTGGGATTCATCAGACAGAAGTTGTATTTAGCTCCCGGGCCTGAAACTCGTTTGCTAGCTTTTAAGTCCTTTGTGAGATCTCAGCTTGAATACGCCAGCATCATATGGTCTCCCCAGCAGGATTACGTGATTGCCCAAATAGAAAAAAAAATTCAAAACAAAGCCGCGCGCTACATATATAATGACTATTCACCTTACACGAGCGTTTCGGCGCTGAAACAAAGGGCTAATTTACCCTTATTAGACGCCAGGCCCAAAGTCTGCCGTCTGGCGTTCATCCACAGTATTTATTACTTAGATGTATTCTTTCTCAGACACGATCATCCTCACAAAATTCGTTTGTCATATTATCGCACTGACCAATTTCCAGCTCGCCATTACAGCTTGCCATTGCAGTATGGAACTGATTGTTCCACCACGTTGTAGATATAACAGATAAAAAGGAATTCAAATCTACATGTGAACGTTTATTCCAGTTTTCCCAGGAATGAGTCATAGGATGGTGTCCTTTTGGTTTTCCATGTGCGAAGATAGTTTGATTTCTTTTCCTGTAGCCTGGTTAGCACGATGCTTCCTGTTTGTGTACGAGTGTTCTTCTTTTGAGTGTGTATACTGTACGTTATTTTAGAGCGCAGCTCTTAGGGGCCCGTTTCCGGCTTGAGCGGCGTCGCCGTCGGCGTCGGCGTCGGCGTCGGCGTCGGCGTAACCGCGCGGTGCATCATGGGAAATGTCCCATAATGCACCGCGCGAGCCCCCCCACCGGGGTCACGTGACCTCGTGGGGGGGCACGTGACCCCCCCGAGGTCACGTGACCTCGGTGCATCATGGGAAATGTCCCATAATGCACCGCGCGAGCCCCCCACCGGGGTCACGTGACCTCGTGGGGGCACGTGACCCCCCCCCCCCGAGGTCACGTGACCCCCCGAAGTCACGTGACTCCCCTGAGGTCACGTGACCCCCGCCGATGTCGCGTGACCCCCCAATGACGTCATCGTCACTGATGACGTCACCGGCATCCACATCGTCATCGTCATCATCACTGATGACGTCATCATCACTGATGACGTCACCGGCATCCACATCGTCATCGTCATCATCACTGATGACGTCACCGGCATCCACATCGTCATCGTCATCATCACTGATGACGTCACCGGCATCCGCATCGTCATCGTCATCATCACTGATGACGTTACCGACATCCGCATCGTCATCGTCATCATCACTGATGACGTCATCAGTGACGTTACTGATGTCGTCACCGGCATCCCCATCGTCATCGTCACTGATGACGTCACCGGCATCCGCATCGTCATCGTCATCATCACTGATGACGTCGCCGGCATCCGCATCGTCATCGTAATCATCACTGATGACGTTACCGACATCCGCATCGTCATCGTCATCATCACTGATGACGTCATCAGCGACGTCACTGATGATGTCACCGACATTCGCATCGTCATCGTCATCATCACTGGTGAAGTCATCAGTGACGTCACTAATGACGTCATCGGTACCCGCATCGTCATCGTCACTGATGACGTCATCAGTGACGTCAGTGATGACATCATCGGAATTGGGGGTCACGTGACCCCCAAGGTCACGTGACCCCCCAAGGTCAAGTGACCCACCCCCTGGTTAGTAAACCCCCCCCAGTGCCCTTCCCTCCTCCTCCTCAAGAGCTGCGCTCTAATTCGGCGTTACAGGGAGTTGTAAGCAGCTTTCACTTTTTTGTTTGTGTACAAGTGTACTTTTTCTGGAGTGGGTATATTTGCATTGTTTCTTGTCTTTAAGCAAATATGTACGAAATTTACTGTTTTAATATTTTTGCCAAAAACGTGTACTCCCCCCTCATACAATTCCCAAAAGGACGCTTTGAGGTATATTAAATAAATCCACCGAAGATGAAAAATAGACAGTAGTAGAACGCTATATACTTTTTTTTTCCGAAAATGTAGTAAAAACAATATACTCAGGACAAAAAAAAAAATCAGGTTGAAAGTTTAGTTTTAAAGTGTCCTGAAAATTCGCCGAAAAATGCCTTACTACGAAAGAATTGCTCAAAAAGCCAAGTTTGCCTTTTTATTTATTTTTAAGCGTATGATAAAATAAAATAAATTTGATTACTTCTACTAGTAAAGTTTGTGTACGTTCGGCATAAAAAGTTTGATAACGTAGACAATTAATTGTATTCTCTATTCCAGGTACCTTCAAACTTGTGGCAACGCACAATTGGGAAAGTACTGCATGCTTTCAATCTCACCTTAGGTGCGACTTTTTTGACGAATAAAAAAAAAATATTGCAAAAGTAAGGTGTTTATTGTTGTGTGGACACATTTCTCTACCTGACAAAAAAATTTAATTGAAAACAAAAAATAGGCGTGACACTGCTATGACCGTCTTTATCTGAACACCTGAACATATCCAGCGTCGCCGCCTGCCATACTCAGCAATCCTCACTCATGAGGACCCTCACTCACCCTCATCTTCACGGGTGAGGTGAGGGTGAGCGAGTTTCTGAACCCCGAAAATTCATGAGTGGCCAATGAGAATCGTGAGGTTGCGAGGGGTGGGAGCGCGTGAAAGCCGTGAGGGTTGTGAGGACCATGTGTGCGTGAGGGGTATGAGTGCGTGAGGGGGCGTGAGGGCCGTGAGGTCGTGAGGACCGTGAGTGCGTGAAAGGTATGAGTGCGTGAGGGGCATGAGTGTGTGAGGGTTGTGAGTGCGTGAGGAAGTGTGAGGGCCATGAGAGAATGAAAGCCGTGACGTCCAGTGAGGGTGAGCGAAGGGCGTGAGGAGTGTGAGGGCCATGAATGGGTGAGGTCCGTGATGTTCAGTGAGGGTGAGTGAAGGGCTGAAGGTGAGTGTGACTGTGAGGATGAGGGTGAGTGAGGGGCTGAGGGTGAGGTTGAGTGAGGCGCTGAAGGTGAGCGTGGCTGTGAGGGTCACTGCGAGTGAGGGCGACCTAAAATGCCGACCTCTGCCGCCTGCAAACGTCGCGCTTACTGTGAGACATGGGCGGTCGGCAGGGGGGTGCAAAAGTGGGCAATTGCCCCCCCCCCCCCTCCCCCACCCCCTTGAACAAGCGGCGGAACCGTTGGTTCGCTGACAAACGAAAGAAAAACAGCCGAAAGCAATTGAAAAATCAAATCGAGAGTAACTATCAAAACATAAAAAAGGAAGATGTCTGCCCGCATTTCGTGGAAGAGACAAATCGAAAGAAGAGGGCGACCAAGCGCTACACCGCAATCCCTCGCAATGAACGCTCAGGGCGGATCAAGCCCAGACTCCAGCACCGAGTAGAAAGTTGGTGAAACGGCTCGAAAAACAAGTTCTCGACTTCCCTTGGGGCCCTTTCATTCTTGAGTACATCCGTATCCACTCATCCGTCGAAATATTCCCTCAATATTGTCGCGCGCGGCGTATGCCCGGGGCCGTGCGGACATCAGTAGGAAGGTTGAGAAAAGTCGTGGCCAGGGAACTGCTAACAAAAGAATGTTTATGCCAACATCTGTTTCAAAATCTTATACGTAAAATACGTTGTAAAATTGTCGCGGAACTTTATTGGTCGGGACCCATTATTATACAAACTTGTGTTGTTAATTTTGGCCATTATATATGTCCGTAGATGGCAGGGAATTTTTTTTACAATGCAACACTGCCCCCCCCCCCCCCCCCCCGCCCGCAAGGTGGTAGATTGTGGTAATGAAGTGAGGGAGAAGCTGGGCGGCATACCTGTACGTACTTCTGGAGCTCGTGGGCATATTCCAAGCGCCCGTTACTTGCGCCGCAGTTGGAGACGAACCAGGCCACCATCTTGGTCTTGTTGGTGGCGTAGTTGACGCCGTTCAAGGGCCGCTTCTTGACCAGCGGGTCGAAGAGCACGAACTTCTCGTACGGGGTCACGAGGACCGAGTCCTTCCTGCGGGCAGCAGACCGGACGTTAGGGGTTTCCATCCTGCTTTCTAATGCAACCTGAAGATGTGGGGTTCTGCCGGGCACTGTTAGTGTATTAGCAGGGATATGAAGTGAACTGAAGAAGACCGTTCGGTCGAAGCGTCGTTCCCCTTCTTTCCTTTGGGACTTATCTTTCACTTCATATCCCTACTAATGGATATTAGTAGGGATAAACTCTTCATGTTTATTTCAATTAGAAAAAAAAAAAATTAAGAGGGGTGTGTTTTTTTTTCGCCGTATATTTATCAGGCTCGGCGGGCATTAAATGAGCGGATAATCGTCATAATGATTTGGCTAATAACTGAAATTTGTAAATTAACTTTTTATATTGGTTTTAGGGGTCGTGTTTTGTATCGCATGCACTGTTGGCGGCAATTACTATTAGAGGCCAGGTCAGTTTAAATATATTGCCAAAAGCAATGACAATTGAGATATTAATCGACCAACTTTCACATTTTTTTGTTTTTTGTTTTCGCCCGATTTAAAAATTGGATGCAGCAATTTGGTTGGGGTGTGTGTGTGTGTGGGTGTGTGTAAAAGGGGGGAGGGGGCTTTTCTCACATCACCGTTTGTATGCGTTTCTATTACCGTGTAGGATTGAACGTATGTTGCTTGCCTATTTGTTTAGCAAGAACCTGCTAATTTGGTCGTCTGCCCTGATACGTTTCGTGTGGATAGCCCTCCGGTAGATATAATCCTCAGGTGCAATATAAAGTTACTTTTTTTGTTTCTTTTTACCGCCAAGAACCTCCATGCATTCCTTGTCCTTAGTTGTCCGTATTTCATTTTATTCTTTATTTAAGAAATATTGCAGATTGTTTTTCATCATCCTTACAGGAGAGGGTTACATCAAGCTTCTTATAGAAAGTAGTCAACACTGTTGTATGTTAGAGCTTGCATGCAGTCGGGAGGCAGTGAATTCTAGTCATTAATGGTTCGAACGAAATAAGATTTTTTTAAATATGTTCTTTTTTGTTTTTCTTTTTAGCAAACGATTTTACGTTTTTCGAATGCAGAGCGTTTGGGAGGTGGCAAAATGTACGAGTCTTTGTTTATTCCGACTAGTTATTGTATATTTTATTTTAAAAAAAAGCGTAATCTAGCAATTTTTCGCCTAGCCTCAAATGATTCAAGGCTACATTTACGCAACGTTTCTGAAACTGAGGAGTGGGGCCTAAATCGCAAAAGTAAATCGAACGTTTAGTCGCTGAATCCTCCCAACTTTTTTTTTTTTCTTTTAGGTATTGGTCTCACACGATTGACGCATATTTTAACACTGGGCGAATAAGAGTTTTATAAGTTTTTAACAGTCCAGTCGTATTCTCCCAACTTCCCGCGTAAGAAGCACAACGTTTTGTAGGCCTTGGAGCACATGTTATCCAAGGGAGAAATGTCTTACAGATTTGATGCACTTGTTTCCGACATGGCACTTAAATTCAAGAGGAGGTTTCTTACGTGTTTTGTGAGAGCATAAGATTTTTCAGTAATTAATAATCATTTGCCACTTCTCACACCAGCCAGCAATGCCACACAAGTTTTCGTTCAGCTATAGTTGATCCGAACAGCTCTATAAGTAATATAGTCGTCGGCAAACATTTTTACAGTCACGCCAGAGTCAAGACTATCAGCTATATCATTAACATAGATCAAAAATAAGACTGGTCCCAGAACGGATCCCTAAAGTACACCGATAGCACATCAAGATTCACTGATTAATCAGCCATAAATTTATACAAACTGCGTTATATTTCTTTTCTTTAGATATGCGGAGATCCATATTACAAGACGGGGAGCAGTGCCCACTCGCTGCAACGTTCTTAGTAGTGGGTGGTGCTGCACCCTGTCAAAGGCTTTGGATAGACCTAAAAATATTCCGTCAATTTGATATCTATTGTTGATGACATTCACGAAGTCATGCACGACTGAGAGAAGCTGAGTTTTAGTTGATAGCTTTTGTTCTAAATCCATACTGGAATTGGACACATATATTATTGTCCACCCTTGTGCACCGGCGCAACTTTACCACGCAGTCAATCAAGAGGCAGGCATCCTTGATCTAAGGATTCATTGAACAAAACAAATAAATACTGCGAAGTCATTTCCGTGTAACGTTTCAGAAAAGCGTCGGGGATATCTTCAGGGCCACATGGCCTTTTTACATCTAGTTTTAAAGGAAGGTTACGTGTTTTGTTGATGTTTTATTCTTCCATTAATGGTGTAGGATACACTGGTTCGATAGAATCACTGCTTATGTCTCGAGAACTAAAAGCGCCTTGAAATGTGAAACTCATGAGCAATTTGATGAAGGTCGATGGCTTCACGACAGTCGACATGAAGCTGGTCAAGAGACCTATTGTTGCCCGACAGATATCTCCAAAACCCTTGCGGCGCATTTTTCATAATGTTCACCAACGTTGTTGCAAAAAACTAATCGTGAGCGCTGCGTATTTTTTGCCTTAGAGAAACTGTGAGGGAAGTAATGACGCTAATATTTCTACTGGTTCCTCTGCGTTTTCGAGAGGGTTATCCAGAAGTTACGCTGTTTATTTTTTTTTTATTTTACTTAATAGTGCAGTAATATTCTTAAGGTATTCCATAAGGTTGCTATGTCCCATCCCACCTCGAAGACTGAGGCACAAGTCAAGTGAATCTATAATGGTTTCCTCAATCTGCGGAGGAAAAGTTGAAGACACGTTTAATCGTGTGACTCTTTTTGACAGGGCAAACAATTGCAGTAAGAAATACAAGCTTGTGGTCAGATGTGCCGTCCAAAACACTGACATTATTGTAATTTGGACCAACAAATATAACACCTAGAATATTATCACTGCTCCAGGAAACGTGGATACCTTCTGTAACAAGTCGTACAAGATTAAAGTTCAACATAAATTCATAGAATAAATTGCAACCTCTTACTTCCGTCGAGCCTAGGTTGATTGATTGATAATTGATGGAAGATTATAAAGTCACCCATCAGTATAACTTTTTAGCTTGGTTTGTATTTCCGCTGCATGTAAGACTCAATACTAAAGATAACAGAAAGAATAAAACACAGAGAGGACGAAACACAGACGAGTATTTGCACGTCATCATTTTTACACGTCATCATTTTTACGTTGTTTATCGTGTCCCGGAGAATAGAGAAAACATCTCCTTCATTACAAAATGTCACGATTCCGCTGCATAATCGCAAAGCAAAAGTCGAGCTTTCCCCCCCCTCCCCCCCCCCCCCCCCCTGCAGCCGCGAGTGGCAGCCGAAGGAACTACGGCGAGAAGCTTACATGACCTCGCTCGGCTCTAAACTGCAGCGTAACGCCCGCTAATGTCAGCAGAGAGGGAGGGGAAGCGTCCTCCGAAAAAGCACACGGGAACCTACACGGCACCCCGAATTACGTCACTAGTGACGTAATTCGGGGTGCCGTGTAGGTTCCCGTGTGCTCTCTCGAGTGTGCTCTCCCGTGTGTAAGACCGCCAGTGAGTTGAGGGATGCCAAAAATGTCAATATTTATCTTTTTTTTTTTTTTTTTGCTTAACAACTAGGATAAGCAAGCGAAATCGGTTTTCTGTTCTTTACTTCAGAAGTGTCAGAGGGCAACTTCCACAAATTTTGACCGAAGTCCGGAAATCGTTGCACCAAGCGGAACATGAAGCCACCCTAGTTGCACCCCCCCCCCCCCCCCCCCCCTTTAAAGAATGTACGAATTTACTCGTCTGTGTTTCGTCCTTTCTATGTTTTATTCTTTCGGTTACCTAGTATATATTACTAACAAGCTCGTTAGGAATATAAAGAGTGAATATTATCTAGGAATGACTCGGGCGATGAGGAGGGCCGATAGACTACACCCACAAGAGCCGAGAATCCTTCGCATTCAATTTGACACCATACACTTTCCTTGTCAACTATTTTATCCATAATGACACAGGAAATTAAATTTTTTAATATTAAAGCAAGAAATGGGCTAGCTTTATTGAACTCTCCATTCAGTTGAGGAGCAAACTAGATCCCATGTAAACATGTTCAACAGATATTTGCCTAGTTAGGAACATATACTGAGTGTGATTCGTAAGGCTAACCAAAGTTAAAAAAACAACGATACTCCCGACAACTTTCCAAGGCAGTTCAGCAACAACGAAAACATATTTGGGTGCCTGAATGATGTAAAATGGGTCGTGCGCAGCATGTTTTGTACCTTCAGTAAGTAAGTACCACTGACAAGTAATCACTGACGTTGATAGCGTGCAAAAACATACATTAGTTTACCCCTCCGCGTAGTGGCAGACGCAGAAACAAAGTTAAGAAAAGAAACAGCTTTCCCCTTCTCAAGCGGCCACGTGACCTGGCGCTAATTATATACCGTCACTGTTCATCATAGTCATGTGCTGGGGTTGGCGAAGCATAGAGCATGGGCTGAGCATGAGACATTGTTAGAGTTTGGCGATGCTGATTGTCGTGAACCCCAGCACTGTACTCTAGGTGCGAAGTGGTGATGTCCTGTTACGTCGCGGTGTCAACATCGTTAATAAATCTAGTGACTTTCTCAAATGAAATCTACTTGGCGCAGTGAGTCACGTGATGTCACGGGGCCACGGGACGTGAGATTACTTGACAGCATGCCTTGACACCATAACGGCACGCGACACATGGTTATAGTACAGTGTAGTTATAGGGAGTATTCACTGGCGGCCATATCCGTGTGCGCTGCTGCTGAGCGCGTGGTGACGGCGAGCTTCCGCAGTCCTTTTGGAGCGTGCAGCTAGCACCATCAAGGTTGCCGGTCCTAGCAGGCTATTAATGTGAGCTCGTTCTGAGCATGCGCTCTAAACATCGCCCTCAAATATGGCGTCCAGTGAATACCTCCTATAGGAAGTATTCACTGGCGGCCATAGCTGTGTGCACGACTGGTGAGCGCGTGCTAATGGCGAGCTTCCACAGTTCTTTTCTAACGTGCATTCCGCACCCTCAAGATTGCCGGTCTTAGCAGCCTATTATTGTGGGCTCGTTCAGAGCTGGCGCTCTAAACAGCACCCACAAATATGGCGCCCAGTAAATACTCCTTATTGTAATGGCCCACTCGTGACTGAAATATATATATATATATAGGTGAAGTAAGGTAAATATAAACTCAATGAACCGGAAAAAGTTAATAACTCAAAGATGCGTACTGTCGGAGTTACTAATTCGAAGTTTATTACGACGTTTCGAGCGGGGACCGCTCTTCATCAGGTAGCGAGTGTACAGCCCGTGAATGTTTATATACCCCTAAAAAAGTAGGAAATGGAAACAACGTTGTCAAAACAGATAGTAGTTCACACAGAAAGGGAAGGGAACAAAAACTTGCAAATGCAAATGTAAAAAAAAAAAAAAACACTGCTGGCGAAGAAATTATTTACGCTCGCACAAAAAAAAAAAGAAAAAAAAAGCGGTTAGCGGGGAGATTATCCACGCTCGCACAAAAAAAAAAAAGTGTTTGAAAGTTTCTGGTTCGGAAGGGGTGGCTCGTCTTCAAACCAGATATAGGTCACATGTACGCGCCCAAATCCCGAGACATTCCTTTGTGCTAGAAGATCAAAGTTTGAGGTGGATTAAAACTTTGGGGGATTTTTCCTTGAATAAGGAGTGGTAGGGTGTAACAGCCTATGCCTGCCTGAGATTAACCGCTTGAGCCGCATTTATCCGTTTTGGAGGTTCTCTTCGGACTCAAACGTCTTCGCCAACCGTTTTTTTAGGGGCGAAGCTCCTTAGGGGCTAGCCATGTCCGTATGTCTGTCCGCCGTCCAGCGTGCCACGAGCAGGAGCTCACAAGCTCCTGCTTGTGAGTTCAACAGCTCCTGCTTGTGAGTTCAACAGCGAGAGCAAAAAAAAAAAAAAAAAAAAAAAAGCTAAAAAAAAAAATAGGGGCTCTGAGATGCCATCCTATCTGTCTTCTTAAAAAAAGAAAAAGAAGAAAATCACACATTCTTCTACTGAAATGAACGAAAACGGCACCATCAGCACTACCTATGACCAAAATCAGTATCAAGAAAAAAAAGAAGAAAAAAAAAAGAGTAGGGGGTTCTCAGTTGCCATCCCATCTGTCTTCTTACAAAAAGAAAAAGAAGACCACACATTCTTCTACTGACATGAATGAAAACGGCACCATCAACACTACCTATGACCAAAATCAGTATCAAGAAAAAGAAGAAAAAAAAAAAAGAGTAGGGGGTTCTCAGTTGCCATCCCATCTGTCTTCTTACAAAAAGAAAAAGAAGACCACACATTCTTCTACTGACATGAATGAAAACGGCACCATCAACACTACCTATGACCAAAACCAGTATCAAGAAAAAGAAGAAAAAAATAGAGTAGGGGGTTCTGAGTTGCCATCCCATCTGTCTTCTTACAAAAAGAAAAAGAAGAACACCACACATTCTTCTACTGACATGAATGAAAGCGGCACCATCAGCACTACCAATTACCAAAATCAGTATCATCAGCACCACCCGAGCTTCGCCCCAATCAACATCATTCACCACGTGGAGATGCGGTAATTTTTTCTTTTTTTTTTCATTTGCATTTGCAAGTTTTGGTTCCCTTCCCTTTCTGTGTGAACTACTATCTGTTTTGACAACGTTGTTTCCATTTCCTACTTTTTTAGGGGTATATAAACATTCGTCACTACCTTAGCAGGTAGTGACGACGTTTATCTCGCCTCCGGCCAGCACGAGAGAAAAGTTGGAAGGAGGAACTCCCCTCTCCCCGAGAATCTCTTTTATGTGTCCCAAAAGGTGCTATTGTCCCTCTACAAGATTATAGAAGATTAACCCGTCACTCAATATTCGAACAAAAGCAACCGCTTCGGTGGCTGGAACGACTAGGCCATCCTGTCGACGTCAGCCTCATCGCAGCTTCGCTCGTCCCGAGACGAACTACGTCACGATTGCGGCAGATGTCACGTGCTCTCCGCTGGCTGTTGTCCGAGCACTTGACAGAGTGGGCCGTTTATAACGAAAAGTACAGCCACCACGCTCAAAATACAAACGTGCGATTGTCATTTACGAATATTGTGGATCATATTCAACCTATTTTCGAACACGATCCGGTTCGGCTAAAAATAATGGTTCGGCTCCGGATTTCGGTTCTTTTCCTGTTCGATACCCTGCCTCAATCCCCCCCCCCCCCCCTTTTTTTTTTTACGTAAACAATTCCTGCCTTCGCGCGGAGTCCACGGAAACAGACTTGCGAAGAAAAGCAAAACATAATACAAGATAAAACACGATTCGTCGTGAAAGCATCTGCTAAGTGGTTCGAGCACACCATAGCATTTGCTCATCCTTTTTGCTCTGTTTTAGTATAATCTCTAATAGGTGACATTCACTTGACGTCACTCGCTAGGTTCGCTGGCATCGCCCACCCCGGTCGCCATCTTCGAGGTCTCTTTCTATCGCGGCCGTGTCGTCTGGCCGGACCTTTTGAGCGTGGTTTAGCAGCATTTTACATCTTTAAAGGACCTTTTTGACCGAAACTATGGGTTATTCTTATGCTTTGATGCTTTTCAAGCGCCGTAGGAGTATTTTTTTGTGTGTTTTAGTTCGTTTTTGTCGCTATCAGGCTCGTTCACCGCGGCCGCGTTGCTCGCTCAGATCCATAAAGCGCTCCGTGTCGCGCGCCGTGTCCACGGCGCGCGACACGAAGCTCTTGCAAGAACTGATTTTTCTACTTTGGTGCTTTTGTAGCACGGTGTGATTACTCTGTTTTGTTTTGCTAGTTTCTTTATTGTTTTTCTCTAGGGGATTTTCTGCTCTACGGCCGTGCAACTGTGTTGCTCCATCGCCTCTGTGTCGTACATACGTCGTGCCTTCGGTGTTCGTTCCTGTGCGGAAACATACCGTGCGGCTCAGAGTGCGCAGCTTATGAAAAAGGCGGCGCATTTTTCATTAGCCCAAGCGATCTAAAAATCGCATGTAAGCGATTTGGCGAGCGGCGAGACAAGCGACGGTGACCCGCTTCGCTGCCGCTTTGCTGCCGCTCGTTCACTCGCGCGACGAGGCAAACCGCATCAAAGCGACGGGAGCACAGTGCACACGACCAAGGCGATGAGCGCTAAGTTTTCTAGAAATCCCAAAACCGAGCTACGCGACGAGCGACAGTGGCGGGCGACGGCGACAGCGACGGGAGTCGGCGACAAGCGGCGGAGATTTCTCACGGTCAGTCGTCGCGTCGCTCGGTTTTTGGATTTCTAGAAAACGTCGCTAATCGCCTTGGTCGCTTGCTCCCGTCGTTTTCATGCGGTTTGCCTCGTCTCGCGAGTGACCGAGCGACAGCGAAGTGGGTCGTCGTCGCTTGTCTTGTCGCCGTCGCTCCACTCGTCCCGTCGCTCGCTAAATTGCTTACATGCGGTCCAGCCTTTACACACTGTACTCGGCGGCAACAAGGAAACTAAAACGGCCCGCCCGCGAGATAAACCCTTTACTCTCTTTTGTTCAACGAAGCTCCTTCAACTATATGAAATTAGCACACACTACCAACGTACGACCGCGTAGCCAAGCCAGTCAAACCGCGACCTCGAAGATGGAGGATCGACGGTGGCGTTCCCTGGCAAAATCAAACCTGCAGGCTCAGTGAATACCGCCTATTCCCAGTTGTTTTTATCTTGGATATGGATGGAAACTTGCACTTTTTTTGGTCGTGTATGTTGTGCCACCGGTGACAGAACAATAACGGGACTCCCATTCCGGAGATGCAATGGGGGTCAGCAGGGCTTGGCCCACGGGCGAGTTGCCGCGAAAGGCGTCTGCGGGTGTGCCAGGTGGTTTAATATTTTTTAACGAGCAAACCGTAGACTGTCACAGCGAAGCGTAGTAAAAGAGGGGGGGGGGGGGGGGTTTGTTACACGCGCTTTATGCAGTGGTATACCCGCCGCCCCCAGTGCGCCTCCGGAAAGGGCGGCCCCTCTGCTACGAGAGAAACGTTTTCGTTTTTCGCGTACGTCGGTTCATCGCACCACCCGTGCCTTTTGCCCACCTGTACGTGGCAGTCCAGTTGATCAACGGCCCCGCAGAGCGGACGAACGTGTTGGTCGGATTCTCCAGGAGGTAGAGGATCCAGATCTGGTGCCTCGCCCCGGGCTTCCTTTCCCTGGCCGTGAAGTGGTCCTTGAAGATGACCGCGTCGATGCTATTGTCGGTCCACATGTCCCCGGTCTCCGAGTAGACCTCGCACGCGTTGACGGGGCACTTGTCCCTCAGGAAGAGGGCCTGGCCCTTCAGGAAGTCGTGCCAGCCGCCCCGAAGTATTATCTTCTTCAGCCGGACATCTGCGACCGCAGACGAGGTCATCAGCGTGGCCCGCTTGCGTGGGGCCCGAGGTCACCGATATTTCACTGGGAGTGGCAGATTTGCATAAAAAAAACAGGGGGCGCGATGCCTTCCCCCTAAACACACACAGACACACCAGAGTGTCCAAAGGCTAATTTGATTTATGAAAAAGAGTGCCTATATTCGTTTTTCTTTAGGAAAAAGATGTCTCGTTCTTGTTGAAATGCCAATTATTTGAGTCAGTGATGTCACCTGACCCATAAATCTGCCCCTGCTGGGGGTTTCCAGCCCCTAAATACTCTCTAATGAAAGCTACTCTAGTCGAAAGCTCTCAGTTGGGTCTAGGCGAGGCGCTAAAAATGGGTATTTACCAATTACGCCCTGTCTGTAATGAAAAAGAAAAAGAAAACGATGTCGTGTTCGCGCTAACACTGTCGCGCGGTGTACAGGGTATGGGAGGTAAGAGGTTATTCTCCCAAACAACCGTTATGTCAATTGGCCTTTGGATTTTGGGTGTGGAGACCTTTGGCGCCAGACTGCAGGTGAGAGTAGTGCGGGGGCAGGTACATCAGTTGCTCCACGATGCGGTCGTCCCCGGTGCTGTCGGGTCGTGGCCAGATCCGAGGCAGGCGGGACAGCTTGCTGGATGGTTCGGGACGCAGCGACCCGTTGCGCATGAACCAGGGCAGGACACGTCGAGCCACCAAAGAGCCCGGCGTGGCGTCGTGCAGATGGTTCGCAGAAGGCTCGTCCCTGAGAGGAAGGGGATATGTTTATTGCGACCATATGTCTACAACCACAAAGTGTGTGTGTGCGTGTGTGGCCGGGGGGGGGGGGGGGGGGGGTAGATGATGGCTGCAGATGGCAGAATGCTCACTCGCATACCCCGCTGCTACGCATTTGAGGAACCATGTCATTGATTTCCCCATAATCTGTCTCAGCCGATTAGAAGGGTGAGCGCTGTCACGCTCGAAATTTCATATGGCAAAAAGGTGTCCATTTTCGCAGCTCACCGAGTGATTCGATTAAAAGGAATCGATGATGGTGGTCCAAACACGTAACCTCATCGCCTTCCATTTACCATCGGCCAAATTATTCAGATCTAACAGGTATCTCGGTATACCGGGACGACCATTAACAACAATAATGCCTCAAAAACAAACCTCCAGCTGATAGTCTCGCGCCAGCTAGCAGCCGACGTTCTTGGTTTGAGCAAATATAGCTGGGAGGCTCGACAAATTCATCTTAAAAATATTTCCACAGCGCGTGCGTGATTGGTTCAGCCGGTAACAACAAACAAGCAAAGACAACGAGCGTCGTTTCGATGCACTTTTGACGCCGTCTGATTGGTTCCGTCGTAGAGTCAAGCCGATCGTAGAAGACGCTATATGGGGCCATCGGAGCCGATTGAGGGCTGAAAGCGAGCCACGTAGTATGTGACCTTTCGGTTGGGGCCAACGTTAGCTTGGCCCCGAGTGGCAGCGACGCGCAGTGTGACGCGCGGTCACTGCCATATACGCGGACCGCAAGTTCGTCTCCTTCTTGCACAGGAGTTGCGATGACGTCAGAATGTCGAGCTTTTATTGGTTGATTGAAAAAAAAAAGATAGTGGGTAGACCTCAAGGCATCTAGCACTGAGGTCTACCCACTATATATCCTTTCAATCAAAGCCAAACTGAGCTCGGCGTCGTACCGACGTCACCGCAGCTCCTGCGCAAGAAGTACGCGACTTGCCATTTCGAATGGCGCGCCGTGTGGCGGACAGTGTTGACGAGCCGCGCTACAACCGAAAGAAAGGTGGGCCACTGGAAAAGACGTTTAATTACGAGTATCAGTACCAAAACCTATCTATTGATACAGCGCCGTCTATGAACTGGAAGACGCACTTTTCTTTCCCCAAAACGTGCTTTGTCGCGCGTGCCTGGTTTTAGGCTTATACCTCCAGGCACGTTCTCAGCCAGTCGCATTTGCATCGTACGACGTGTACGTTAGTTGGGCAAACGAGCGCCGTCTAAAGATAGGCCAACGCTGGAGCCAGATCGGACACGAGTGCTGCGTTCGGATAACACTCGTGCTCTGCAGTCTCACTTATTGAAAATAAGTTCCGACCGGCGACTGTTGACGCGCAGCACTCGGCGCTAATCGGGGCCCCGTCTTGGCGAAGATTCAGAATACGGCACTGCTCTGATACGATGCGTTGGACCAGGGGCACTCGACTCGTTAAACACAAAGTTGGAGCCGAAAATTCGCGGAGCGCGCTTCATTGGACTTGAACGACAAAAGCACGGCGTCATCGTCGTGAGAATCCAGTCGGCGCTCTCCGTAGCTCCGGCCCCATGCTCTTTCTCACGTACCAAAAAACGCTAGCTCCCTTTGGCCGGCGAGAAGGTTGCCTTTTTCTCCGCATTACCATATCTAGTTAGTCAGCAGTCCCGTATGGTAGCCGTGTGATGTTGGGCAAGCTGCGGTGATGTTGCTGATAGTTAGTTCCCACCTGAAGATCTGCCGCTCCATGATTCGCTTGACTCGCTCCGCGCGACCTTCTCGTCGAGACCCGTTCAGCCTTTCAGCCCGTAGTCGCTCCTTGACCCAGGGCAGACCGGCGTCACCGAGGCTTCGCTGCGTCTCCAGCCTGAACTGGAACAGAAACAGGCTGGCGCCACTGACGAGCAGCGCGAACGCCAGGCAGCCCCTGAGCGTCGATGAACTGCGCATGGCCCTCGAGTGGCGCCGGACCAGGGTCGAGTACGCCATGCTGAACGCCGATGGCGTGCACTGCTGGGGCTGAAGACGGCGAAAAGAAGGCTTACATGAGAAACGCGGTGGGGATCGCAGGCGGGAAAACTTACGGTGAGTTGGAACGTAAGCGATGTTGGTTTGTTTACGTCTGAGTGAAGAACGCGAATGCTGCAAGGACTCTTAACGGCACGTGCAAGAACTTCTTTCTCTTTATTTTTCTTTTGTAATCAATGCTAATTTTTTTTCTGTGACTGCAGCCGAAGGTGCGGGAGCGCGTGCTTGAGTGCTGGTGTGCACGCGCACTCCTAACTCCTCTCGTCGGAAATGTTACAGAAAGTCGTCTACGCGACTCACGAGTTTAGGGGGATCGTCCGTCCTGAAGTCTGTCTCAACGTGCAGGGAAATAGCCAACAAGGAAAATGCGAAGCCCTTCGGCGATCTGTTTGCCCACCTGCTTGTGACCTCCTTTGTTCAGTGTTAATGAATGATGCGTGTAGTGGAACGACGGATGTTTCCAATCCCTTATAATTTCTCTCTCACATGGCGAGATGAGATCTGTCTATTTGTCTTGTCAATATCTGTAATACCCCTTTTGATCAATAGGTAAATTATGCTGAGTGTAAAAGAGTTTGCAAGTCCAATTTTACACACAAAAGATGCTGTAATTCACGCGCAGCTAATAACCTAAATATTTAAAAAAATTAAACACCAACCAAGCCCTTCTAAGAGGACCCTGCGTTTCGAAGCCTCTTCTTCAGGGGCGACTAGGGCTACGGCCGTTGAGGAGCAGTGTCCTTAGCTTTTTCATCTATGGTGGGTGTCTGGTCTTCTTCTACGGCCGTACCATTTCAATAAGGTGACGAAGCCCGTTTACATGTGCGGATGGTAAAGCTCCGAGAGACCGATTGATCTTATGTGGCGTTGTTTGAATATGCCAGGATTCGAGAAACAGTCTCGAGGATTTGTCTCAACGTCAATGATGCATGTGTTGTCAAAGTCAATACGATGGTCCTTGACGTCGCAGTGCTCAGCGACCGCGCTACGTTCATGATCAAGGCTTGCGCACGTCGTTTTTGAGCTGACGGGTTTTCTCTGTCTGTTAGAAAAATTTCTAACAGAACGTGCCATTAAAAATAAATAAATAAATAAATATAAATATATTAGATAAATATAAATAAATATAAATAAATAAAAAATAAAAATGAAAGTCGTTTACAACTCCCTGTAACGCCGGATTAGAGCGCAGCTCTTGAGGAGGAGGAGGGGAAGGGTACTGAGGGGAAGGTATATAACAGCCACATCTTTCACTGGGACGGTACATAGCTCAGAAATGTAGGTATGCTTGAGAGAAGAGCGTGTTGGTTCAAGTCATGGACGAAGAAAGATTAAAATAATTAAAACAGGGACAACACAACCACATCTTTCACTGGGACGGTACATAGCTCAGAAATTTAGGTATGCTTGAGAGAAGAGCGTGTTGGATCAAGTCATGGACGAAGAAAGATTAAAATAATTAAAACAGGGACAACACAACCACATCTTTCACTGGGACGGTACATAGCTCAGAAATTTAGGTATGCTTGAGAGAAGAGCGTGTTGGATCAAGTCATGGACGAAGAAAGATTAAAATAATTAAAACAGGGACAACACAACCACATCTTTCACTGGGACGGTACATAGCTCAGACATTTAGGTATGCTTGAGAGAAGAGCGTGTTGGTTCCAGTCATGGACGAAGAAAGATTAAAATAATTAAAACAGGGACAACACAACCACATCTTTCACTGGGACGGTACATAGCTCAGAAATTTAGGTATGCTTGAGAGAAGAGCGTGTTGGTTCAAGTCATGGACGAAGAAAGATTAAAATAATTAAAACAGGGACAACACAACCACATCTTTCACTGGGACGGTACATAGCTCAGAAATTTAGGTATGCTTGAGAGAAGAGCGTGTTGGATCAAGTCATGGACGAAGAAAGATTAAAATAATTAAAACAGGGACAACACAACCACATCTTTCACTGGGACGGTACATAGCTCAGAAATGTAGGTATGCTTGAGAGAAGAGCGTGTTGGTTCAAGTCATGGACGAAGAAAGGTTAAAATAATTAAAACAGGGACAACACAACCACATCTTTCACTGGGAGGGTACATATAGCTCAGAAATGTAGGTATGCTTGAGAGAAGAGCGTGTTGGTTCAAGTCATGGACGAAGAAAGATTAAAATAATTAAAACAGGGACAACACAACCACATCTTTCACTGGGACGGTACATAGCTCAGAAATTTAGGTATGCTTGAGAGAAGAGCGTGTTGGATCAAGTCATGGACGAATAAAGATTAAAATAATTAAAACAGGGACAACACAACCACATCTTTCACTGGGACGGTACATAGCTCAGAAATTTAGGTATGCTTGAGAGAAGAGCGTGTTGGTTCAAGTCATGGACGAAGAAAGATTAAAATAATTAAAACAGGGACAACACAACCACATCTTTCACTGGGACGGTACATAGCTCAGAAATGTAGGTATGCTTGAGAGAAGAGCGTGTTGGTTCAAGTCATGGACGAAGAAAGATTAAAATAATTAAAACAGGGACAACACGACCACATCTTTCACTGGGACGGTACATAGCTCAGAAATTTAGGTATGCTTGAGAGAAGAGCGTGTTGGATCAAGTCATAGATGAAGAAAGAATAAAACAATTAAAACAGGGAGAACACAACCACATCTTTCACTGGGACGGTACATAGCTCAGAAATCTAGGTATGCTTGAGAGAAGAGCGTGTTGGTTCAAGTCATGGACGAAGAAAGATTAAAATAATTAAAACAGGGACAACACAACCACATCTTTCGCTGGGACGGTACATAGCTCAGAAATTTAGGTATGTTTGAGAGAAGAGCGTGTTGGATCAAGTCATGGACGAAGAAAGATTAAAATAATTAAAAAACAGGGACAACACAACCACATCTTTCACTGGGACGGTACATAGCTCAGAAATTTAGGTAGACTTGAGAGAAGAGCGTGTTGGTTCAAGTCATGGACGAAGAAAGATTAAAATAATTAAAACAGGGACAACACAACCACATCTTTCACTGGGACGGTACATAGCTCAGAAATGTAGGTATGCTTGAGAGAAGAGCGTGTTGGTTCAAGTCATGGACGAAGAAAGATTAAAATAATTAAAACAGGACAACACAACCACATCTTTCACTGGGACGGTACATAGCTCAGAAATTTAGGTATGCTTGAGAGAAGAGCGTGTTGGATCAAGTCATGGACGAAGAAAGATTAAAATAATTAAAACAGGGACAACACAACCACATCTTTCACTGGGACGGTACATAGCTCAGAAATTTAGGTATGCTTGAGAGAAGAGCGTGTTGGTTCAAGTCATGGACGAAGAAAGATTAAAATAATTAAAACAGGGACAACACAACCACATCTTTCACTGGGACGGTACATAGCTCAGAAATGTAGGTATGCTTGAGAGAAGAGCGTGTTGGTTCAAGTCATGGACGAAGAAAGATTAAAATAATTAAAACAGGGACAACACAACCACATCTTTCATTGGGACGGTACATAGCTCAGAAATGTAGGTATGCTTGAGAGAAGAGCGTGTTGGATCAAGTCATAGATGAAGAAAGAATAAAACAATTAAAACAGGGAGAACACAACCACATCTTTCACTGGGACGGTATATAGCTCAGAAATGTAGGTATGCTTGAGAGAAGAGCGTGTTGGGTCAAGTCATGGATGAAGAAAGAATAAAACAATTAAAACAGGGACAACACAGCCAGACCTTTCACTGGGACGGTACATAGCTCAGAAATGTAGGCATGCTTGATAGAAGAGCGTGTTGGTTCAAGTCATAGATGAAGAAAGAATAAAACAATTAAAACAGGGGCAACACAACCACATCTTTCACTGGGACGGTACATAGCTCAGAAATGTAGGTATGCTTGAGAAAAGAGCGTGTTGGTTCAATTCATAGATGAAGAAATAATAAAACAATTAAAACAGGGACAACACAACCACATCTTTCACTGGGACGGTACATAGCTCAGAAATGTAGGTACGCTTGAGAGAAGAGCGTGTTGGTTGAAGTCATAGATGAAGAAAGAATAAAACATTTAAAACAGGGACAACACAACCACATCTTTCACTGGGACGGTTCATAGCTCAGAAAAGTAGGTATGCTTGAGAGAAGAGCGTGTTGGTTCAAGTCATGGATGAAGAAATTGTTTTATTCTTTATTCATCCGTGACTTGAACCAACACGCTCTTCTCTCAAGCATACCTACATTTCTGAGCTATGTACCGTCCCAGTGAAAGATGTGGTTCTGTTGTCTCTGCTTTAATTGTTTTATTCTTTCTTCATCCATGACTTGAACCAACACGCTCTTCTCTCAAGCATACCTACGTTTCTGAGCTATGTACCGTCCCAATCAAAGATGTGGTTGTGTTGTCCCTGTTTTAATTGTTTTATTATTTCTTCATCCATGACTTGAACCAACACGCTCTTCTCTCAAGCATACCTACATTTCTGAGTTATGTACCGTCCCAGTGAAAGATGTGGTTGTGTTGCCCCTGTTTTAATTGTTTTATTCTTTCTTCATCTATGACTTGAACCAACACGCTCTTCTATCAAGCATACCTACATTTCTGAGCTATGTACCGTCCCAGTGAAAGGTCTGGCTGTGTTGTCCCTGTTTTAATTGTTTTATTCTTTCTTCATCCATGACTTGAACCAACACGCTCTTCTCTCAAGCACACTTACATTTCTGAGCTATGTACCGCCCCAGTGAAAGATGTGGTTGTGTTGTCCCTGTTTTAATTGTTTTATTCTTTCTTCATCCATGACTTGAACCAACACGCTCTTCTCTCAAGCATACCTACATTTCTGAGCTATATACCGTCCCAGTGAAAGATGTGGTTGTGATGTCCCTGTTTTAATTGTTTTATTCTTTCTTCATCCATGACTTGAACCAACACGCTCTTCTCTCAAGCACACTTACATTTCTGAGCTATGTACCGTCCCAGTGAAAGATGTGGTTGTGTTGTTCTGTTTTAATTGTTTTATTCTTTCTTCATTCATGACTTGAACCAACACGCTCTTCTCTCAAGCATACCTACATTT